TCCTCCTCCTCCTCCCTCCTCCTCCTCCCTCCTCCTCCTCCTCCTCTTCTCTCCTCCTCCTCCTCCTCCTCCTCCCTCCCTCCCTCCCTCCCTCCCTCCCTCCCTCCCTCCCTCCCTCCCTCCCTCCCTCCCTCCCTCCCTCTCCTCCTCTTTCTGCATCATCGGTACTCATTGCCCATGTCGAATCTTCTCTCTACCCTGAACGTCGACCAGCTCGTTCTCCTTGTCCCTGACCCTGCGAGCAGGAGGAGCGAGCATCTCGAGTGCTACAACCCCGCAAGGGAGGACGTGGACCTTCGAGCAGATGTTCCTTCTCCGACCGAAGTTCGATGATGACAAGATGAGAAGCAAAGATCTGCCTCTTTGCCCATCCTCCTGCCTCGAGTACTCCCTTCCCCTTCCGTTCCTCAAAACTGTCTTACCATCATCCTACCTGAGCATGCTTGCATTCTTCGCTCCACCGTCTGAGAATACTGACCCCTTGGACCGCCTTCCTTTGTCCTCCTCCTCCGTCTATCCTCCGATGATATCTATGGAGGCACACATCATCGTTTTCTCTCCCTGTTTTGAGTTGCACGACTAAAAATGAAGTGGGAGCATCTTCCAAGACCGAGACCTGCAAGGAGGGAGAGCAGGGAGGAGATGTCTTCCAGCTGACTTGACGCACTGACAGCTGCATGCTGATGACCACAGCATGTACATGAAACAAACATCTCATTCTAGTCAAGATTTCAGCTCTACCGACGATCAGCGGAGGGCGTGTGGAAAGGCTGAGCTGAAACAGGTTAAAACTTGTGCTCCGGATCAAATATCATTCCTGCCAGTGCTTCTCACAGGTTATCATGCCCACTACCACATCTCATACCACAATACCATGTTGCTGTTTTTGTTCTTTCTTTATTACATCTCAAGCGCGGAAAAACAAACTGCGTCAAAACCTGACCTACTTGTACATCGCCGTCTCATCTCGACCGCAAGACTTTTTCCCGTGAGGTTGCGATCCTCTCTCTATCCAACCGTGCGCAGGCGCCCTTGGAGAGAGGTCCCGTATATAGCCTATGGCAGTGTTTACTTTCCTCCCTTCTTTCCTCCCTTCTTCTCCTCCTTCTTCTCCTCCTTCTTCTCCTTCTTGTCCTTGGCTCCGGTGTCCTTGGGGGGATACTCTCTTGGAAGTGGCATGCTGTGTTCTCTTGTGTGAGTGAGAGCAGAGCAAAGCCTCCTCCCTTATATAGGGAAAGGGGAGGGGCAAAGGGGGGGCGGAGGCCGCGAGGTGGGGAGGAGTAGGAGGGGTGAAGTTGGGGGAACAAGATGTGTCGGTGCGACGAAGGAGGCGTCGGAAGGAGGTTGGGTGGTGATGACAGGAGGAAGGAGGGGTGGCAAGAGGGGGGAGAGGAGGGGGAGGGGGAGGGGGTTAGGTAGCGGGGAGGAGAGGGGAGGAGAGGAGGAGGGTAGGGGTTTCGGTGGGGAGAAGTTGAGCCTGGTGACTCGGCCAGGCGCATCGAGGACATTAATCCCAGGGGGTGGGGTGGGGCGGATCTTGGTGATAATGGGTACGGTGGCTTGAAGTACCCTATTTTCAACCAGAGCAAACTTTTATTTGAGAGGGGTAAGAGAAGGATTGGATTCATCTATAAGGAATTTGGGGGTGGGGTAGTGAACCTGAGTATGGTAGGGGTGGGGCTGGGGAGGAAACTGGGGAAGAAGGGTACGATGACGGATGACATTGAGTAAAGTTATTGGTACTATCGCCTCCGTCATGGGGATTGATGACTTGTGAGAAGTTCGAAGTTTGTCAGGGCCTGGTTGGTACCGAGGTGAGCCCGCGGGACCCGCCGCGGAATTCCGGGCCGGGCCGGGTCGGAGTCCGGGCGGCCGGGCCAGGCCCGGTGGCACGGTGCCACCGGGTGCCACGGCCCGGTCACACTCGGACGGTCCGATCACAGTTCAACCGTTGTGACTCAGTGACTCAACACTGGCACCCCTCGCCCACATCTGAGAGTCCGGCGCTACCCCCCGGCCCCTCAGGCTCCTTCCCTCGGGGAGGCTCAGGCTCAGGGCCTCTCCTCCCGAGTCCCTCGCCTCTTGCCACCCCCTCAGTCCCGGAGTCCTTCCGAGTTCCTCCGGGAGTCCTGTCACTGATTCAGTCACCACCCAACCTCTCAGTTCCCGGGGACCCTGCTTCTGCATTCCCGCCGCCTCGCGGCCGCTCCGCCCCCCGGCCCCCCCCTTGCCCCTCCCCTAAGGAAAGCGGAGTTCAGGACACCCGGAGCCAAGGACAAGAAGCCTCGGAGTAGAAGGAGAAGAAAGAGAAGAACTTCGGGAGGAAAGAAGGGAGGAAAGTAAACCGTGACTGCCATAGGCTATATACGGGACCTCTCTCCAAGGGCGCCTGCGCACGGTTGGACAGAGAGAGGATCGCAACCTCACGGGGAAAAGTCCATTCCATGTTGCGTTGCGGTCGAGATGAGACGGCGATGTACGATTAGGTCAGGTTTTGACGCAGTTTGTTTTTCCGCGCTTGAGATGTAATGAAGAAAGAACAAAAACAGCAACATGGCAACGTGAGATATGTATGAGCATAGTGACCTACGAGAAACTTGGCAGAAATGATGACTGATCAGCACAGGATCAGCGCTTCCCAACTTCGCTGCACCTACGCGCTCTGACATATTGGAACAGCACAACGGCACACTGGAGAGTCCCCTCACCACCCACTGTTACCGTCCGACTGGACCTTCGGTCGATCGCTCTACAGCTGGCTCGGTGAAGGTGTCAACTGGTCCGATTGCCAGACATCTCTAATGCGAATGACACAGGTCTATGTTCGGAAGCGCCGATGATTCTTACAAGACATGCAGAGCAGCATCTCTTGCTGCTGCAGGAGACAGTGAAGGGCTGTCAGGCAGCCGACTCAAGGACAAGTCTGTCAACAGATAAAACTGAATCTTCCTCCAGTTCGAAGATTGCATTGAAACGAAAGTCCTGAACACAATCCCTTGACCCCGTTGCGCTCCTTGCAAGCGCAGATCAGCCAATTGCTTGCTTGTTTCGTTCGTTCTTTATTACATCTCAAAGTGCGGAAAAACAAACTGCGTCAAAACCTGACCTACGTACATCGCTGTCTCATCTCGACCTGGGCCGGCAGCAGTGTTTACTTTCCTCCCTTCTTTCCTCCCTTCTTCTCCTCCTGCTTCTCCTCCTTCTTCTCCTTCTTGTCCTTGGCTCCGGTGTCCTTGGGGGGATACTCTCTTGGAAGTGGCATGCTGTGTTCTCTTGTGTGAGTGAGAGCAGAGCAAAGCCTTCTCCCTTATATAGGGAAAGGGGAGGGGCAAAGGGGGGGCGGAGGCCGCGAGGTGGGGAGGAATAGGAGGGGTGAAGTTGGGGGAACAAGATGTGTCGGTGCGACGAAGGAGGCGTCGGAAGGAGGTTGGGTGGTGATGACAGGAGGAAGGAGGGGGTGGCAAGAGGGGGGAGAGGAGGGGAGGGGGAGGGGTAGCGGGGGAGGGGAGGGGGAGGAGAGGAGGAGGGTAGGGGGTTTCGGTGGGGGAGAAAGTTGAGCCTGGTGACTCGACCAGGCGCATCGAAAGAATTTGGACTCATTGGAGTGGGGTGGGTGGTAGAAAACTTCAAAATAACCCCTAGTTTCAAAGAGAAAAAGGTCTAGAGGATAGGGGTGGAGAAGCTTCACAGCGGGAGGGCGATTAAAAAGCTGGGGTTGTCATGTACAGGGGGTAGGTGATGATAGAAGAATGAGGGGAAATTGGAGTTCTGGAAATGCGGGGAATGATGTGATGATAACCGGGTGGTTCGACCGTATCTCGAGGGGAGATTGGGGGGTACTAGGCTGCTATAGCCGCGCACGGAGTAACGACGGTACCAATACTGTAGCTGAGGGCCGGCGGCCGCTTTGCCCGGTGAGTTGAGTTGACTCGGATGTTTACTCAAAGGTTGAGTCACGGTCGGAGTCCGAGTTGCCGCCGGTACCTTCCCGTTCGAGCCCGGTCTGACTCTCCTCTTTACTCAAAGTTAAGTTAAAAATCAGTACGAGGACAATCCGGGATGATCAGGAGAGTCGAGGAGGCTTGACCCTGACCGTACACTGTCGCACAGGCCAAACGGCGAGAAGAGAAAGACAGCGAGAACCAAACCTAATCCTGCCGACTGCTGTCCCCCACTGAAACCCGTCCGAGCCATCTTCTGAAACTTGGTGACCCGTCCGGGCCGAGCCATCACTCAAAGCTTCCGATACCGCTTTATAATACGGGCCCGCCTCAGGACAAGTTTGATTGTTTTGAGTAGGGTGGGTCCAAAGCCCAGCACGTAGGCTAGGCGAGAGAGCAACGAGACGATGCACAGGCCACAGTACTTTACTCACAGTGTGTACGTGCTTGGGATTGTGCTAGGGTGTTGTCTGCATCAGGCTGGAGGCTCCAGCAGTATCATCTGTGGAGACTGCGTGTTCAATGTATCGGACGCGGGTGTGTTATCCAGAAACCCGCAGGTGAGCTGTGGGAGTAGCTGCACTAAACTTGAATTCAGTGGTTTTGGTATTCGAAACATAACCATGGGGACTTTTGACGGGCTCTCGAACTTAGAATACCTCTTGCTTGAGAACAACAACTTGGAGAGCCTTCCTGAGGGAATCTTTAATGGACTCTCAAGGTTGGGACAACTCAATCTTTACAACAATGAACTATCGAGTCTACCTGCAGCAATCTTCAACGGGCTCTCAAATCTGCAATACATTTATTTGTACAACACCAGAATATCGAGGTTACCTGAAGGAATCTTCAATGGGCTTGGAAGATTGGCCATTCTGCGTTTGCACGACAACGAGCTGGAAAGTCTACCAGCAGGTTTATTCAATGGGCTCGGGACTCTGCAATATCTCTATCTCAACAACAACCAGCTGAAAAGCCTTCCAGCAGGAATCTTCAGCGGGGTCTCGTGGTTAAGGTATTTGAACCTCGAACAAAATCTTCTACAGAGTCTTCCTGCGGGAATCTTTAATGGGATTATGGGTGTCCAGATTCTGCTGCTGGGACATAATTCGCTCACTTGCTCGCAGACGAGCCTTTCTGCAGGAATATTCAATGGACTCTCAAACTTGCATTACCTCTACTTACAGAACAATCATCTTGAGTGCCTTCCTCAAGGAATATTCAACGGACCCTCAGGCTTGTGGTACCTAAACCTTGACAGTAACTATCTGAACGGCTCAATAACAAGTCTTCCTACCGGAATCTTCAACGGGCTCTCAAGTTTGCAGGAGCTTGATCTTGGCAACAACAATCTAGAAAGCTTGCCTACAGGAATATTCCAGGAACTCTCAAGCTTGCGGAATGTGCATTTGGGTTACAACAAGCTCAACAGCTCGGCAGCAAGCTTGCCTAAGGGAGTATTCAACGGGCTCTCTTCACTGTGGTCCATAGATCTTGGGCAAAACATGTTAGAAAGGCTGCCTACAGGGATATTCGACGGGCTCTCAAGCTTGGGGCGGCTTTATCTTAACTACAACAAGCTTGAAAGCTTGCAAACAAAACTTTTCCAGGGACTCTATAGCTTGCATGAGCTGGATCTTCAAAACAACGAGCTGCAGAGCTTACCTGCGGGGATCTTCAATGGACTCTCAAGCTTGGAGTACGTGCGTCTGGGATATAACAAGCTCAACAGCTCGCAAGCAAGTTTGCCGACTGGAATATTCAACGTTACAAGCGTGCAGTACCTTGGTCTCAAGGGTAACGAGCTATGGAGTCTTCCTACCGGAATCTTCAACGGGCTCTCAAGTTTGCAGGAGCTTGATCTTGGCAACAACAATCTAGAAAGCTTGCCTACAGGAATATTCCAGGAACTCTCAAGCTTGCGGAATGTGCATTTGGGTTACAACAAGCTCAACAGCTCGGCAGCAAGCTTGCCTACGGGAGTATTCAACGGGCTCTCTTCACTGTGGTCCATAGATCTTGGGCAAAACATGTTAGAAAGGCTGCCTACAGGGATATTCGACGGGCTCTCAAGCTTGGGGCGGCTTTATCTTGACGGCAACACTCTAAAGAGTCTACCTGCAGGAATCTTTAACGGCCTGTCGAGGCTGTGGTATCTTGATCTTCAAAACAACGAGCTGCAGAGCTTACCTGCAGGAATATTCGATGATATCTTGAATATTTGGTTTCTGTACCTCAACAATAACTCACTCTCAACTCTTCCTGCTGGAGCTTTTGACAGCGTGCCGTACTTGGGAAATCTATTCCTTGATAATAACAATCTAGAAAATCTTCCTTCGGGAATTTTTGACGGCCCTTTCAGATTGGGGACTCTAGACCTTCACAGAAACAAGTTGAAGAGTTTACCTGCATTTGACAAGCTTTTGTATCTGTCAAGTTTAGATCTCCATAGCAACAATCTTGCCTGTATTTCTTCGGATGCTTTCAATAGCATGGCATATCTCCAAGAATTGGATCTCACCGATAACAACCTCACATGTTATCAAAGGTCTTGGCCTAGTATTGCTCAATGGGATAGCAACCTCAAACCGTGTCCCAAAGAAACTATTTGTCCAGCCAATAGACGTAACTATAGCTCTGCTATATTGAATTCAACAAACAATAAGCTTCAAAGTTGGGCTGTTCATCCGGGCTATCTCAATTGTCGAATGGATTTTACGTGGAAAGAAATAATTAATGGGTTGTTGGCGAACAATCAGACTTTCAAGTCAGGCGGGCTTGGAAAGCTTATGACTCGAACACACTTCGAGGTATGGGTGTGCTCTTATCAGGACAATTGTGCCATGCCGAAGGATCCCTTTTGCTACGTGTTCGACGAGCAACACAGGCTCTTTATCTCATGGTGACTTGTTTTGCATCTCCTTAACAATTTCTGTGAGCTGACGATGCTGCAGGGGTCTGGAGAGTGAAATTGGACTGAGTTGAAAGCGTAGTAGTGTAGTATAGCTGACAAATCCGGCATGGCGGCAATGCAATCTACTAAGATCGTCAGCTCACAGAGATTGCTAATGAGATGCGAAACAAGTCACCATGACTGAAACCTGCCACAACCCCAGGCTGACTCGCCGGACGCGGGGAGTCCATTGCCAGTATCGTGACGGTAGCACCCGGTTCCCGAGCCTTCCCCACACCCCTCCCTTGGTTCCACACATCATGCTACTTCAAGGCTTATGTTACCTTCCTCAGCTAGGCCCGGCCTGTGGTAGTCCTTGTGACGCCAAAAAAAGACTTTCTTAGCTCGGAATGAGTAGCGTCAAAGTGCCCAGCTGGCGACGCTGTATCCCGACGCCCTTGCGGAGAGAAACGACGGAGAGAGAAAACTTTGGCTGCCGTATCCAGTCTGATGAAGATGTAAGAAGAGGAGAGGCGGCACGGAGCAGCGACGGCGCCGGCAGCAGGAGCAGGAGCAGCACGAGGGACAAGAGGAAGAGATCGAATGAAGAATTCAATAACTTGCAACGGAGAAGAGGACGAAGTGTGTATCTTAACCAGATGTGGGAGACTACTTTCCTCCTCTGTCTCTCCAGCCCCTCCTCTGTCTCTCCAGCCTGGAATAGCGTTTTGTTCCACATTTCCCGCTGCTGCTGCTGCTGCTGCTGCTGCTCCCCGAACTTTCCGGCGGGTAGACTCTCCCTCGCCTCCTCCCTCGCTCCCCGGCTCTCAAGTCTCATCCTCCCCTTCTGATCGTCCCTGTCTTCTTTGCAGCCAACATTGTTCCTGACATGACAAACCCTCCTCCTTGTTCCCCTTGTCGCTCAGTCGACGCTTTCCCGTGTTATCGCATCTTTCAAGCATGTTTCCTGCTGTGTTGGTACCATACATAGCACAGCACACAGATCCTTGTTTCTGATGCTTGTCATGCCATCGAGACATTGACTTGTCCTAATGTTGCACTTCCCATGCGAAGCTTGGAATTCTGCACTCATTGAATCTTCCATTTGACTTCGGGGTGCAGGTCTATTCATTGAAGGGACAGACATTTCTTGATGTTTCTGTTGATATTGATGCTCCTGTTGCTGGTCTTGTACTCCTCCTCCTCCTCCTCCTCCTCCCGCCATCGCCATCGCCATCGCCATCGCTGCCGTAGCCGTCGCATCTGCTCTGATTGATCGGCCCAACTTTGACCGCTGCTGCTTCCACTTTGACCGCTGCTGCTGATTTTCCTGCTGGACTCTCTCCTTGCAACCTTCTCATCCTCCCTTCATCCTCCTCCTCTAGTCTTGGCTGTTTCTTGGATACTTTTTGGCACTCTCCCGCTTCCTCTCTCACGACCTCTCTTCTTTGCTGTTACGTCCCCAGCCTTCTCGCAGCCCCATGCTCGCCCTACGTGTGAAACGCTCGAGAATTCTCTTTCCTGCTTCCTGCCCTCCTCGTCCTCGGCCCTTGTCGAGCCCTCCAATGGAAACCCTAAACCCTAAACCAGGTTCATTTTCCTGCTGGACTCTCTCCTTGCAACCTTCTCATCCTCCCTTCATCCTCCTCCTCTAGTCTTGGCTGTTTCTTGGATACTTTTTGGCACTCTCCCGCTTCCTCTCTCACGACCTCTCCTCCTCCTCTTCCTCCTCTATCGCACTCTCCTCATGGGGCTGCGAGAAGGCCTTCCGTCTCCTGCGTCTCCTTGTTGATTTTCCCTCCTCATGCACGTGCATTTGCTCAGTGCCGCCTACGATATCCTGTCAAAGCTTCTGCTTTTGCTTTGGCTTGAATTGCTGCTGCTGCTGCTCCTCCTCCTCCTCCTCGTCCTCCTCCTCCTACTGTTCCAGTTGCCGGGTCCCTCCCTGACTGCCATACCCTATATCGTGTCTTTCTTGCTCCTCATTGCTCAACTTGTGAATTAGCGAATCATTTTCTTGCTCCTGCTGGTGCTTCTGCTATTTCTGTCGTTGCTCATGACATAATCGTCGAAGCTCGTCCTCCTCCTCCTTGTCCTGGTTTTGCAATGTTCGGCTCCTTGAAGCGAAAGCCCTTCACTCTGTCAAACAACTCACTGTCGTCAAGAGCTCAGCAGCATCACTCTGCGATCGGGCAGAACAAGAGTTATCCTGCATCCAATTCAACGACTTCCAATACATGACAACATCATCAGCCTCATCCGACATCGAGAAAGAAAATTACCGATCAGACATTGACAACTTGTGATCGAGGTCGATAAAGGACGAGCTGAAGCGTACGTCTTGTACGTGAACTTCTCGACTCTGAGAGAAGATGAGCGAGGGAGGAAGAAGGCGAAAGGAGAGGGAGGATGGAATAGGGGGGCCGTGGCGGGGGAGGGGGTAGGTCGTGAGCCAAAGAAGAGAGTGATGGAGAGAGGGAGAGGAAGAGGAGGAAATAAGGGGGAAGGGAGGAAGAGAGGAAGAGAGAAGGAGAGGAAGAGATGGCGGGATGGTCGCAGCAGAAGGGAGGGGGAGGGGGAGGGGGAGGGGGGGGAGGAAGCAGCTCGCAAGGAAGGGAGGAGGAGGGGGAAAGTAAGGGAAAACTGAAGGTAAATTTGAACAAAAAAAGGGGGAAGAGACTTCAGAAAACAGAGTTGAGATTGTTTACATGAAGTTGCTCTGCACGGGTCCGAGATATTCATTCAAGTTTTGTAAGCTCCCACCACCACCTCGCTCTGGGTCATGTGCACAACAACATGCCTCTTTGATACCGTGTCTTCTTTCAATCGATGCGATGACATGACAGCACTTACTGACTACTTCCATTTTAGAATGCTCGACTCGTCCTGCTCCTCCTGCAGCCTTATACAAGCCTTGTCCTCCCCGTCTTCCGCTTCCCATGTCACCCAGACAAGCCTGATCAAATCTATCGCGGGGCTTCTCCAGCATGCCTGATAGTTGCGATCCTGCCTCCTCCTCTTTGGACAGGACAACTGTGGTCACCATGGCGCTGTGATCCACTCCTAGGACCGGGTCTTGCTTATTCCCAACAGCTTGCTCAGCAGCTACGTCGTGCAGAATGCAACTTGAATGTGTGCAGTTTTGGCGTGTTTGACTATTCAACCGATCTTCTTGCGCAGGATAGCAAATACGTGAAAGTGAGTCGAAAGAAGATGTTGAAGGTGGCGAGGAGCAGGAGCAGGAGCAGGAGCAGGAGCAGGAGCAGGGGTTGACAGCGCTGGAGTGCTTCGAGACAAACTGGGAATGGCGAAGCGTAAAGTTGTCTTGTTTGTGATCTCAACAACTTTTGCCAGTCAGCAGTCGCTCGTCTTGTTTCCTCTGACCTCCATAGAGATCACAACACACTCCTACGAGCTACAGAGCGATCTCCCGCTCAACTCAAGAAGGGCCCCGGCGTGCACAAGTGGTCTACTAGGGCCGCATACCTTACGGAGCTCCTTCTATCGCCATACTTACGGAGTTCCTTCACTCTCAGTATCGTGCCTTTAATCTTGTTGCTCATCGTGCCGCCCCAGTGATCGGGAAGACCTGTCATCCGGACTCGGACAAGAAACCGATTGCCGCATAAGGCTGCATCGGGTCTCTTTTCTCTGGTCCGAGTACGGTCTGAGCTCCTCACAGCCTGGCTCTTGCATCATCCTTGGGGCTCTGGTTGTCCCCGGGAGTCGACCGCCGTAGTTACTTGGGGAAGTTTGAGCGGCGGGGGGGGTAGGCCCGGTCAGGTGCCGTATCGCAGTCCCCGGTTTTCAAAAACTTGACGCCAAATCCGGGACTTAAGTTGGGGTGGGGTAGTGACCCCCACCCCTCTGTTTTAGCTTGTTGGCATACGTCCCCAGGGAGACAACCGTCCCACATGGCGGGCCTCTGACTACCCCCCCATGTAATCCAGGGCTCCACAGGTAGCCTTGGCTACACCACGCCTCCCCACCCCTGGAGCCTTCCCCCCCACCCCCCACCCAGAGCCACCAGCTCTAAACCTCATCAGGCTCCCATGGCTACACCCGGCAGCAAGAGCAGGGCAGAGCGGCAAGAATGGTGGCAGATAAATGCTGAAGTGGGTGCGAAGAGGAGGAGGTGAAGCAAACAACGGAAGACCAGCAGGGCGAATACGATCAAGATCACCAGCGGGTAAGGAGCATCCACTGATTTGCCACATTATACCGACTCTGCGGTAGCGTAAAACATTTCCGTTTGATCATTATGTCTCCGCATGATTCAAGTCAACTTGTTGTTTTGATTGTGAAGAATATCACTCTTATAGGAAGATAACAAAGTTGGTCAGGCAAAGCACACGCAAGGGCGATTGTTAATCAAGATCAATCATCAGGACCAGAGAAAGAAAGATTGACTGCCCACAGCAGATATGCCATACGCTGAATGCGCCGAATGCTCCCGGCAAGCAGGCGAGCACTTGGAGGGATGCTCATCGATAACAAGATGGTGGATAAAACCAACATCTCGATCATTCTTCATGTAACTTTGAGCTTCAGCGAGCTCAAGTCCAGATTCTCTCCTCTCTGCTGCTGTTGTGTGCGAAACGCAATACGCAAAGGACAGGTCAGGCTCTCTAGCTGGTCCGAAAGCTGGAACTTTGCAAGGTGTTGGTTCTTCTTAGATGTAGAAGCCTCCTCTTACGTAATGTATTTGCTCAGCGACGCATGCGCATCATGTAAAGAACGAAAATGGAAAAAGTGCAAAGGGGTTTTCAAGAAAAAAACTTTATCATCTTCTTGTGTGTGTGGACTCGCAGAGAAGGAGCATCAGGTTGGAAACTTTCGTGACGATTCAAATCATATTCAAATATCGCACACTAATACGAGACTGCAGGAACCTGTGGAGTTACAGAGTTCCAAATCTACAATCTTTAATTCCCAGAGAAGTAGACAGTCTGCACATTATGCCCCGTCACTGGTAAGTCATCTTATCGCTCTCGTGATGCTTTGGCCTCACATTTCTTACCATTTACTGTCCATGACAGGGGGATAGCGATGATGAGGCAAATGACAAGGAAATAGCCGGGTGAATCAACAACTTATCAATTCATCAGTTGTTTGACGATTTGTTTACAACAGTGGCGATCCAAACGAAACCATGTTCGTTGATATAGATTTTGATCAAGTAAAACCGCAAGGGACCAATGGGACGACAACAGCGAATACAAGCGCTAAGGAGGAAATTGCCTTGCAGAAAAAGAAAGTAGAAGATTTGGAAAGGCGATTGCAAGTTGAAAGAGATACAGTTGTTGAGTTAACTGAGCAGAAGCAGTCTCTTGAAATAAGAATGGAATCGTCGATACAGCATGTTATGTCAGTAATGTCTCAAGACAAAAAGAGGTTGAAGGATAGCATCGACGCCCTCAACACGGAAAAACAGAGTATTCTGAGCCACAACTGGATGATGCAGGAGAAGATTAAAAACCTCGAAAGGATTCTTGCTTCAAGTGAGAAGAAGGTCAAGGACGTTCAAGCTGAGAGTGAAAAATTGAAGTCATATTCAAAAGCGACAGAAAAAATGATGAAAATGATGAATGACGAGCTTGATGCGGAGATTTCTATTTCACAGACCTCACAAAATTTAGCTGAATCAAACATGAACAAAAGAGAGGTTTTCACTTTGATTATTGTTCGGGCTTCGATCTGAGTTTGCTCTTGTTTTGTAGGACAAATTTTCTAAGAATCAAAGTGCTATTGTGGAAGCTCATCAACATTTATTTTCTAAGATGCATGACGTCGAGAACAGAATCCAAGGCATATGTCAAACGCATGATAGCTTCTATGAGAAATATAAGTCTCAGAATGATGAGATTGCACGTTTGAGATCAGTTGAAGAAGAATTCAAGCAATACAAGCGAGATCATGTAAAGCAATCTGGAGCAGATGTTTTGAAACTGAAATCTAACCCACATGCAGGATAAACTGATGGTTGCACGTGATGAGCAAATAAATGAATTGCAGACAAGATTGTTTCAAATGGAAGAATTGAACAACGGAATCATGAGATCTAAGAATGCAAAACAAGAACCGATCTATGTGACTGATGCACATTCAGCGGCTTGCTGGAGCTATCAAAGGGGAGGAATCAAAATCCTCAGGACCAAGAAGAGTTCGGACAAGGAAGACTCAAGAGCAGACACCAATGCGTCACCGACAAAAGAATTCACGCCGAGCAAAGTGGAACTTCCCAACACAGAAATCAAATCGGAGGACCTGAAGATCATATCGAGAATAGCAGAAGGCTCTTTCGGTATCATCTACAAGGCTGAATGGATGTCTGCAACGGTAGCTGTGAAGCAAGTTCGCAACTCGAGCAGCTTGGACTCAGAAGAATTCAATCAGATTATTTATGACTTCAAGAGTGAGGTCTCGAGACTGATGAACCTGCGGCATCCGAATGTAATTTCATTTTTCGGTTCGTATTTCTTCGATTGCCAGCACTGTGTGATGTTCGCTACAGGAACCCTGACGGATTCGAACACGTTCTGCATAGTCACAGAGCTTCTTGAAGGTGATCTTAGGAAATACCTCAAGAATGAAGCCTTGTTCGATACTTTAGAACATCGAATAGAGCTTCTCCGAGAAGCTGCCTGCGGTGTAAGGTGGATACGAATTTCCTTGCTTCTAGAAGCACTCACACTGTTCCAGATACCTTCATGAAAATCGGTTGGTGCATCGGGATATCAAACCTGAGAATTTCCTGCTGCAGCGACTCCACTCGAATATGATCGTGAAAGTCTGCGACTTCGGACTCTCTCGGATCAAAGAAGCAAGTCATGTCAACACCATGCGGACGGCAGGGACCATGCTCTACATCGCGCCGGAAGTTCACCGTGGAGAACATTTCGACGAGCGCAGCGACATTTACTCCTTCACCGTGATGATGTGGGAGGTGGCTGCTGTCAAGACTCCTTTCTCCGGTAGACCCATCGCTTCCATCCCTGGGATTGTTGGCTGGGGAATGCAGAGGCCGTCGCTGGAGGACCTCGCCGATGTGTTCAATGCTGCTGATGGTTCTTCCTTCAACCTGAGAGAACGATTTTGCTCCATGATAGATCAGGGCTGGAGTCACGAACCAAATAAGAGACAGAGCATGTACCAGCTCGTCACGTCGATTAGCGAGTGCTTGGCGATGTTCAGGAGAAAGTATCAATCGGAAAGATTGGGCCCATCTGTTCGCGAGGAAATGGCTTGAACAAACGTGAGAAAGGAAGATGGCGCAAAATCTATCGTTTATTTACAGAATCAGAATGAAGAATTACGTTAGAACATTCACGTTACGATGACGGCAAGCTACATGTACAACATTCTCTATCGGGTGCCTGACAACTGCACAAGACATTAAAAACGAGAAACATAAATCATGGCCGATAGTGCGCCAACAAGCTTACCGATAGCAAGGCAGTTGAGAATTACTTTCACTTGGCATTTGCGAGTGCGATTCATACAAGTTTGCATTGGCCACAGTAGTACCAAAACCATCTACTGTGTGTCACGCTTGCAAGACATGGTCGACAAGCAACGTCACCGCAGTCAGGGCAGGTCAGTTCACGTAGTACGAAAGAAGCTGTGCGGCTCTCGAGCCTCGGGAATGGCAGCAAGTTTGGTTTCTCTCGGGAAACTTTGCCCTCTCCCTTGCAAGTCCTGCAAGCTACCTGGCATCAACCAGTACACCATCACGACCCACGATGATCAAGCGTAACCCTCACCGACTTCTTTGTTCTCGCCGCACTCGTGCTTGGCAATGAGCTCGTCAACGCCATGTTCGATTCTTCTTCATGCTCGACAACGTTGGAGTGCTCATTCTCGCGCTCAAGGTCGTCAGGAACAGGAGCAGCGAGAAAGTCGCAAACAGCTCTGTGAGATTTCCAGTGCAGCCTCTGGCATTCCTTCGAGCACTGAACAGCGGCAGGTTTCAGGTTGAGAACGAGAGAAATCACAAGCTGCAATATTACAATGGGAGACATGGCATGCAAGGACTAAGATGAAGAGTACTGGTTACGCGAAAAGACAAATTTCAGCCTAACAACTACAGGTGAGACAAGCACCAGAAGTTGTTAGTGCATCAACTGTCCTCCCTCATGCAGCTCATCTATCCTACAGATTTCCATGTCTACATGTCATCATCTTACATATGCAACTGCTCGGCATCGTCCGCATCGCTTCTTCGCCTCTGCTGCCCCGCAAGCCCGGCAGGACATGGTTCAACTGCTGGTGAAACCGTCCTTGAAAGACTTGACTCGGGTAAGGTACTCGATGATCGGATCCCGGACCGTTGACTCCCGGCTCCGGAGTCTGCCCGGCCCGGCCCGGTGGGCCGATCATCGGATCATCAACCGGAGTCCCGGCACGGTCCGGCGGCCGTGGCCCAGACGTTCACAGTCTGAGGCCGCGGGCCGCGTCTGATCCGGTAGCGGCTCTGACAACAGTGACCCCGAGTCAGGAGTGACCCGGCGTCAATGATCATCGGATCATGGCAGTGGCGCGGCCACCCGGCATCCGACTCCCCCGCTGAGCCCCGGCCTGTGACACGGTCACTCAGTGGCATGAAAGTTGGACGCCGGGCCCGACGGTCTCTTTCACCGACTCTCAGAACTTAGTGCCAGTGACTGCAGCTGATCACTAAGTCACTCAAGTTGAAGGGAATGAGATGTCATCAACTTGTGGTGGCAATGCCATGATGCCGATGCTAGACTGCCAGTGACTCACTGAGTCATCTGCTTCTCGCTAATTTTTTAAAAGTTATTGGAATTTGGCAAGCCATACAAATATAAAACTATTATTACCATCAGTAGGTATGTTTTTATAAAAGAATTGTAAATAAACTACCTACCCGGTAGGATTCCGAGATCAATGACTAGTGGCCCGCCCCGGACTTTTGGTGCTGCCCGAGGGCATCGATTTCGCCAACTAGGTGATTCTTGTGCTGCCGCAGCAGCAGCGGCTACAACTCTTGTTCTGAGGGGTGGGCGACATTTAGAACCGAGAGATTCTTACCCCTACCCCCATTTTATCCCATAAATACACCGGTGATAGATATTTAAGCACGTCCCTGGCGTCGTTTTGTTGCTTCACCCCTTGTCCAATCACCCCCACCCCCTTGATCAGATAGACCCTACCCCTTCCCGCGAACTTCGGAACTTACTTGCGGTTGGCCCAGGACAACCCCCGCTGTCTCCAGGTCTGATCGGCTGTCTACAGCCCCTTCACCTTCCCAAGTGAGCCGCTCATGTGATCCCTCGTTTGATGCCGCCCCGGGGCCATCATGGACTGAACTGAGACCACCCCTTTACCTTAGTACCCACCACCTGAAATGCTAACCCCCCATGACACCAACAACCACCCCTCCTTTCACCACCCTCTATTAGTTCTTGCAATGCCATTCTCCCTCTTTTCCCATCGAGGGTTGTAAGGAACCCGCCCCCATGGGGACCCGCCTCAGCCTCGCCCCCTCTCACTACCTACCCATAGATCATGTGATGTCTCCTAGAAACCGGGTGGGGTACTCCTAAGCCTCATACCCACCCCTCAACCCAAAATGAGAAAACTTGTAGTAAAGTAGGGGGTGGAGAGCATTATTTCTAGAGGGTAGGGTAGTAGATTCTGTGAAAGTGGGTGGTGACCGGTGTTGTACCCCACTTTTTAAAAGGACCACAGAGTAAATTGACGGGGTCCATGGTGGGTGATAGGGTCCTACCGGACATTCATGGAATCGGACATGGTAGGGTGGGGATCTTTTTGGGTCACAAGGGGTAGGTCACTGTGTGGAAAGGGTGTACTTGGTGAGGGGTAGCTATTCTCTATGATGAAGGGTGGGTCATGGAACGGAATCAAGGAGGGGTGGTCCAGGTATTTTCTCATAAACCCCACCCTCTAAAATGTAGCTTGTCATGCAACCCTACCATGATGGGGAGCATATGTACCCCACCTACCTTTCTCCCATTTTTTACCCCACGTTTTCCCAGTCGATTGATGCAATTGATGACCCCCCACCCTCTTGTTTCATTTTGGTTCTTACACCCCTGCCATATACGACGAATACCCCACACCCCCGGCTCGACTGTACCCCTACCCTGATGACAACACTACCCCACATTTCCATCTCTCTGTCATAGAAAATGGGGGTACGGTGAATTCGTTGTCCCCCTGCCTCAGGGTCCAACGTGAACATTTTTCTAAGTAAAGGACTAATGAATCACTGCATACTTCCGAGCACTACTCTTTTATCACCCTACCCCTATTTACCATATGGGAATTCACCCCTTCCAATTACTACCCCTACCCCTTGGAATCAGTACCCCCACCGCCAAAAAGTTCCCTGGAGGCCGACGTCCTCCCATCCCATTGTCCTCCTCCTCCGCCCACCAGTTCCCCTCCGTCTCCACCAGTCAGTGGCACCTTCCCTTCTCATCCCCTCCCTCCTACTTCCCGTCTCTCTTCCCTCTCCCTCGTTCCTCCCTCCTCCATACATTTCCCTCCTTCTCCCATCCCTCCCACGTCGTTGTGAGATGGCACATCTTCGAGTGCTGCTTTTCGCCACCATGGCAGCGTCCTCAGCTGCGTTCCAGCCTCTTCTTGTCCGCCCGACCAACTCTCTTGTTGCGCCTAGAGCTACTCCTGACATCAGGTATGTCTCGCAAGCAAGCAGGTGTGGATCCGAAGGCAGGATTGAGCATGAGTTTGTTGATGGAGAAAGCGAGGGACTGAGATCCCATTGGTTGAATGAGCCGTGCGAGGATAGTCGATGATTGATGTGAAGAATTCTAGATTGCGATCATGAGCGTAGTTGGTAGATCTAGATCCCAGAGGCCGAATGGCTTGTTTAAGCAGGATATTGCAAGGCTGGTAGGTATACTCATACCGTAGTCGCAGGCCCAGGTCCGCATGCTTGTCCTTTTCGGCTTCTGCGAACCAGCAGGGAGGAAGTGTATCGTCGCAAGCAGGAGCCTTGGCTCGCAGCTCGGTTTCATTGAAGGCGTCAAGCGCTGCTTCAGCAGGAGATGAGAAGCCTAAGACTAACCTTGCCCTCTTGGCGGTCTACTTCATCGCTTGGTACGCTCTCAATGTGGGGTACAACATCACCAACAAGCAAGTGCTCAACGTTTTCCCGTGCTATGCTACCGTTGCCGCTGCTCAGCTCATCGTCGCTTGGTTCTGGCTCCTTCCCCAGTGGGCCATCGGGATCCGCCCGGTTCCCAAGCCGTCGGAGTCCAACATGAAGGCCCTCCAGAAGGCAAGACAAGCTGAGAGAGCCAAGGAGCGTTTCTGACTCTCTTGCTCCAGGTCTCTCTTCTCCATGGGTTCGGGCATCTCGTCACTGTCTTGTCGATGGGCTTGGGGGCTGTCAGCTTCGTCCATGTCGTCAAGGCTGCTGAGCCTGTCTTCGCCGCTGTGCTCAGGTGCTGAGCTCGAGGCGATGCCGCGATGTCTGAAGCCTCTTTCGCCTTCAGTGCCATATTTGCCGGCTCCATCATGGCCTTTCCAGTGTATCTTTCTCTCTTGCCAGTCTGTGCCGGTGTCGCCATCGCTTCTGCTGGGGAGGTGAGGATGCGTTGGGGGTGTTGAGTCAGACCTGACCCAGTTGCAGCTGTCCTTCACCTGGGCTTGCTTTGGAGCTGCCATGATGTCAAATCTTCTGTTTGCTTCTCGTGCCGTCTTCTCGAAGGTGACGTCGATAGATCGCTGCGTGTGCTCACCCTGACCTGCTCGTGTGTAGATGGCCATGAGCGGGAAGGATCAGGGCGAGAACATGGATTCAGCCAACACTTTCGCCGTCGTCACCATGTTGGCCACTCTGGTTAACGGCATCTCTCACTTGTCTCTTCATACTCACAGCTGCATCTTGATAGATCTGTGTCCCTGTGGCTGCTGTGCTTGAAGGCCCGAAGATCATGGGAGCCTGGAACGCTGCCCTGGCGGTGCCCGGTGAGTTCTGCCCGCAAACTCTTCTCCTAGAAGTGATGGGGTGTACAGGCATGACGCAGTTCAAGCTTGCCAGCACCCTTGCCTTGTCTGGCTGGTACCTCTACACCTACAACGAGTTCGCCTTCAAGGTATCCTCGTCGCCCTGCCGGTGCTAGCAGATGACCCGCGCTCAGGTCCTCGGCCTCGTCTCTCCCGTCGCTCAGGCCGTTGGCAACACTGTCAAGCGTGTCGTCATCCTCATCGCCACTGCCATCGCCTTCGGCACTCCCATGACTCCCATCGGCATCACTGGTGACTTGAAATGTCAGTGAGTGGAGAAGGATTAACGTTGATGGTGTCAAGGATCCGCCATCGCCATGGCGGGAGTTCTCGTGTACTCGCTCGTGCAGCAGGTAACAAGTGCTGGTTTCTTGACTCGGCTCCCTTGACAAGATTTCAGGCGTATGCCAAGAAGTGAGCGACTCGTTGAAGTCGTGTTGGGGTCCAGGAGGAAAGAAATGCAGACTCAACGACTGGCTCAAGACTGGGGCCAGGCCGCTTGCAATATTGTTTACATCTAGCAATCAAGTAAAGGGTTCTCTCCCGCTTAACTCTCTCCTCTTTCTCTGCCGTCTCCTGTCCCGTCGACATCTCACTACCGCGTCCTCAAGAGTCATCAAACTGCTCAGCCCCAGCAAGTCAGTTTGTGCATCTCACGACAGGCGAAACCTGGCAAGAATTTCCGCATGCCCGCTTCAGACTCCAGGAAAGAGGACTCTTCCACCAGATCTTCGATGTTAAGAGGCGACCTGCTGCTCCGTTACCTCCTCTCACCTCCGACTCGTCCGCACCTGTCACTGTCCGAGCATGCGTGAGTTGTGAAGATGCTGAAGGCTTGTCTGAGGACACCCTCCATGTGGGAGACTTCAGACTGCAGCTGCTTCGCCTGCTCTTCTTTCGCTCTTACGGTCTCGTCCAACGACTGGTTGTTGTACTTGAGCACAGAGTTCTCTCCGATCATCTGCGTGAAACGGCTGGTGGTCTCTTGCAAGCTTTGTATCAAACTCTTCTCCCTTCTTGCGCTCTCCTCCAACTTTCAGCGCATGTCACAGCCAAGTACATGTTGATGCTGTCATACCTGATCCTTCAGCTTCGATGCTTTGCCTTCATAGTCGATCAGCTGAGCTCTATGCGAACTTTCCCTGCTCGACGTCATATGCATGTGCGAGAAACATCTCCACATGCCTTTGCTCTGCTTCCTGCCTCCGGTCTTTCTCCTTCTCCAGCTCGTCCTTCAGTCTCAGGGTGCATGTCTGATGTTTCTGTCAACCACATGTCAGAAGAGAAGGAGTGCGATGGATTTCGAGGTCTTGTATGCCTGTTGCGAATCTTGTAGTTCCCGTTCCTTTGCACGGATCGCTGCCTCTAATCGTCGCACTTCTAACATAGATTTTGTGAGTGCAACACAATCCGACATGATCAAAAGATGAACAACCTTCTAGGTGCGTCTCTTCCCTTTCAAGAAGACGATTGTTACTCTTTTCTTCCTGCGATCGGATGAAGCTGTTTTTTTGGTTCAGATCCTCTTCTAGCTTGTCTAATTTACATTCAAGTTCCTTTGACATACTTGAGGTGAAGAAACATCGAATATAGATCATACCTTGATTCTTTCATCTTTGACAATCAGTTTTGATTGAACTTCCTTCAGTTCCAACTTCGTAGACTTGAATTCATCATTCAATGCTAGCATCTCATCCATCACTTGCGTATTTTTACATTCCAATTGCGTGATGATCTCAGCTTTTTCATGACTTTCATCTGTCTTGGTTTGTAGCATTTGGTTCAATCTGTCGTTCGAGGCGCGTTCTCTTAATAGCTCTCGCTCTAATAATTGTATTCTCTTTTGCATCTCTTCTGCTTTATCTTCTGCTGTCCTCATATCCAACGAAGCTTGTTTCACCCTTGACGTTGCTTCTGACAACCTGTCGTCTAAATCCCACCGATCCTCTTCTAGCTCTTTTACTTTCTGCATGGCTCTGTCAAGCTCTTGCTGTACAGCTCGCTTGTTGGTCTCGAGAGATTGGATCGCCTCAAGCATGCATCGTTCTTCTGCTTCCATGGCTGTTATCAACTTCAACTTCTCCGTTTCAAGCCTCTCAACTTGTTCTCTCAGCTCCTCTAACTTCTCCTGCTCTGGCACAGGCGATCGCATGGGCTCTGCAGCCGGCGGGTCTGGATGTTGAGACTTCACAAGCAGCCCATGTTGCCAAGAGAAAAATGTCAGCAGATGAACAGCTCAACGAAACAGTACGTATGCTCTTCTGCTTGCTGACTTGACCGACGTATTGTTCAACCCAGACTGCTTCGTGCCCTGCCAAGGAGTACGCTGCCATCATCGTCATCAAACATCGAGACCGTACGTGAGGGGATCGAGAGAGATTCTTCAAGACGGCCTCACCTTCACTCCTGGCTTCCTCCCCACACCCGAGCCTCCTCCTCCTCCTCCTCCTCCTCCTCCGCCGCCGCCGCCGCCGCCGCCGCCGCCAGCTGGCTTTCGTTTCGCCAGCATTTCCCGGTAGTAACTTCAATTCAACTTATAAGATAATAGTACTGAAAATGAAAACAGAACCTTTCAAGAACCTTTCAAAGTCACAAGTTCCCCGCCATCCGATGATCTGATCATGCCGCGCGGCCGGGTGCCGTGGCGGCACTGCCGATCGGACCGTCCGAGGACAGTAGAATGAGCCTCTCAGTGCCCGTGATGCACTGCGGCAAGTGAGTGATAAGAATGTCAGTGTTGGTCCGAATGGTGGCCGCGAGAAAGTCTCGATCTTCCTAAGCCTTGAACGTGCCACGGGCCAGTGGAGTCCGACCCGAGTGCCATAATGGCAATGGTCAGATGCAAGACTTTGTCACGCTAGCCTACTAGGCTAGTGACTACTGTGACTAGACTCAGTGGTATGATTACGCGGCAGCCTGGCAGGCTTGAACCACGTTAGAGCATGGTCACCGTGCGCGCCGCCGCGGGCGGCAGTCAAGGATCGGATTCTGCGGCGCCGGGGCTGGGCATCCTCGGAGCAAGTAACTTAAGGCCGTAGCAGCCGGAGCGGCCCCGGCAGGCGCCGCTAAAATGTGCTGAGCAGCCGCCTTCAGTGAACTTGGAAAGAGTGCTCACGGTCGGTTTGTTCAACTTTGAGGCGGGGTTGAAGTCAGTGAACTTCGGAAAGGCCGCTCCGCCGCGGGCCGCCGGGCCGGCTTTCTGATGTCGATAAAGCTGACGAACCCAGCAACTCGACAGATTATTCAGGTGACTGAGGAGAAAAGATGAATCACGGTTAACAAGAAATATCAAGAGAACTTGCAATGAGGCTGGTATATCCACGCTGAGACTCCACTACCATCATGCCATCAAGGCGAACCATTACGCCCTGAACCAGGAAAAAATCAAGATACGACGAGGGTCTTTCAGTCTTCTCTCCTCCTTCTGTCTCCTCCTTTATTTCCCCACCCTCCTCCTCCTCCATTCCCTCTGGCCATGGGCAGAAAAACAAGAGCGATGGGGCGCATGCCACGGTAAAAAGCTAAGGTCGAGTAAAACGATCCGGACAGAAATGAGAATCGATCTGGGGAGGTTACGAAGTAAAAGAATGTGTGGTAGTGGGTGGGGGTCAAAAAGGTTGGGGTGATATACACCTTGACCAGCCGCCGAGTTACTCGTCTGCCACCCCTCACAGTATATATACCCTCATGCTGCCCTCCCCTTCCTCCCTCCCCTTCCCCATCCACCCTTGCAAACCCCATCCTCCATCCCTTCTTCCCACCCCGTCCCTCCTCCTCGCCCTGGCTCATCTGTCCTGTAGCGCTTTGCCTGACGTCTGTAGGTCAGGCCCATCCTGGAGTGCCTGTTGATGCCGTATAGCATCGAGCTCCCTGCTGTCGCAGCGTCCATCATCGGATTGGTGATTCAACGGTACTGCCTGCTGGCAGGTACAATCATTGGAGAGTCGCACCTGCATGCAGGTTTGTAGTGATCGCTCAGTCTGCAATCGTAGATGGATATGCAAGGGTTTCGTTTCCTCTGAATAGATGCTGCCATCCATGATCCTGACCGCTTTAGTTCTCATTGAGTGCTACAATTCAACCAACTTGACCTGAGTGCATGACTTTGACGCAGCTCCTATGAAGATGCTGAGAGTGATGAGCCATTATCAGCATCAACAGCAAAGGTAGCGTTCTTGTATGAGCAGACCGCAGAGCACAAGCAAAAATGTATGGAGCGTAGGGGACATAATCGGTGCAGTGCATTGCGCTGAGTGGGTGAGTTGAAGTTGGTGACGGCAGGAGGAATCGATCTGGGGAGGTTACGAAGTAAAAGAATGTGTGGTAGTGGGTGGGGGTCAAAAAGGTTGGGGTGATATACACCTTGACCAGCCGCCGAGTTACTGGTATGCCACCCCTCACAGTATATATACCCTCATGCTGCCCTACCCTTCCTCCCTCCCCTTCCCCTCCATCCACCCTTGCAAACCCCATCCTCCATCCCTTCCTCCCGCCCCGTCCCTCCTCCTCGCCCTGACTCATCTCGCCTGACGTCTATAGGATTTTTGATGCGGCGTAGCTTGAGCCGGCAGGGTCTGCGTTGCTGATGGGGAAGTTCGCACCTCCCTGGTCGGAACGTTTTTGCAGGTAAATTATGTTGGGCGGCATGAGCAAATGCATCACTTGAGATCTGAGTTTGCAATAATGGGCTTTATCATGCCCTTGCAGTACAGGCTTACTGTGTGAGATCGCCCGGGCTGGCGGCGCACACTGCACTGGCCGCTCAGCGACCCCGGGCCCGGGCCGGGCCGTGGAGTCACGGTCCCGCGGCCGCCGCACGGTCTACCGGTGATCGTGATAGGTCTTCACTACTGAAAAGTTGTTCACGGCCAATCTGATACGGTAACTTAAAAACTTGAAAGGCCGGCGGGACTCAGGGGAGGCCCTAGGCCCGGGCGGATGAAGGGTGAGGGACCGGAAGCAAAAAAGAAGAGGGCAGCATGTGGTATATATACTGTGAGAGGTATTGATCGAGTAACTCGGCGGCTGGTCAAGGTGTATATCACCCCAACCTTTTTGACCCCCACTCACTACCACACATTCTTTTACTTCGTAACCTCCCCAGATCGATTCCTCCTGAAGTCACCACCCACCCTTCAACCCACCCACTCAGCGCAATGCACTGCACCGATTATGTCCCCTACGCTCCATACATTTTTGCTTGTGCTCTGCGGTCTGCTCATACAAGAACGCTACCTTTGCTGTTGATGCTGATAATGCCTCATCACTCTCAGCATCTTCATAGGAGCTGCGTCAAAGTCATACGCGCAGAGTCCATGTGGTTGGGCATACAATGAGAACGAAAGCAGTCAGGATGGCAGCATCTATTCAGAGGAAACGAAACCCTTGCATATCCATCTACGATTGCAGACTGAGCGATCGCTACAAACGTCCAATGGAGCGACTCAACTTGAAGCTTACACCACGAAACTTGTTCTGATACAATCGATCAGCACTCGGCAAATGAGAGTCCGAGCTTGAGAGAGAGAGCTGTGCATTTTCTTGTATGTCAATGCTGTGTGTATGACAAACCTGCGTACGACTCTCCTATGATTGTACCTGCCGGCAGGCAGCACCGTTGAATCACCAATTGATTCTATGGCAGTGAGCTTCATCTAAACCCAAACGATCATCCGAACGGTCTATGATCCTGTACGGTCGCCTCATGCTACACGGCGTCAAAAGGTACGCCAGGATGGACCTGACCTACAGACGTCAGGAAAAGCGCTACAGGACAAATGAGCCAGGGCGAGGAGGAGGGGGCGGGGCGGGAGGAAGGGATGGAGGATGGGGTTTGCAAGGGTGGAAGGAGGGGAAGGGGAGGGAGGAAGGGGAGGGCAGTATGTGGTATATATACTGTGAGGGGTGTTGATCGAGTAACTCGGCGGCTGGTCAAGGTGTATATCATCCCAACCTTTTTGATCCCCACCCACTATCAAACATTCTTTTACTTCGTAACCTCCCCAGATCGATTCCTCCTGCCGTCACCACCCACCCTTCAACCCCCCCACTCAGCGCAATGCACTGAACCAATCAATGTCCCCTACACTCCATACATTTTTGCTTGTGCTCTGCAGTCTGCTCATACAAGAACGCTACCTTTGCTGTTGATGCTGATAATGCCTCATCACTCTCAGCATCTTCATAGGAGCTGCGTCAAAGTCATACGCGCAGAGTCCCATGTGGTTGGGCATACAATGAGAACGAAAGCAGTCAGGATGGCAGCATCTATTCAGAGGAAACGAAATCCTTGCATATCCATCTACGATTGCAGACTGAGCGATCACTACAAACCTGCATGCAGGTGCGACTCTCCTATGATTGTACCTGCCGGCAGGCAGTACCGTTGAATCACCAATCCGATGATGGACGCTGCAACAGCAGTGAGCTCGATTCTATACGGCATCAAAAGGTACGCCAGGATGGGCGTAGCCTACAGACGTCAGGAAAAGCGCTACAGGACAAATGAGCCGGGAAGAGGAGGAGGGGACGGGGCGGGAAGAAGGGGTTTGCAAGGGTGGAAGGAGGGGAAGGGGAGGGAGGAAGGGGAGGGCAGCATGTGGTATATATACTGTGAGGGGTGGCATACCAGTAACTCGGCGGCTGGTCAAGGTGTATATCATCCCAACCTTTTTGACCTCCACCCACTACCATATATTCTTTTACTTCGTAACCTCCCCAGATCGATTCTCATTTCTGTCCGGATCGTTTTACTCGACCTTAGCTTTTTACCATGCGCCCCATCACTCTTGTTTTTCTGCCCATGGCCAGAGGGAACTTGTGGAGGAGGAGGAGGGTGGGGAAATAAAGGAGGAGACACTTCATAATAGGAAGAAGAGAGAAGAAGAGAAGGCAGGGCAGGGCAGGGCAGGGCAGGGCAGGCAAAGTCATGGAGCCGCAGAAGGAGGAGAGAAGACTGAAAGACCCTCGTCGTATCTTGATTTTTTCCTGGTTCAGGGTAATGGTTCGCCTTGATGGTAGTGGATCTCGTGGATACACCAGATCATTGCAAGTTCTCTTGATATTTCTTGTTAACATTCATCTTTTCTCCTCACCTCAATCTGTTGCTGGGTTCGTCAGCGTTATCAGCATCAGAAAGCTGGTGATTCATCCAGCAACGGGCAGCCGCAATGCACTGAGAAAGAAAGGTGCGGCGTCGATCCCTGTGCGCAACTTTGAGCCTCCCCTGCAGCTTGCTGTCCGAGCATTCAAGATTTGCTGATGGGCGATGATGGTGAGCGAGACATTCTTGTTGTTTGTATGGTGACCGAGCACGTTGCTATGATAGAGCTCGACTTCAAGGAGGGTGACTGGGTCAAGGTGTCTGAAGATGCGCCATTGAAGATGGCGAAGAAGGTAGTTGTTGCTTGCTGAATGGAGGTTCGGTGAAGGGCGAGTAGGGGTGGAGCACTGGACTGAAACCAACGCTGGGGAAGGTTGGGATGTTCGTGGAGGAAGTTGTGGCAGGAGGGCGATTCTGTGTGGTCGACTTTAGCATGACGCCTGGAATCGAGCACCTGGGGCGGCGAGTCTTGCTGGGGTCCTGCCTATCCTCGTCGCAACCTCTTGACGAGATCTCCTTTGACGAAGTGCTCCCACCTCCTGCGGAGTACACGCATCAGACCGTGAAGGAGGAAGTGCAAGTCCCTCGTGTGTCGATCGATGATGAGATTGCAAAGTTGGAGAAGCAGCTGAAAGAATTGTTTTTGAAGGCATCCGATGCACAGAGAGCATACAGCCTGGAAGGGGAGAACCAGTATTCCAAGATTCTGCAGGAGATTGTGCAGTTGCAAGCAACCATCAACCAGCTCAAGGCTCGGTGGTCGCAAGCAGACGTGCTCGACGATGTACAGACCGAGCAGAGGATAGGATTCCCGCTACGCTCTCCCGAGGATGTACGAATTATCGATCCTCGTGGCGAGCAGCAGGAGAAGATCAGGCAGATATCGCAGGCCATCGCAGCGAGGTCTTTGAGGAAAGAACGTCTGCAGGAGAGAGTGGAGGAGAAGCATCGACAGCCGGCTACAGCTTTGCCAGGCGTCGAACAGCCAGGCAACAATCTCGTGGATTACATCAAGAGCGGAGATCAGGCTCGCTCGTTCCAGGAAGCGATGAGGGAGGTAGGGGCTGAGATATACGAAAAGTACAGGGAGAACCGGAGGAGGAAGATGTCAGGCGAAGAGGGAGGAGAGCAGCGGGGAGACGAGCCCAGCTACGACGACGACGACGAGGAGGAGGGCGCGGAAAACGAAGAGATCATGTCGATACTCCGGAACATTCCAGGATTGCAAGACGGCAGCTTCGATTCCGTGAGACGAGACGCGAGCAAGGTATTCAATCATCTCTCATCAATAACCTCTTGCGCCATAGCCCGGCTCTGTTCCCCGCACCATTTTGTCAGACTCGGTTCTCCCCACCATGACCGCGGTGAGCAGGGTGGCGATAGCAAGCCGCGCTGGAGCCCTTCGTCGCCGCCCATATGGAACTCCTTTCGACTCCCTCCTAACGTGTACAGTGGGGAAGTCAGCAGAGCCTGCGATTACGCCATCATCAAACGTCCTCTGTACGCCTTGTCCGTTGATGCCCAGGTAGGTGGAGAAAGTGCTGGACAGAGCTGAAGTTCCAGTCTCTCAGAAGTGTCCTGCTGCGGCGGAAGAAGCTCTTCAAAATGGTATGCTCAAGTACTCCAACAAGAAGGTGGTGGTGGAGGAGGAGCTGGATGATCGCGATGACTCGATGCCAGTCAAGAGAAGACGTGCTCGATCACCTTTGGAAGATCAAGGTTAACTCCTTTCTGTCTCCTGCTTCTTCCGTGACAACCTCTCCACCACCACCACTATCGCCTCCTCGTCCTCCTCCTTCTCCTCCTCCTCCTCCCTCCCTCCCTCCTCCTCCCCCCCCCTTCCAAATCCCATGTAATCACGGTTCAGGGCGAGCTAGTGCGCGAGTTGCACGAGAGGAGCAGGAAGGAGATGCTCGTGAGGTTGAGCAGGAACACCAAGACGTATCCCCCCGGAACTCGATGGATTGTGAGATAACCAGCTGCAGTCCCACTTATCCCTCCATTGCCTGAGATAACAACGATCCCTCTCGTTGCTGCTGCTGCTTGTGGTGGTCGTGGCGGGGGCGATGATAGCGAGAGTTGTGGTGATGACAATGATGACGATGACGATGACGCCGATTATCCTTCAGTCGCTCCGTTTTTCTCTCCTGCATCTCTTCCTTGCCCATTTGCCCTGCTCCTACTGCCCCGGTCCAACGTTCACGGATCCTCCTAGGTCGATGGGAAGCCTCTGGTGAAACGGCGCTACGATGAGCGGGAGGACAAGTGGGTTGAGTACGAGGGGGAGGAGGAGGTATGAAGAATGAGACGGAGAGGAATCAGCATCACTGACGTGGTTGCTTCCAGGAAGTTGCGTTCTCCATAACATGGGAGGATAAAGTCTTCATCTTTCCTCCAAATTCAATGCACGGGTACCACCTCCTCTTCATCTTTCCTCTTACCTCCTCCTCATCTCCTCCTGTCTGCTTCCTCTTTGCCTTCATCTCCTCCTGTCTGCTTCCTTTCTCCTTTCTCCTCTACCCCATCTTTTATTCCCCTTCCCCCTCCTCGTCCTCTCTGACGCTGCCTCGCTTGTCCCCTTTGCAGTTACCGGGCTGAGGCGAACGGCACCATGACAACGAGCTCCAAGTCGACCTGCGTACGTTCCTGATGCTCGCCTGACTTTCTCGCAAGCAGGGAGGAAGAAGCTTTGTCCTCCATGACCCTCAGCTCTGTGTGGCAAGAAGCCAAGGTGAGGATCGACACTTTTCTTCCTCCCCTTTGATTCTGCTCCTGCCAGGAATTCGAGATGTTCCTCAACAACACACACGGCCCATCCATCCGCTCCACTGCTCTCAGACTGCGAGACAGATGCATGACGTGTCTTGACTTCATCGACAAAGTCAGCCTCCTTCTTCCTCGTCCTCGTCCTCGTCCTCGTCCTGATCCTCCTCCTCCTCCTCCTCCTCCTCCACCACCACCACCACCACCACCACCTCCTCCTCCTCCTCCACCACCACCACCACCACCACCACTTCTCCTCCTCCTCCTCCTCCTCCTCCGCGATCCACAGCTGATCTTGCATCGCAGGAGCTCACATTAGCGCGAGAGAGGAATGACGTCATCTTCATGGTCCTTGTCTCTTCCCTCCCGTCCATCTTCTGACGCTACTGGTGCAGGAGCTAGAAGGTGCTATGAGGCACTTGTCAAGATTGCACGTGAAGCTCAACTTCGTGTACGAGACCGCAAGCAGACCCACGTTTACTGAGGCCGTGAGATACTTGCTCTTAGCCTGCTCCTGCTCCTGCTCCTGCTCCTGCTCCTGCTCCTGCTCCTGCTCCTGCTCCTGCTCCTGCTCCTGCTCCTGCTCCTGCTCCTCCTTCTCTTGACCTCATTCCTCTCGTGCTCGCTCTCATCCCTCTTGCTGTTTTCCCACATGTGCCCTTCCTTCTTTCCTCCCCCTCTCCCCTCCCTGCTCCAGCTCGTTGACTCGGAGCTGAAGGATCTCCGGAACATCGTAGAAGAGGACGAGGAAATTTTCTATTGGGACACTTCCAGGACGCTGTGACGACAAGGAGGAGAAATTCTCTACGCGCCCTAGGAGATAGATGGATACAGGCTCTAGGGTTGCAGATGTTGGTGACAGTATCTCAGCAGGAGGAGGATCGCAAGTCAGTCCTGGCGATTGAGGAGGTGGGAGCGTTTGCGGTCTCGTGGATGCAGGGGCTAAAAGTAGACGGGAATGAGCAGCGACAAGGACTGGAGTTGCTCTCCATCTCCTCGAGCATATTGGATGAGCGAGCGATGGCGATGGATGCGCTGACGGTGCTGAAATACCTCTCGGAGGACGAGCAGAGACGGAGAGAGATTGCAGCGAGAGGAGGGATCGAGGCGACTGTCAAGGTGATGCGAGATTGTCATGAGTATCCTCGTGCGCAGGCAGCCGGACTGAGGGTCCTGGTGAACCTATCACAGGAGAAGCAGGGGGTGCGGAAGATGTGCGCAGCATGATGTTTTGTGAGAGTTCGATTTGTTGGACCTCAACCTTCTGGTGACAAAGAGTGTCAAGAAATCGCGGTGCGGACAGCAGCAGCAGCAGCAGCAGCAGCAGCAGCAGCATGGACAAGGCAGGGAGAGAGGGGGAGGGAGAGGGAGAGGGAGACGAAGACGGAGGGAAAGAGGGAGAGGGAGAGGGAGAGGGAGAGGGAGAGGGAGAGGGAGAGGGAGAGGGAGAGGGAGAGGGAGAGGGAGAGGGAGGGAGAGGGAATGTGGGTGGTGGGTGGGGACAGAAAGAGACAAATAGAGAGATGCATATGCAGAAAAGTAGACAGGAATTTGAGGGACAAGGAGGAGAGTGGGAGGAGAGGGCGGGATGAAGAAGGGGCGGGGAGGAGATGATAAGGCAACTCTGTGCGGAGGTTGACGCGGGTGAGAGCGCATGCGAAGAGGAGCATGGCAAGAGAAGGTCAAGAGAGTATGGCAAGCAAGGGTCAAGACAGCACGGACGGTCTCGAATCCCTCGCTCGGTGGGAAAGAGAAAGGAAGACGAGAAAGGAAGACGAGCACAGGAGGAGAGAGATGGAACAACTTAGAGCTGGCGATTGAAGCTCCTCCCTACCTCCTGCCGAGCTCAGACCGACGAGAGCAGCTGCGGAAGTAGCTCAACCTGCACGCTCAGCATGGCGTGATCCGTCGGCCAGTGAGCATTCGGGAGCAGCTGACCAACTGTCACTCTCCCCTCCTCTCCTCATGTGCTCACCATTTCCCCGTCCTCGCCCAGCTCTGGCATAGCATGCATCAGCCGCAAACACCGCACTCAGTCTTTCACCAGGAGACACCTTGACTTGCCAGCTACTCTGCGACGACTCCAGCTGCTCTCTCAGCTCACTTGCAGCCCAGCAGAGGCAGAAGTCCTTCCTTGCCTCGACCACCTGCAATTCGTTGGAAGCGACAGGAACCGATCAGATCACCTTCAGGCACTTGCGAGCGTCGTACATCTGCCCATGAAGTTCCGTCCGCTTCTTTCTTGTCGTCACGCTGCCAACCCATCAACATCCTCCTCCTCGTCCCCTCCCTCCGTCCTCCCCCTCGTTCGCTCCTCCTCCTCCTTCGCTCGTCTGGACCCTGATCCACTCCTCCACATGCTACTTCCTCAGCTCTCTAGACGCCGCACCCGGAGGGAAAGACGCGGAGTCCGAGTGCAGCGGCGCGAGCAGAAAAGGTTTCAACCTGCAGTGAGCGAGTGAGAGTGGGAGTGGGACAGAGCGGGAGAGGAAAACCTTGGAAGAGTTGGGAATGTTGGTATCCGCTAACAGAAAGTTGATCCTTTCTTTGTTGGAAATGTCAAACACCACAGGATTGAACTCATGACAAAGACCTGAATGGCAAAGACTTCTCATGTAGTCTGCAAGAAATTTTGTTCCAGCTTCTGTCTTGAGCTCCTTGCAAAGAGTCATTGTTTCATTTGCAATCATTCATATTCATCGTCGTGATCATTCCCATCCCTGATCCATCCTCTCGACCATCACAACAGTCCATCAACAAGTCAAGAGTGCAGACTCATACAGTCATCTGCCTCCCAGCTGACCTTGACGTGTACGTTGATCACTCTCAGCTTGTCTCCGATGTCGAGAGTCTCCTCGGCAAAACTCACGCACGAACAAACTCTCCTCCACCACCATCGTCTTCCTCGCTGTTGTACGGAATCGCTCCCAATCTTCGCTGCATGGCTCCTCCTTGATTTGTCGCAGCCGTCAGTCCCTCTAACTCCTGGACGTCCCTCACCTCCAATGACCCTCCGACTCCTCGAAGCAGTTCCTCTCTGTCGCATCCTACCACCTCGTTCACATGGTTCACAATGTTCACCTCCCCCATCCTCCTCCCCCCGCCCTACTTTCCTTCCCCCGCCCCCCTTCCCCTCTCCTCCTCCCCTCCCTGCTGTCCTGCTCTCCCCCGCCCCTTCTCTTCTACCGAGCGGGCTGGTCTTGACATCCCTCGGAGAAGCACAGGGATGGGAGCATATAAACGCCTGCCCCTCACCCTGCAGCTTCTTCAGCGTCTCGAGGGTCATCGGTAGCAGAAACAACCTCATAAACGTGATATCCTCGCTCTTCCAACACTGTCTGCAAGGCTGCGTGTCTTGCTGACCCCGGCGCCGGATACTCCTGCGAGTCTCTTCACACCCATCCATGACACGAGCGATTCGTGCTGACCTGCACTGCCAGGACAAAACTTGATGATGATCCTTACAAGCACACTCGTCAATCGAAACCATCCTTCAGCAAGCACGTAAATCATGTTCAGCCTCACCTAACGGCTCCAGCAACTTCCTGTAATTCTCCTGCACGCGCTCTGCCCTTCAGCGTAATGCGATGCCGGGGACAAGCGGCTTACAACGAAGTTGTCCGGGTTGAGATAGGATTCTCTGCCAAGAGAAAGGTAGTCGCCTGCGATCCCCACCATCACTGGCCTCCCATGCCACTCGAGGCAAAGACGAACCGTGACAACCCTCCGCCGCCAGGTTACATGCAACGTCCCACAGCGCCTTACTCCATTAGGTTCAATTACAGCTGCAGCATAGAAAAGGAAGAGGAGGAGGAGGAGGAGGAGGAGGAGGAGGAGGAGGAGGAGGAGCAGGAGGAGGAAACTATCACCATGCAGTGATCCTTGAGATTCTCGTGATAATGCACGACTTGGTCCTGTTGGGCTGTGAGTTCCGCTTTCCTCCATGCTGACTCTGACCTTCATCAGAGCTCTCCAGTTCTTGGCATGAAGAAACAACGGAGTCCCATCGCCATGGACTGGTTTTGCTCCGCATACGATGAGGTTGGTGCGGTTAGTCAGGGCCATCTTGTTGTCTCGTTGCAGAAATTCTTCGGTACATTCTTGGAAGAACAGTTCATTGTGCAGAGCCTGGGATTGCATTTCTCAGGACAACAGCCGACCGAATGAGCAGCCCACAAACATTCATCACCACTTGCAGTTTGAAGCCAATGGCTTCAGCTTCCCTCACGACATCTGCAGACTTCAAAATCTTGAACCTCTCCAAGATCCTCCCATATCGTTGAATCCAGGCTGCGAAGCATCATGATCACTTCTCCTGTCTCAGGCATCTACAATACAATACATTCTTGTTCATCTTGATCTTGATTGCGCTTGTTGTCATCAGCAAACTCAAGGAAGTTGTAGCTTTCTCCCATCATGTTCAACGTCCCCACTACCCCCGCCATGTTCGCCTGTGTTTGCCTCCCCGACAATCTCTTGGAGCTCAAATGAAATTTTCAAACTTTGTGGCAGTCAAAGTTCTCAAAAAAACTTGAGTACTTTTTCCGCTATGCGGAAAGTTCAGACTTGTACCGTACTGTACCCCCTACCCCCTACCCCCTACCCCCTTTCCGACCCTTCAAGCCTCCATGGGCCTCCCTCTCTTTGAGTTTTTAACGGCACGGACTCGGGATACGGGGGTACTCAGTTTCGCACCCAAGCATAGGACCGGTAGTACCTCCCAGGCTCATGTTATGCCGCAAGCCCCACCCCTACAGTCGGGCAAAGGCCATCGGATGAGTCAACTGATGGCGGGCGCCAACTTCAACTTCGGAAGACCCGGTCCCCGCCAATGAAACGTGGGGTACAGGGGTACAATTGACCGATTCAAGTACGGTACCTCCCGGGTCACGGGTGGCAGGCTAATTTAAGTGGGGGTCACGCTGCCGGAATTAACCCCACCACCCTGAATATCTTCGTGCCATATCCGAAGGTCCAAGGCTACTGTCCAGTGCCTGCCACCGGTCCTCCACCACTGGTGACCCCTGGTAGTGTCATGGTGGTCCGATCTTGGCAGTACTACGTAACTAGTAACCCCTGGTCTCGGCGCCGCTCTCGGAGGCTCGGTCATCAAACAGCACTCCGACAAGAAGGGGGGGTACTGGCCCGAGGTACCCGGTAGTAGTTCAAGTTATCAGTCATTTCGCCTTCAAGGCTCGTACGGTACTACCGTTAACGGTCCCAGCACCGACCTTGTAGACTGGGCGGCAATTCCGCCCCTCCTACACCCCCCCGGTACCGTACGGTTCAGGGACAGTCAGTGAGAGGTACCACCCGGTAGTACTACGGTACCTGCCCCAGTGGTGACCCGACCATGATGACCGGGTACCACTGCTGCGCTACCCTGACCTGTCATACACTTGGCGGTATCAATGACCGGTGGGTTGACTGGCATTCTGAGTACCGGACCCCCCAGTCGGCGTCTGATCTTCACGTGGTGCCATTCCCACCGGCGGCACGCACGTACCGTTCTGCGAGTACCCTACCCTCAAATCCCCTGCCCTTGTCAACTAAATCCCCTACCCACCCCCCTCAATGATGACCACGAAGACCGCATGCACCCTTTCTACATGATGAGTCCGGCGGCGTGACTCTTCCGAAATCACTACCCACCCCATTAAGGACATTATCTGGGGTTTCAGCGGTAAATTCCTGGGGTACAGGGGGTGCTCGATACCACCAACCTACTCTACATCGGTAGTAACTTTTTTAACCGTAGGTTGCTTACCTTTCCACCTCCCCCCTTCAACTTTTTTCACGGGATATAACCCCCATCACAGAGGGGTTAGGGATGGGGAAAGAGAGGGTAATTGAACAAGAATTGCGATGACCACCCCCTCATACCCTCGTCTACCCCTCCTTGAATGACGTTTGCAGCCATTTTAGTCCCACCCACCCTACAATGCAGTACTGCACTACCCCACCTACTGTTCCTCCCCTCACTGCACCCCCAACCCTCATCGGAAACCGGTCCTCTCCATCCCTGCCTGCTCTCCCTCCCTATCTCCTTCCCTATCTCCCTCCCTATCTCCCTCCCTATCTCCCTCCCTTCCTGCTTCGCTCTCCTCTCCTCTCCTCTCCTCTCCTCTCCTCTCCTCTCCTCTCCTCTCCTCTCCGCTCCTCTCCTCTCCGCTCCTCTCCTCCCCCTGATCTTCCTTCGTTGAAGTCGAGCCTTGATCAATAGCAATACCTCTAGCAATACCATCTGCCACATTGAGGTGGTTTCCTAAGGAAGAGTGTGCACTGTGCTGGAAATTTTAGAACGAATACCATCTTGATCGACGTCTGAGCAGGAGAGGACTTTAGGTTCGTTCGGCCGACTAAACGTTTTTCCGGGATGAAGGCCAAGAATGCTCCTGCAATCAACTCAGAGAGGGAAAGGAAAACGAGCGAAGTCACTGACATCGATGAAACTTCCAGCAGTGAAGAGGAAGATTCCCGATTGATGTGGGCGAAGAGCAATGGGTTCTCAAAATCGCTTCAGGAGTTTTATTCAGTGATAAAACTGATGGAGGGAAGAGAAATCAAAGCGAAAGATGTCATCGAAGGAAGAGAAATTGCCAGGGGAGCGTTTGGATCCATTTACAGTGGCACAATGCATGGGCTGCCGGTGGCCGTGAAGCACATATGCAAGGTAAGTTTGTGTTTCTTCAATCTGGTGAAAATGATGACCATTGCAGGGGCCGGCAAGGGGCGAGATCAGTTTCAGGCAGATATTTCATTCCATTCGGCTTGAGTTGGCTGTGACACGAGTTCTAAACCATCCCAATATTGTTGAATTCAAGGGAATGATAACGAATTTCCCTGATGCTAAGGGAAGTAATGATGATTTTCAACTAGCGTTTGTGTTTGAGCTATGCTCCAATGGGAGTTTGTTCGACTTGATTCATCGTAAGACAGTGAATCTTCCTTTGCTTAAGAAATTCAGCATTGCACGAGAAATAGCTTCGGGAGTAGGTTATCTGCATGACCTGAGTATTGTGCACAGAGATTTGAGCACAAACAATGTGCTGCTTACCTCTGACATGCAAGTGAAGATAACTGACTTTGGATGTTCTCGACAAATATTTGGTGAAGTTTATCAATCCACTACGATATCTGGTAGTCCAGCTTACATGGCTCCCGAACAGCTGCAGGGGCAGGATTTGACCCTCAAGGTTGATGTGTGGGCCATGGGTGTAATCATGTGGGAGCTCGTCAATGAGGTGATACCATGGAAAGACAAGGACTTCAACAACCGGAAAGAGATGGCTGAATTGGTGGCCGTCAAAGGAACTCGCCTGCCCAGAACCCCTGAGAACAGACTACCGCCTGGGTTTTCGAAGCCGTACCATGCCCTCCTTGACTCAATGTTTCAAGCATCTGTGCCCGAAAGAATCAGCATCAAGGCTGTACACGAAAGAATCAAAGAGATAGAGACATTGGACGTGAGGACTGCCGAGTCATGGACTGAATCTCGAGAAAAGCTGTCGTCAAGACTTCGTTGCTTCTACGCCAAGTATAACGCCAGCAAAATGAGTAATGTACGCGATGTTGTGCGTGATTTTCACGGCAATGAAAGTGATCTGAACGAGCGGCTGCGGAAATCATACAATGCTGACCTGAACGATCTTGAAAGCCCTCAACAGGACATCAAGGAAAGCTTTGATTCAAGCGAGCAGAGTAGATCGTCAACCATGGTTGACGACAAGGAGGTCGAATCGGGAACGAGCGATTACTTCTTTACCCCTCAGGGTCTGGAGGCAAAATTGATCAAATTCTACGAAATCATCAATCCATCTCGTATGAGTGAAGCCGCGTCCCTGGCCAAGAGATACTTCGAAGACATATCAATGCTAAATCATTCTCTGACCCAGAAATACGGTGTGAGCTTGAACGCAAGTGAGGAAGAGTTGAGAAGCAGGAAATGCTTCATGTCTCTGCAGGAGGAAAATGAAACAAGCAGCACGTGCTCTAACGATTCTCTACCACACAGGATCAATGCTCTTAAAGACATGCTGGTCGAATTTTACTCGAATGTAAATCCCTCGAAATTGAAAGATGCTGAACGGGTGGCTAAATCGAATGTGGATACTGTTGAAAAACTGAACGAATCCTTACGGAAGAAGTATGGCAAGGATTTGAATTCAAACAAAGAGGACAGCAACAAGAGCTCTTCAAGTGTTCTGATCGACAGATTGACACAATTTTACAATTTTTACAAGCCGTCCAATGTCCACCAAGTAGAAGCAGTTTTAACAAAGTATCAATATGATACGAGCAAACTGAATGAAACTCTGAGGGCCAAATATGGAGCGGATCTAGAATCGTTTCTGCTGAAAGATTCCAAGCACGAAGAAGATCTTGACATTTCGTCCCCCATGGAGTCCAAAAATCATTTCTTCGAACACGATCAAGGACAGAAAACTTGCAGTTTGAATCATTTGAAATTCTGGAAGTCACTGGGGCCGGTGCCTGACCATCAGGTTTCTGATTCTGCAGGGAAACGATCTGTTTCTCAGAAGGAAGCTGCAGATGTTTCCTGTCAGCCTGAAAATGAGAACGGGAAACAGGATTGTGTGGAAATGGATGAAAGGGATCTTGTGCAGAAGCTAAAATTCTTTTATTCCTTCTGGAATCCGGCGAAAGCAGACAAAGCAAAGCAAGTGGCCTCCTCCTACAAGTTCATGGTGAGCGACCTGAACAGAAGCCTGCAAGACAAGTACGGTCTAGACCTGGACTCCCCTAGTGACCAGATCATGACGAGGGGTAAGCTCGCTCTCCGTCTGTACAGGCTGTATGAGAAGTTGCCGGCGGGAAAGAAGGAGTCGCAGATTAAGAGTATCCCAAAATTAGTCTCGTCGTACTACGGGAGAGAAGCCGAGCTCGCTACCGTCCTTCGCCAACAAGGATTCGACGTGCAGGCGACCAGCCTTCGATGATTGTACTTGTAGTGCTTGCAACTGCTACTCGCGTGTGCTTGTTATTTACAGCTTTATGAGATGGTTGTCAGAGTGAACTGAACAAACTCGAAGTCACTTGGTACTCGTGTTGGCTCAAACCATATCGTCCTGCTCAGCTTGTGACATGTTATGGCGACCCAACACAAGTCGTACCTGCTCCTCGCGCTATGAACTCTCTCTCTGCGCGGGCCTGCTGCCTCACTAGGAGGTCGTTGTCCATGGCTCGCTCCCTCCTCTCACGCGCCAGCAGCTTGTCCTGCTCTAGCGCATGCTCGTACAACCTGAGACAAGGTGAGGGAGAGAGAGGAGAGAAGGAGAGCGAGTCAAGGTGAGGGAGAGAGAAGAGAGAAGGAGAGCGAGACAAGGTGAGAGGGAGAGAGAGGAGAGAAGGAGAGCAAGACAAGGTGAGGGTGCCATGCCTTTTGATCTTTGCTGCTTCCCTCCTCTCGCGTGCCCTCTCCTCCTCCTGCTTCTTATAGATTTCTTCCATTTGTAATCTCAGGTCCTGAAAGGCATCAGCGCAGCAGATAAGAGGAAGAGAGGAGGGTTGGCTCGCCTGGCAATACTCCCGCGTCCTCTCCTTCTTGTCCCTCTTATCTTGCACCTCCTTGTCTGCCTCCTCCTTCATCCTCTCCTGACATCCCCGTCAACAAGACACAAGAGCAGCAGGACCAACCTGGTTCTGTAGCGCGATCCTGACCTCCGCTTCTCTGCTTCTTGACGCTGCGTCTTGGAAGAAGGTTGCGCTTGCGGCCTGGAACAGAGCAGAGTGATCATGAGAACGACGGGAAAGCGAGAGGGGAGGGGAGAGGAGGAGAGAGAAGAGGAGAGGAGAAATCAATTGACCTCTCGCTGTTTGATCTTCTTCTGTCTCTCTAACATCTCTTTCTCACGCATTTCCTCCCTCTTCTTCAACGTCTCCATGAGCTCTCTCTGCATCTTGACCTCCTCCATCGCCTCCATCCTTGCTGCCGTCAACTTCTGCCAAAAAATTTCAGCACACCAAAGACGAATCAGCTCCTTCCCCTCCTCGTGCTCCTGCCCCTGCCCCTGCTCCTGCCCCTGCTCCTGCCCCTGCCCCTGCCCCTGCTCCTGCCCCTGCTCTCTTTTCCCCTCCTGTTCTCTCCTCTCCTCTCCTCTCCTCTCCCCCTCCCTTCGACGAACCTCCTCGGCGATCTTGGCGTTCTCGACATGCGCGCGGTCTCTCTCTCTCTTTGCAGCTTCCTGGGCTGCTCTGAGTTGCAGCTCCTCCTGCTTCATCTCCTCTTCGAACCTTCCCGCTGATAAGTCACTCTCCTCCTCTCATGCCTCTCAGCCTCCCCTTCCCTCTTTGCACCACCTCCTCGTCCTCGTCCCTGTCCTCGTCCTCGTCCTCATCTTTGTCCCTGTCCTCGTTCTCGTCCTCGTCTCTATTTCAGCGACCATCTTTTCTTCTACTCCTCATCCTCTTCCCTCCTCTACTACTTCCGTGTCAATCTTTCCTCCTCCTCCTCCTCCTCCTCCTCCCACCTCTTACGATCTTGTTTTGCCCTCATCTTCGACACCGCCATTTCTCGCTGGATTTCTTGATGCTCCTGCAGTGCGATGAGGGTGAGACGGGAGGAAGAAGCGGAAGAGGAGGAGGGAGAGGAGGAGGGGAGAGGAGGAGGAGGAGGAGGAGGGGGGGGGGGGGGAGAAGAGGACCATGGCGATGGCGCTTCGGATGTCTCTTGCAAGAGATTCCTTGCGCTGCAGGCTCTCCATCTGTTTGCGATGATGTTGGAGCGCTTCATCTCTTAGCTTGCTGCGACAAGTTGTGAGGCAAGGGAGATAACGTAACTATGAAGCAAGGAGGACAACGAAGGGTGGAACGAGGAGGAGGTGGTGGTGGAATATGAAAGAGGAAGAAGTGAAAGAGAAAGTTGAGTTACTGGATGAGAGGATGGAGTGGGACTAGGCACGCAAGTAATGGTGTGTGAATGGTAGAGGTGGTGGAATGAGATTGACTTACTTGATGATTTGCTGCTTCTCCTGATCTTTCTGGTCCATCTCATATCTAGCCTTCAATCGCATTTCATCCATCTGTTCCATCAAACTGCTCTTGTATTTCATCTTCTTCATCTTCTCCATCTTCTTCAACTTGCAAGAAAATTCTCACTTGGGGACGACAAAGTCTGCAGAGTTACCTCCAACTCCTCCAACGCTTCCTTGCGAGACTTTTCCCGCATCATGATTGTGAATTCATCATTCTTGCTTCTCATCAGGTGCGGATCAGTAACAATGTCCTTGAGATATGATGTCTCCTTCACTCTGAGATGCTTGTACAACTTGTCTCCGGTCTCCTTGTCCTTCCCTGCCTTGGCTGTCTCTCTTTCTTCACCTCCTCTCTTCAACACTTGGCTCACTTCTTTCACGCGTTCTTGCTCCCTCCCTCCCTCCACCTCCTCCTCCTCGCTCGCACTTCGAACTCCCCTCTCACCCCCCTGTTCTACCACTGAGCTTGTCCGACTGTCCACCTTCCCTGAACTGCTTCTTCCTTTCTTTCCATTCACCTGCTTGCTCTCCTCTCTTCCTCCTCTCCCAACAGTCGCGTGAGGAGTCGGATGAGAAGGAAGTCGTCTTCGTGGACCCTCAGCATCTTGCGACGTCTCTGATCTCACCGTCACCCGAACCTTGATTCTTGTCTCCTCGTCTCCCGCCCTCGCCTCTCCCTTCTCCTCTCTCCTCAACTGCGAAGAGACGGCGAGCAGCGGTCTGCCATGGAGAGAACGGAAAGGGATGGCCACTATCCTATCGAGCGGATCCCCCAGCCATTGCTGCACCTCCCTCGTCAGAGGCGTCTGCATCCTCGACCTCCTCCAGCTCAGCTCTAGCTCGTCAACGCTGAGGTAGCATACGACAGGTCCTGCATACACAACATGTCAGAGTTGAGCCCCATCATTGCTCGACATGTCGGATCAGACGTGCCAAGAACGGTTCGCGAATAGTTTTCTTTCTTGACCCACCCATGGACTTTGTTCATCCTCCTTCTAGTTGAGTTCCTTACTTGTAGTGTATATCCTCCTTCCTGCTCCTGCTCCTGCTCCTGCTCCTGCTCCTGCTCCTGCTCCTGCTCCTGCTCCTGCTCCTGCTCCTTCATACTAGTGAGCAAAGATTGTATATCATCAAAGTTCATATCAAGTATCTGCACAAAATTCTTTCGATGCAATCAAGTAGTCTAATCCATCCATTTCAACCGTATCCGTGTCCATCTTCTTTCAATTTCTCCCTCTCGCCCTCGCCTTGCAGTCCTCTCCCTAACTTGCAGTGACAGTGCCCGGATTGTTCCTTCCAGGAGAGTCCTCCTCCCCTACTACTGCCGAGCATGCGCCTGAGCAGCGAGCGCTGATCGCTGTACTCTGTACTCAGACTACTGTAGACTCGCCTTCGTTTCTCAATCAGTTGCTGAGTCAGCCCGTGCCGCTGCCACTACACTGACGGCGACTGAGTAGGCCCACACTGCCGACTAACTTCGTTGCACGGTGATGGCAGTCAGTCTGACCGTCTCAGCCACGGTCTTGTGACAGTTGTTCCGAGTTCAGTACTCAGTGAGTCCCCCGCTGACCGTACTGACGGCGTCACCGTCCCTGGCATCATTGGACGCCCGGGGAGCCTGACGAGGCTTCCAAAGTTGAATGATTTCGAATCATTGCATGGCATCATCGGCTGAGCGGGCGGATCGAGTCGAACCAGTCGGCGACCGTACCGTACTCGTTGAACGACTTGACTCCGGGTGACGTCACTGACGGACTCACATCGGCGGACGGACTCCGCGGCATACTGATCGAGTCCGTGGTGCCATCATGTCAGTTTGGTCGGCCATGTCGCCTCATCACTGCCAGTCTGCGGTACCACCGGGATGACCATGACGATCGCACTGCACTGCCGCCGCAGCCGGGGGCGACCGTTGACCTCAGGCTTGTCAAACTTGCGACATTCAGTTGAGTCCCAGTGTCCGGGCCCGGCTCAGTGATTCCCGGGCCCGGTCCTGCCGGCTTCGTCATCGTCGGTTAAGATGATGAATCCCTGCGTTTCAGATCTGTAACATCAGACCCGAGGCGTACCCGGAGCTCCGATATTAAAACATCAGTATTAATATTAAAACATTTATAAAGGACAAACCAGTAGGAGAGATACGGCATCTTGAAGGTTGATCTGGAAAAAAACTGTTTTAATAGTTCATTTTTAGCTTCAGTTTCTTAAAAGTGTTTTGGGAAACACTTCTATGAGATCTTCTGGATAGAGGGTGCTCAAACGGCAAGAGACAGAAACAAGCACGAAAAGATTCATTTTCGTGTAAAAGAGGTTCGGATTTAAAATTGTTTCTAAGAATGAAGAGGCCTGCGGCCCCAGTACACTGCTACCATGCGCCGATCAACAGCACCCCTGACCCCTCATTTGCCCTCGTTTCTCACCGGTCTGAATAGAGCTCAGCATGTGCAGAAGTAGATAGGGGTAGCATTGGGTGGTTGGGGGGGTGGGGCTTACAGGAACTCTCGGGGAAATCTGCGAAAGAGCGTGTTTTGATTGACCAGTCCCCGCTTAATTACTTTTAGCCCATTTTTGTGGAACATTAGATTTAAAATTTGTATTTCAATTTTTTTGAGTTATATAATTATAAACATATTGCAGGATTGACTTATTTTTATGTGATACGGGCGCCCAGTGACGAGGTCAAGGGGAAGAAAATCTGCAAGAGCCAAGAGAGGAGAAGAGAGGAGAGGAGAGGAGAGGAGAGGAGAGGAGAGGAGAGGAGAGGAGAGAAGAGAAGAGAAGAGAAGAAGAGAAGAGAAGAGAAGAGAAGAGAAGAGAAGAGAAGGAGTAGCGAGGAGAGGAGAAACAGAGTGGAAAGGGTAAGCTAAGAGCAGCACGTTCAAGGAAACAACTGCTACTTCAATCTTTCTGTAATCACATACCACAGCATGCCGTCGGGTACAATGCCTGTGCTTTCATTGCATGAGACTCACTTGAGCGAGATCTTTTCAACTCCAAGCCCAAAAGGCCCAATCCTGACGAGACACTCCGACCTCTCGCTTCCCTTGCGCCAGCTCTTGTTCTCTCCTCGTCAGACGGCCAGCCTGGGGGAGAACGATACCAGCATGCTCTCCGATGCTGAGGAGAGCATGGCGGATGAACTCTTGTGTAGCCTATTGAGGGAAGAAGAAGAGCTTTCGCAGCTGCAAGACCATCTCAGAGAAGCCTGCACTCACTATCTGCAAACACAAGACGAGCACGAGCACGAGGACGAAGACGAGGACGAGGACGAGGAGGGAGGGAACGGGGAAGAAGAGCAGGGTGAGGGCGAGGACGGGTTAGTTGAGGATCTTTTCGCTTCCGGGCCTTCAGGTGAAGTGGCTCTTGCCAAGTCCTTCCACGTGTGGAGGTCCCACACCACGAGCATGCTAGACACCAGGCTGAGCGTTGAGGAGCGACGATGCGGGAGCAGAAGGGATCTGCTGTCGAGCTGTGTGGGCGCATGGAAGGTTGAGAGGCAGGAGAGCAGGAGGTTGGAGAGACTGAGCAACTTTCTTTGGAAGCAAGGAGATCGAGACTTGACGAATTTCTTCTTCTTCTCTTGGAAACTCAACAGAGAAGCGTCGAAGATCTCGGCGGCCGAGGATGTTTGTAAGAGCAGCATGAAGCAGAGGCCGCGCCAAGTTGAGATTGCTCTCTGCGAAGAGTTTCTCTTCACGCACATGATGGACTCGGAGTTTGACTCGAACAGGGACGTGAATGTTGTGCTGGAAGACGATCTCAACAATGACAAGGAAGGATCATCCGATGAGGAGGTCGGCGACAACGGCTGGAGGATGTCAGAAAATGCTCAGAGTGCAGATGCTACGATAGCAGAGAATCCCATCGGTGGGAGCAAAGATGTAGCTTGCAATACTGAGGGTGATGCCAACTTGGAATGCAACGACAACAGTTTGTTCCAGTGTGAGGTGAACAAAGAAATTGAGGAATCTTATGAATCCTTTCCTGGACTGTTCGACAAGACAGAAACTGTCGATGATGTCAATGTGCACGAGGAAGAATATGGGAGAAACGACACGAGCGTGATGTCAGAAGCAGGTTGGTCTCAGGTTGATCTTGAAGATGTTATGATGCAGCAGAAAGAGGAGTTGTTGTCAATGATCAGAAGAATGCAGAATGAGCTGAAAAAGAAAGAGAAGATCATTGAAGAGCAACACCTTGAATTGAACATGTTCAGAAGACAAAGTTTGAACAGGTTGAGGTGTTACAATCATATCGGAGAAGAGGATTCTTCTCTGGTGAGGGCAAAGTTGTCACTGTGAATATGTATGTCTATCTAGATCGTGGTATTATATGTGCATTATTCAGATGTAAATTAAAACAAAATCTACTCGTAATCCTTAAATTATCTCCCCCTCCTCCTCCTCCTCCTCCTCCTCCTCCTCCTCGCGACTCCTTCCTCCTTGTTGTCGTCAACCGGTCACCGTCTCTTCCTCGACCGCGCACGACGGGGAGGGCTGCTTGCAGGTCTCCGGGGAGGAGGGAGACACCTTGACGTCCGAGGTCCTGCGAGGAAGAACGACGAGGATGCTGATCCCCTCCTGCACTGAGTCAGAGGGGGGACAAGGCGGTAGGAAGGGGGGAGGGCGAAAGGCGGCAAGAAGGAGGCGGGAGGAGGAGAGGGAGAGGAGGAAGAGGGAGAGGGAGAGGAGGAAGAGGGAGAGGGAGAGGAGAGGAAAATTTCACTCACCGTCGTTGAAGAAATCAGAGAGGACAAGAGAACATCTTCCTCAAGGACCCGACCAGCGTGAACCTACAGGCAGCGGTAAGAGGAGGAGGACGAGGAGGAGTCAGCGAACCAGGCGAACGTGTGCGATGTCAGGAAGCGGTATCTTGCTAGCCAGTGAAGTTTTCATCTGCCGCCGGGTGAGAAGGAAAGGGAGCAAAGGGGAGAAAGGAGATGGGAGAAAGAGAAGAGAGGGCAGGAGGAGGAGAAGCAGAGAAGAGAGGGCAGAGAGGAGAGGAGAAGAGAGGAGAGGAGAGGAGAGGAGATGAGAAGAGAGGAGAGGAGAGGAGAGGAGAGGAGAGGAGAGGAGAGAAGAGGGCGGGCAGGAGAGAGAAGGAGAGAGAGGAGAGGGAGGATACCGCAGACACGGTACTAGACGAGTCTAGGGGGATGGAAGTGACAGGAGGGAGGTTGTCTCCAGCCCGCTGCATAATCTTGAAAGTCACCTCCACCTTCGATCCTGGAGCAAGTCAGACGAGAAGTGGAGGTAGAAGGGAAGGAAACAAGAAGCAAGTGGAGGAGGGAAGAGGGAGGAGGGAGGGAGAGGAGGGAGGAGGAAGGAAGGGGAGACAGAGGGGAGGAGGGAGGGAGAGGAGAGAAGATGGAGGCGGAAGCAAGATAGAGAGAATTCGACACCTTGCTCTTCTTGATCTTCGTTCTCCGGCTCGAAGTTGAGGCTGAAGCAAACATGAGTAGCAGAAGGCAAATGGGAGTCGGCTGGTGGAAAGGGAGGAGGATAAGGAAAGGGAAGGGGGGGAGGGAGAAGGGAAACGGAAGGAAAAGAGGAGGAGGAGAAGGAAAGGGAAGTGGGCGGGGAAGGAGAAGAAGGTTCAGGCAGCGGCACATGATTTCACCTCCTGTTGGTCGATTGACGTTGAGACCTGGGCACAAGCATGTAAGAGAATGCCTCCCTCCTCCTCCCGCGTTCGCATCCTCCCCTGCCTCCCTCCCTATCTCCTTCCTCTCCCTCCCCTCCTCACCTCAGCCCCGTCACTTCTCCAGCTACTCGTCCAGTCGCCTGATCAAGGAGAGCAAGAAGTTCCTGCCATGCAATCAGCAACAAAATCCTTCTCCTCTCTCTCCTCCTTGCTCCTTGCAATCCTCTTTCTGTTGCCTCCCTCCCTCTTCCCCCTTCATCCACGATGTTGCCCTCTCCTCCTCCTACCCTCTTCTCGACGCATCCGCTGATCTTCTCCTCTGCCACCCCCAGCTGCCTCAGCTTCATCTTGATGTCCTTGATGGCACTGGTTGTGTTGGGCGACAGAATTTCCTGCGAGTTGCCTCCGTTACACCATCAACGAAACCATCATCAACACCATCATCATCAACAACAACAACAACACCATCAACACCACCACCACCACCACCACCACCACAACAACAACAACAACAATCATCCTCTGAACCACACACCGATGAAGCGGAAGGAGTTGAAGGCTTCGGGTTTGGAGATTGCTGGGGAGAAAACGATCCTGACTGTACTTGACTCTTGAAGGCCTGGCGAGAGCAACTCAACTCAACCAAGTCACAAGGAGCAACGCGGGACCTCGATATCTTTCTCGATGTCATCGACCGTCACGTGAAAGAACTTAAGATAACAGGCAACGAACTGCAAATTCACGTCAACATCAAAGAACTCCCTCCTCCTCCTCCTCCTCTTCCTCCTCCTCCTCCTCCCTCCCTCCCTCCTTCCCCCGGGTCTTCGTCTTCCTCCCTCCTCGTTCTCCTCCTTGCTCACCTTCCCGAAGGACAAGTCAGGCTGTGCAATCATCTCCTCTAGCTGCCTCCGCCTTTCCATGATCTCTTCGTCTCGAGCTGGCGAGCAGAGGGACTGCAGCCTTGCAAACGTGAAACCAACCAAATTCTGCAACGTGCGAATGAGCGACAGGAAGCGCAGCAGGAGCACAGCTATGAGACAGCGATGTCATATCCGTAGTCGACATGAACATCACCATTATGATCATCATCATTAACACGAGCAAGAGAATGAGGAGGGAGTGTAAGAGCAGGAGAAGCAGGAGGAGCAGGAGAAAAGGAATGAGGGAGGGAGGGAGGGAGGGAGGGAGGGAGGGAGGATGATGTTGATTGGATCGCACCTGGAGGTCAACCACCTCAAAGGCATTGTTGACAAGCATCTGCTGAAAGAGCGAAGAGTCCATCTTCTCATAGATCTCTTCTCTGATGTCTTGACGACGGGGAGTGAGAGCACATAGCCGGTCTCTCATCTCCTCGTACAGGCGAACGATCCAGTCGTAGTCCGGCTTCTGTTCGCCATGTCAGCTACAGCCCAGAACGCTCCCTGAGAATATGGAGGGACGGAGATGAAGAAATCTCCTCCTCCTTCTCTCCCTTCTCTCTTCTAATACTGCTAGTACTCTGCTCCTGCTCGTGCTCCTGTTCCAGTTGCTGCTCCTGCTCCTGCTCCTGCTCCTGTTGCTGCTCCTGCTCCTGCTCCTGCTCCTGCTCCTGTCCCGTCTCCCTCCTTCGTTACCTCAGGGTTCAGAGCATTCTCCAGTAGGTCGTAGAAAGCTTTCCTCATGTTGAGCTCAACTTTTGCCTTCACCTCCTCCAGCCACTTCGGCGACCCTGGAGTGGGAGGAGGAGCACTGCTGCCTGCAACTGGGGAGAAAGGAGCGGAGGAGGGGGCGGAGGAGGGGGCGGAGGAGGAGGATGCAGCCTTGGGGGAGGGAGAGGGAGGCATCTTGTCGCAGAAGACAGCATAGAAAGTGATGGTTGTATCCAGCTCGTTCTTCATGAGAGACAGCAAAGTCTCGTTGTCTGAGATACTCCTCCCTTCGAACACAAACTTGATGTTGTTGTCCAAGAGCTCATGGCTAGTGATCTCAGGACACTGCTTCAGCTCCTCTTTGAGATCCTTCACTGTCTTCTTCCTCTGGAGCCGGCAGACCAGACTCTTCGGGATGACTTCCTTGCTCCTTGCTCCCCTGATCTCAACCTCGATGTGTTCTGACTCATCTACATCAACATGTAGACTTGAAACCTTCGATGTAAGCCCCTCTTGTCCGGACATCTACGTTGGAGCATCGTTAGATGTAGCTTCTTTTGCCATGGAAATCAACACAACAACACACACGACATGTCAGTCACATTGAATGAAAATCGTCTTGTGAGATTTTCTCCTTCAATTATGTTCATATCTTTTTCGTTCAATTCACGTTCAAACTTGCTCAAAGATACGAATGTGGGAGAATCATGTTTTCATTGAAGCATGAAACATGGGGTCATAACATCCTGGATTTTTAAAGCACCATCTTGCATGTCACATTGAACAACATCTCGTGTGCCAACAATAGTTTCCTTTTCATTTTTCTCTGCAACATTGTTTTCTTGTGCTCCATAGTACTACTGGCCTTTTCCAACTTATGTTTGAGTCTCTTCATCATCCTCCTACAGATCATAATCGATCCATCTGTCCTCATCGTTCCAACTTCCTCCCTGCCTCTCCTCTTCCCCTCCTCCCCGCCCTCCCTTCCTCCTCCCGCCAACATTCTTCTCTGTTTGCTCCCACACGCCATGCTCGCCTGTAACCGGCAGGCAAACTCTTTTACAACTGTTTTAATATCACAACAACTTTCTAAGGTTTAATAGTAGTTGTAAAACCAACACAACCACATCCAATTATTTTAAAACTATAATATAGCATCTATATCAGTTTTTGAAAATGACGTTAGCATACAAGATTATTAGAATAACTAATTTAGAGCTGTAACTGAAGCTAATTATGTTTGCATTTTGATAACTATTTGTACGAGAGAAATTGATACCATACTTCAATACATCTTAATAGTGTTTTTCTTTTAAAGTTGTACCAGTTTTTAATAAGCAAATTTTATCAGAACTCTTTCCCGGGAGAAACAACAAACTTGGTTTGAATTCGAAATGCAGGGTAGTTTCGCGATGGGCATGGAACAGTAACAGAACAGAGCAGAGCAGAGCAGAGCAGAGCAGAGCAGAGCAGAGCAGAGCAGAGCAGAGCAGAGCAGAGCAGAGCAGAGCAAGAGCAGAGCAGAGCAGAGCAGAGCAGAGCAGAGCAGAGCAGAGCAGAGCAGAGCAGAGCAGAGCAGAGCAGAGCAGAGCAGAGCAGAGCAGAGCAGAGCAGAGCAGAGCAGAGCAGAGCAGAGCAGTCTGAGCTGTGGAACGTGAAGAAGAAAAACACAGGTCCCTTGCGATCTATTTCTAGCATCATTTTGAGCACTAGCATCCTTGCGAGCAAGCGTCGATGAATCTTTCATGCATTGTATGATCATGACAGACCAACATAGTTAAAGACAAGCAGAAACTATATTCATCGTTCTCCTTTCCCCTTAATTTTAATCTATAGGCTCCTCCTGTGCTGGTCAGCAACACCCTTAATCTTTCCCTCTTTAGCAAGCAGTAAAATCATCATGCTCTGATCTCTGGTCTGGATGTGCTTCCTATCCATTATCTACAATCACCTCCACGAAGTCACTCTGACGATCATCAAGAGCTGAACTCCTCCTACTGTAACCTTGCCATCACAATCTTCTGCGCTGCGGTCTGCAAACTCTTGACCCTTGATGATTCGAGGAGATTCTTCAAAGCATCTTTGCCTTCTCGCCTGTACAGTCATCAGTGTTGGTAGGCCAGCAAAGAGTCAGACTGGTCACCGAGCTTTCCTTACAAGAGCGTGATACAAGGATAGAGATTTCCTCCATTTCTTCCGCCATGCCGTGACGTTGGAGTCGTGGCCCCCCATGTTCGGATCTCCCTCGCTGTACACGCGGCCCTTGCATCTCTTGTGGCTGTTGTTGAACGGAACGAAGCCGTAGTGAGCCAGGAACTCGGCATCGCACTTGCTGCCATAGGATATGAAGAACTGTTCGCCTACACTGAGATTCTTCTGAGCATTCAAAGTCATCCTTCCCCGTGGGTCCCTGTTGGCTTCTAGACCCGAAGAGTCGTGGTTGGGCATGTCGGCAGCTGGCGCGAGAGTGTGGACGGTGATGTTTCTTCCTCTAGGGCCCAGAGCAGAGTCGAAGTAAGTCTTGCCCCAGGTCCTCGACATGATAATGCTGATAGCCCATGCGAACTTCTCGTAGGAGAAGACCTCAGGGGAGAAGAGCGTTGGGTACTTGAGGAAGAGGACGGGGAGAAGCTGCATGTAGTGCAAGTCCACCACATCCCTCCTTGCCTCCACCAGCGCGTCGAACTTCACCCTCTGATCCTCCGGGAGCTGTTCTTTCAGCTGTTGTCGCCTCTCCTTGGAGTAGAACATGGGGAGCGGGACGTGCTTCGGGAGGGAGCAAAGGTATGGCCTCCAGAAGGAACTCTTGTTTTGAGACTCAAGCAATAGAAACACCGCAAGCGCGCCTATGGCTGCAGGGGGAAATGTCATAAAAGGAGCAGAGGAGTAGGAGTACCATCGTGAAGTTGAATAGTGTCATTGTAGACTTGCCCTAGCACATGGTGGTGCTTAATCTTGCTGGTTTCGCTCTCGTCAGTGCAGCTTGCAAACATTCAGTCGCAGCTATACCTCATGGTAAGCAGCAAGGAGTCAGGGATCATGAAAACAATCCTCCCATACTTGATAGGACTCGTTGCCATGATTCCTCTCACCTTGACATCTTTCACGCCTGTCCATACCTGTCACTAAGATCCAGCGAAAATGTCAAGGATCTTGAGAGCAAGGGCTTGCCTGGGATGGGGAACATCTTAGTGGTGATGTTGGGATGGATGAAGGCTCCATGCTTCTTCGCCCATCGAAAAACGTTGATCACCCGCTGCAAAATCCCGTGATTACAGCGAGCGAGAATCGAGAGCAGGGCAGAGGAGGAGGAGGACATCACCTCAGTGTCTGTCCCGCAATCATCAGGATCTACCAAGGCATACCCGAAGATCTCTTGCGCACTCCGTTGATGTCGACGAGCACCCGCATAACGAATTGTGGACGCGTGAGTGTTGAGCGTGTAGACACCGAAGAAAGAAGCCGCGACGACGAAGGCGAGAGCAAGAAACACGTTGGGTTTGGTTCTGATAGCAAGGATCAAGTGTACAAGAATGCTCCTCCTGCCATGTCCAGGATGATCATGGAAGGAAGAAGAGTCGAGGTCCTTCGTCTGCTTCCTCCTCGCCATCATGATGACGCGCTGACTTTCCGTCTTCTCCTCTTTCTATCTCCTCTACCTCTCTCCTCCTCTCCTCCTCTACCTCTCCTCCTCTCCTCCTCTACCTCTCCTCTCCTCCTCTACCTCTCCTCTCCTCCTCTACCTCTCCTCTTCTCTCAGGCTTGTCGTTCATGCTCGTCTGCTCTATTGCCATGCCACCGCATCGTCATGACAAGCGTTCGGTCTTCTGTCATAAGGTAGGACAAAGGGAAGGTATCGCAGGACCGAGTCCGGACTCAGTGATCGGACTCGGCGGGCCGCCCGGCGCTGCCAGAGTGCGGCCACCGGGCCCCCGGGGGGGGGGGGGGGGGGGGGATTAAAAGGCCCGTGGGCCCTTAGGGAGCGCTGGGGGGGGGTGACTGAGAGGCCCGGCGGCCTCGGAGGTCGCGCGGCGCTCACTCGGGTCCGTGGCAGCCACCGGCGCGGGCCTGGCGGGGCCCCCTGATCAAATCAAGTCACGAGTCGGCCCGGTATTGCGGCACACTGTGACAGTTCAACGGTTATCGTGACGACCGTCGTCCGTGATCGGAGTGATTCGCTGCCGGGCGCCGGGAGCCTTGAAGTTACTCAAAAGTTAAGTTTGAGTACGAGGACAATCCGATCAGGAGAGAAGTCGAGTCTACGATCACTGAGTCATACTATCTTATTATGACAAGAGAAGATCGTCAAGATCGTCAAGTTTTTCTGCTTTCAATCACTGGCAGGTAAGAAGAGACTCGGGCCAGGTCCTTCAGTCACTCGGATGGGGCTGACTTGGTTTCCTTGATAAGAGAGTTTGAAGGAGTTGGAATGAAGTCTGAAAGATCTTGTTGAAGACTACACGCACCTGATGCCCAGTCAGGAGAGGAGAGGAGAGGATGGAAGAGAGGAGAGGAGAGAGGAGAGGGGAGAGGAGAGGAGAGAGGGGAGAGGAGAGGAGGGGAGAGGAGAACAGCAGAGGACAGCAGAAGAGAGGAGAGAAGAGGACAGCGGAGGAGGTCAGTGTAGAGCAGGGGTGAAGGAGAAGGGTGGGATCAGCTTTACCACGTGAGTGAGAAATGTGAATGTCTGGGCAGGGAGTGAAGTCCTTGCTTTCAACATTTGCCTGTCTGTCTTGGGATGCTCAATTAGAGTTTGTTCTTGTTGCTGCTGCTGAAGACGCCATGAGGAGGAGGAAGAAGATGATGACGATGACAATGACGATGACGATGTCATGTCAGCAGGGACTTGTTGTATAGATTGATACCATCTCTTACCTCTCCGTTTCGACGACGATCTTCACTCTCCTCTCCTTTCCCATCGATCGCAAGACCTCTTCTTCCTCTTTCATCATTCTCCTCGTCTCCTCTCCTTCCGTCTTCCTCTCCCCTTCTTCTCTCAGATTTGCACATCATCTCCTCATCCCTGCCATTCAGAAGTTACGCACGAATAATGTGAGTCAGTCGACCTCAGCTGTAGCAGTCTTGATTCCAGCTTGTAGACCTGGCAGCCTTGATGTCAAGAAACAAATTTATTTCTGTGTGTACCACGCAGGGTCTTTCCCTCATATCACTGCATATTTCATGCCCTTATCATCAACATCTTACATCTCTTCATATGTAATCATGAACTTGTCATTTTGCTCCCCTCCTCTATCATACTCTCCTCCTCTTCCCCTCCCCTTCTTTCACCCTCTCTTCTCCTCTTTCCCTCCTCTCCTCTCCTCCCAACTTCTCTCTTTCTCCTTTTCATCTGGCAGACGTCACAAACCTCCGAGCATTGCGGAAATCGTCTCAACAACGCTTTGTGATTTCTCTGACAAGAATCAAATCAGAGGAGCTCAAGATAAACAAACGAGAACCACATGAGATGATGAAGTATTCGGTCGAAAACTTCCACCAAAACGCTCTTCAATCTATTATATCACTTGTATCACAACCTCGGTGATCAAAACAGACTTTGGTCTCTACACCTGATCAGTTGGAAAGTACTCTTGTAGCTTCACAACTGTCATTGTAACGTAAGAGCAATCGCAAAGTATAAGATGTTGTCGTAGTTACAAGATGCTTCACTCCATATCTTTGCCTGCAAACATCCATCATTGCCCTCAATTATGACAGACAACTCAAACTTTGCGCGCCGTCTCCTCTGCAACAATCTTCTTTGCCAGACTGACAGCCTGTCCCCCGACAATGACAATTACACCAACAACAATGTCGGTATCTACCTGATCCACAACCCAGATCACCTGTACAATCAGAAAGAAATCAGATAGAAAAGTAGAAGAAGTAGCGATACCGGGAAGATAAAGATGTGCTCCAGATTGTCTGGGTAATTCTCAACAACAGTTTCCATGCACTAGCAGATTTTCAGTAACACATAAAAAACGAAATCGAAGCACCTTGTAAAAGAGAGGAATATCAAAGTTTGTAAGAGACATGTCGGTACAATCGCAGATCTGAACGACAATCAAAGCAAGAACCATGAAAAACAGGATCGCAGCGTCGAGAAATCATCGTCATTTTCATCTCACCACCGACATATGAGCAGCATAAGGATTCGTCGCCCACGTCTTCTCCATAGCACATATCTACATTCATCAAATCACATCGCAACATTTTGGATCCGTCCGAGAACCAAGAAGCGCATGTAGTCTTCCACTGAGATCGAACTCCTCCTGTTTGGGAGCTGATTTGAGTAACGCGAAGAGGAACAACAACAAGCAAGAATGGATGATGACGATCAGGAGGAGGAAAGGAAGGTGCGAACGATATATGAAGAGGAGGAGGAGGAGGACGAGGAGGAGGAGGAGGAGGAGGAGATGGAGGAGGAGGAGGAGGAGAAGGATTAGCAGCAGCAGCACATCGTCACTCACTTGTGTTTTGACAACCTCCACGTCATGGACGGAATGCCATTGAGGTCTATTCCACTGGCATACATCTCTTCTCTGCTCAGAGACAGCAATTCTTGTCATTATCGACGAAAGATAAGATCAAGAATTTCCTCACAGTCCTTCATGTTCACCCAACAAACATCCCGATGACAACAACATCATCGAACAAGAAAAAGAACATGGAACGGAAAATTGCAGAAAACTAGTGCACATACAAGGAAAAAGTCCACCGAGTATGCAAAAAAAAGATAGAAACATCTTCCACTCACTGGTCGAATTGGCTCCAATCTTCGCTCAGGATTGTGTTGATCTTGTAACTTCTCAAACCATCATGACACGCAAGAGAACAACAACAAGTTCAATAACCTTGTTCTCCACTTCAAGTGTTTCTTCAATCTGGTCACTGTCCGCTCGACATCTCCACTATCATTTTCCGTCATATCAACATCATCCAATGTTTCCTTATCACTTGCAAGAGTTGATCCATCGCTGTACAAACGACTTTCTGCACAACAGATGGTAGTTCTCCTAGCAAGACATCAACAACAAGCATCTTGACTGAAATCATGTCTCTACGTAAACACATTCCTTGAAATCATCCTCCATGTCAAAAAGCTGCTTGCGAACCTGCACGTAATGAAACATATCAAACACTCTTTCTCAGCAGCTTAAGTCCCTCCCCTCCGGAGAGTCCCCTCCTCTCCTCCTCTCCTCCCTCTCCCCTCTCCTCTCCTCCCCTTCCTCATTCCTCTCCGCTCCTCTACTCTTCTCCCCTCCCTCTCCCTCTCCCCTCCCCTCCCTCTCCCTTATCCTCTCTCCTCCTCGGTCTCGTCGGCTCGTGACCTGGATCCATGCTGTATCTTGGTGCTGCAGGAGCAACCTGGCAACCGCTTCTTCATCCTGCTGTAAAGAGCATCTCACATTCTCCCCTCCCTCGCCTCGCCGCCCTCATGCTCGCACAAAGTCACCTCGTCCTCTGCTTCCTCCTCGTCCCAAATTTCCTCCACTTCTCCTGTCGATCCGCCGCCCTCGGGTACAATTCCTGGTGTGTTGTTGGGCGCAGCAGGTACCGGCTGTGAGGAAGGAATCTCTTGATGCTCGGAAGGGATCAGCTTGATGATTTCATTGATCCCTGCTGTCAGGCTGCTGGTAATATCATCTCCCACTTTGAGCACAAAGGAGACTTTGCAAGGATATTTCAATCAGCGGATCTCCAACAAAGTGCGAGGAAAAATCACCAGGGTTATCAGCTCCGGACATCCTAGCGAACAAGAGGCATGGAGCACTGCAATCACACAAGTGATGAGTTCCCAACAAGACCACAATCGACTATTATGCCCCGCATCTCAATCATTGCAACTCGTGCTTTTGTTACACTTCATTGTTTCTTGAACACTTTGATCAGTACCCCTCGACTATCCCCCTGCCTCAGTCTTCACCTCTTCCTCCCTCTCGCTCCTCCCCTCCCCTCCCCTCCCCTTCCTCCTCTCCTCTCCTCTCCTCTCCTCTCTCCTCCCCTCTCCTCCCCTCTTCTCTCCCTCTGTCTCTTCCTGGCTCCTCTCCTCCTCCTCCTCCTCCCATCGCCTCGGCTGCATAGTCGCTTCGCAGTTCATTTCATGCTCCTGGCCCTCGTCCCTCAGCTGACCCGACCAAAAATGTACACGACCACTAGTACACGACCTGCACGACCTGGTTCACGACCAGGTTCATCCCGTAAGGGAGGGGGGGAGGAGGAGGAGCATCAGCGGCGGCGGCGGCGGCAGCAGCAGCAGCAAGGAGGGGAAGTAGCAGTAACAGCAGTATTAGTAGCAGTAACAGCAAGGAGGGGGAAAGGTTGGCTAGTGGCTGCATGAAAGGAGAAGCACAACTGATGAAAGGAGGACGAGAGAATTTTCGAATAGTAAGAGGAGGAGAGGAAGGGAGGAGGCTGATTCGAGCTCCTGTCGTTCACTTGAAGGTACCATCATCCTTCTCCCACCACCTCCTCCTTGCTGATAGTCGAGCGCTCAGGGATTCGGACGAGGACTGAATCGGGATGAGCCAGCGACAAGGCGAGCATTTGATGGCTGCAAGAACATCATCCAAGAGCGGCAGGCCAAGACTGTGATATGGGACGGGGACAACTGGGAGAATGGAGGGTTTACATGTATGTCAACATGCAGAGATGATGATGTTCAGAATGCTGAATGATTTGATTGACAGCTGTAATACCAGAGCTCGTCAAAGAGCAAGACGTCTTGTTAGTCGCTGTCTTGTGCGAGTTGATGTGATACCAAAACCATCAGCATGATGCGTAGCTGGTAGGTACGAGGAGGATCAAGATCGGTTTCTTGATTCATGGGGAGATGTGATAGAGGATAAGTCGATGATGGCCTTGGTGCTCGTGCCAGCTGAAGATCGAGCAATCGAATTGCAGTTAGACAAATATGTTGACCTGGGCCTGTATGGAATTTTCATGTCACAGTCGACTTGCATCCTTTGTTTGGGATGCGGTAAGGTGAGATGCCTCTTCTCCTCCTCTTGTTCTAGTGAGAGGTGTGCCAGGTCGTGCAGGAAGAGATTGTCAACATGGAAAGATACATGTTGTTCAAGATGACTGGACAAGAGCCGATTGATTCCAAGCTGAAGGTGGAATGGAAAGTCTTTCCGCTGACAAGAATGGTTGGGGAGCAACTTCAACAATCATTCGTGCCACGATCTCACAAAGTTGACATCATGGAGATCGCATTAGGATGAACTCCGGTGCTTTTTACAACCTCTCATCACAGAGACGTCAACGAGTCAAGAACGTCACAGAGTTGCTTGTCAAAGACCTATTTCTTCTTGTAATTTAACAGTGTTTCCTCCCCTCCTCCTGCCCTTCATCATGTCTGCACCTTTCCAAGAGAGCCAGCGAAGTAGATGCGCCTGCCGCTCTGATCCACTTGAACCTACAGCACAAGGTCAAGACCTGGCGTGGAGGTGTGGTAGGGAGAGAGGGAGGAGGAGGATGGGAGGGGGGGGGGGGGGGGGGCGAGGGAGGCGGCGTGGCAGGAAGACTGTAGTCGAGTGGAGCTGTGCAAGAAACCAGACATGGAGGAGAAGAGAAGGGAGGGAAGGATGAGGACAACGATGACGATCATAGAGGAGCGAAGGAGGGGAGGGGAGGGGGGCGTTACCTCATACAGGCCGTCCCCTTGCACAGACTTTACAGCTCCGAAGCGGAGGGAGCCGTCGGTGCGAGCTGCAACGACAATCTCCCCGCTCTTGAAGGAGGACGTAGGTGACAAGGCAAAGTCCGACCCCGCCTGCCACTCGGGAGGGATCGGGTCCCCGATCTTGGCCTTGCTCGCCCTCTCTTTCCTGTCACTCCTCTGCAGGCTCTCCTTGGTCCTATCAGACGCCCTCAACTCATCCTGCAAGCTCCTGCCCGCTGCGATCTTCCCTATGTCCTTCGCACGATCGGTGCGGAACTGTCCAGCTCCCTCCCCACCTGCGCGATCCACCAGCACGTCGTAGGTGTTGTCGCCGTTGACCTGCACAATCTTCCCGAACCTTCGTGACCCGTCAGACCGGAACGAGACGACGATCTCCCCGAGCCGGAAGCTGAACTGAGGGGAGCGGAAGAACTCCTGCCCCTCCTTCCATGTCTCTGGTACCACATTGGCGATGTCCCGGTCCCCCAGTTCTCTTCCCCTCCCCCCTCCCAGCCCGAAGGCCATCGAGCCCTGTCTTCCCCCCACCTTGGAGTCCCTGCTGCCAATAAGATTCAACAGCCTCTGCTCTTCTGCCTTGGATGCTTGCAGCGCTGCATCCTCCGCTTGCTTCCTCCTCTTGTTCTCCTCCAGCTCAGCCGCGTCTCGCTCGCGCCTCTCGGCCTCTGCTCGCTTGGCAGCCTCCTGCCGTCTCGCCTCATCCTGCCATCATCCTACTCGTCAGAACGATAAGGAGCACAGCGGCACCGGCACCTCTCTCTTCTGCGCAGCTTCAGCATCCTTCTTGATCTTGATTTCGATGTTGGCTCGAGCAGCCCATTCAGGTCCGAGCTACACCACCAGAGTCACGAGGGCATGCAGGGAGCTGGGCATCAGCTGAGCTTCACCTGAGCAACAGCCTGCTGGGCTGTGGGGCGGGAGAAGGTGTTCTTCTCGATGAGCTTGCAGATGAGGTCGAGCAGAGGCTGCGGAAGGGAGTCAGCTTCCTTGTCCTCCCGGTTACTGAGCAGCGAGAGCTACCGCAACACTCGGATCTTCAGAGGCCTGCGCACACTCCTCAGCCAGCTTCCCGAGCTCCTTCCTCTCCGCCGTATCCTTGATCCACTGCCGGAAGTTCCACGAGTACTTAGGAAGGGTCTCCTCCGCAAACTCCTGGAAGTACCCTCCAGGCCAGTTTTGCGTCACACCTCCCCGCGTCAGGGAAGGAAACAGAACCCTGATGCCCATCATCCCCACCGAGTACACGTCAAACTTTCCTGGCCCAAGGAACTGCAGCGTCTTCTCCGGAGGAGCGTACATTGGGTCGCAGGTAGCGTCTCCCAGCCCCTTCTTGAGCGGGTCGTTCCAGTCGCAGCTGCTTCCGAAGTCGATGATCTTGAGGGGGTGCTCCCGATCTCCCGGCACAACGAGCGTGTTGCTCGGCTTGATGTCCCTGTGCATGATCCCCTTGTCCTGCATCTGGATGAGAGCTATCAGCATCTGCCCCATCACATTCTTGGACAGGTCAGGCCGGAGCGCTTGCCTTCCAGACTCCGTGATGCCGAGAGCTCGATACGGATCCTTTCCTCCAGACAGATAGTCTTCCAGGGTCGAGCCATCTCCCTCCTTTCGCCAGACGATCCCAATGCGTGCGAGGTTCTTCGGGAACGATATAGACTCCGGTACATTAACTTCGCCGAGCATCTTCGCCCATGGAACTGATTCAAGATTTCCTGCTGAAGTTGTGAGCTTGATGTTCACCGCTCTCTCTGTGTCAAACAGCTTCAAGCTGAATTCTTCCAGCACCGGACACTTCACCACCACGCTTTCCCCCCCCTTGACAGATCCGTAGTACACGGCTCCGAAATTCCCAGCAGCCGCGGGCTTGTTCCAGTTGATGTTGAGGTCTTGAGCGAGATAAAACTGCAGCTCAGCCTTCCACTTGGCGAAGGATCTTCGGTCTTGGCGACCAACCGAGTGTGCCCGTGCCCCTCCTCCCGATCCTAACGAGTACGAAGTCATCGGGATGGAGGCTGAACCGTGGATCGAAGACGAGGAGGAGGAGACAGCACGAGCTCGCATGCAGGTTGTTTCAGTCTTAACAACAGAGCTTCTGCTGTGATGGTCAGGCAAAGGATAGGTGCTGCTCCATGCAGCGGCGCTGCCTATCATGAGCGCCGCTACCGCGGCTCGCATCGCCATTGCCCACACTGTGTAACAGATGAAAGATGACAAGGGGTGGGTTTTGTTTGATAGGGGTAATTTTCAAGGTATGTAGGTAGGGGTAATATAATGAAGGGTACTAGTAGAATAAGGGTATCTGAGTACCCCCATTTTATCACAAAAATTGAGATATTCATTAATCAAGTACAGTACCCCACCCTATATCTGAAAATAAAATACCGGTCTGATTCAAAGACTGGGGGTAGGGGTACACAATTTCGAACTTGGGGGTGAGACAGGTCTTCTGTATGTGGTGGGGGCAAAAGAACTTCAACAGTACCCCTACTTTATAGTGATAATTTTTGGGTACCATGACATGAAACCTATGGTGGAAGTTTTACGTATCTGTGAGAAGGGGGTGGGTGGTGTAAAACTTTGAGTAAAGATTTCACACATGACCGTTATGTATCGTTACAGTAGGCTCAGTCAGCCTCCGGCCTGAGTGACTGAGAGTTCAATGTGCCGCGGGCCCGGGCGGCGGCTCAATGTGCCGCGGGCCGCCCGGCGCCGCCCGCCGAGGCTGCCACGGCCGCGCGGGTCACCGGCCCGCGCACTGAGTGCCACGCCGGTAGTAGCCCAGCCGCTGAGCCGCCCGGCCCGCCGGCCACCCGTGATCGGACTCCCCGGACTGCTTCCCGGTGAGTCGGACTCGGAGCCTGACTCACTGTCAGTGAGTCCGATCCGACACGGGCAAAATAGCCCGCCGCGCGGCCTGGCGACGGGAGATCGACGGTGACAGTGCCGCAGTGCCACTCAGGATGTGTACGGCCCGGCCCCCAGTGAATGACCTGAGTCTCTCAGGCTCCGGGCAGTCGGCCACCGGTGACCGGGCCGCCGGGGCCTTCAATTTGCATAGGCGGCGTCGTGGCAGGGCGGCACCCGGTGACCGTTGCGGCACTGCCGGCATGCCGCCGCCGGCTCGAGCTGTTCTAGCCTAGGTTTCATTATCATCGGAAGCACTGCGGCACCAGGCTTTATGCTGGAGAGCATGTCCATCACTCCGGCAGGAAGTGTTACACCTTCTTTCACACTATTGACAAAAGCCTGCAGCACGCGAGCTATGCTGTCGTTTTGCTCTTTGAGAGCAACGATTCTCGCTGTCTGCGCATGAAACTTCTCTACTTCTGCCTTGGCCTTGGCCGCCTCAGCTTTGATCTTCTCAGCCTCAGCCTGGGTCTTGGCCGCCTCAGCTTGAAGCCTCTGAGTTTCTATGCGCAACAGCAGACCGTCTACGCTTCGAGACACCTTGATCCGCTTAGCCAACTTGAGAGATTTGTCGCTGCCCCCTGTCCCTCCTTCATCCCGCTGGTTCGATGGGCTCGACTCCCATCGTAGGTGCTGAGCGTCTTCTCGTGTGACAGCTGGCTGCGTCTCCCCCTGTAGGACCTTGTCCTGTTCTGATGTCTTCGGTTCCGCAGCCTCCTCGCCATTCACATCCTTTCGTTTGTCATCGCCGTAGTAGGCAGCTGTCACGTAGGGCACCCGGATATCGTCCTCGTCACCATCACTATCCCTCGCACCTCCTGAATCTGCCCATTTCGCCTTCATCTGAGCAAGGAGGATGTAAAGGTCATCTAACTTAGTCGCCTGCTTTCCTTCGCTTTCCAAGGTCTTGAGATAACTTTCCTCTCCTGTTACTACAATCCTATCAACGACTTTCATGATTTCACACCATTTTTCTCGGAGAGTATTTTCCTTCAAGCTATCATGAAACACCACATCCCGATTGAGAATTTCTAAGACTTCCTTATACGCCTTTCCTTTACCCTTTATCCCAAACATTGTAGCCGGAGAATAAGCCATCATGGCTTCGATGATGCGAACACGGCGGGCATACCCGTCCTCACCGGGCCTTCCTTTGAAGCTCAACCTAGTGACAGGCTTGATCTGTTCGGCTCCTTCAGTAGGAGAACCCCTGCTTCCTCCTCCTTCACACGCCAGTGCCTGCATTTTCGATATGCTCCACTGCCCACCACCACCGGGGCGGGCCCAGGCCGGCTGAAGGTTTCAAGAGTTGAAAACTTGAAATTAAAGCTTAAATTCCTTGAGTTAATTTGAAAATATCTCCGTATTTCAGAGTTCTCTCGAATGTGGTCAGTAGTGGGTGGGTGGGTGGGCCAGATGAAGGGGGTCATGGGTATTGAGGGAAAGGGGGTGCGGGCGTGATCAGGGCAATGGCGTGAAGCAAGAAAGAGCGGGAATGGTACGAGATGAAGCGATCACGCAGAAAGAAGAGCCTCAAGGATGAGAACATCCATGAACGATTAAGACTAGAGCAGACACGTCCGAAGTTTCGCTTTCCTGATCAGATCATCACTTTGTAATTCATCTTTGTTGAGGGACTGGGTTGCAAGACTGGAAATACAACAGGATCCCGAAAGCAGTGTGCACGTGCTTGCAGTGTATGCTGAGGGACCTGTCTACCAACAGTTATCACGACACTTCACTTGCGCATGTGAGGACACTGGCTCTAGCCTCATCCTGAGCCCTGTAAACCATAACAGCATGAGATTTTTTTGTTGTTTCTTCGTCTTGTTGCTGATCGGCCATCTCCCCCTTGCTGACCTCTTCCGGCCCTCCTCTTCTCCATCTTCTCTAAGACCCCCATTAGCGTCAAACGGCCTTGAAGCTCCTCGGCGTGGCTATGCAGGATGCGGTCGACCATGCGCCCTGCAAGCTCATGGTGCCGAGATCCGACCATTACGGATCCGGGGAGGGGAGGGATCAGGAGAGGCAGAGGGGGAGGAAGAGATCATGGGAGAGTGTGGGAACGTTTCCAGGGAGTTTCAAAGTGAAGAGGAGGACTTGAACTCTTCTCAATACTCACAAGACTCCAACTTCACAACGATAGAGATTTCTGCCCTGGAACGCTCGCAGTCGGCAGGGTACAGATCGACAGACTTTCAGCAAGACGGGGAAGACATGAGCCGCAATGACGACGATGTGCGAGGAGAGAGCTCATCGAGCGAGATGGTGGATGAGGATGGAATGCCGTACAACACAAACTACACTGAACTGGACGCGCAACTCAAGAACGAGACAGATGCTCGGCGTGGGTGCCGTCACTACAGCAGAGGATGCAGGCTGAGAGCCCCATGCTGCAACGAGCTGTTCTGGTGTCGACATTGTCACAATGAAGTCAAAGATGCAGGTTGCAAAGACCCTCTGAAGGCCCATCAGTTGGATCGTTTCTCGGTCAAGTTCGTTCGCTGTAGCCGCTGTGATCTTGAACAGACGACCAAACAATTCTGTGAGGGGTGCGGGCTCTGCTTTGGAGCATATTACTGTGATGTCTGTAAGGTTGAGCTTCTTCTCTTCTACATGCTGTGCTTGACACCTGTCTCGTAACAGTTCTACGACGACGATCTGAACAAGGGAGTGTTTCATTGCAACGAATGCGGTATCTGCCGCATTGGGGGAAGGAGAATTTCTTTCATTGCCTGAATTGCGGGTGAGATCTTATTTCTCTCAAGTTTTCTGCCGTCAAGAGACAAGGAGGTGGTGGTGGAGGGGAGGGGGGGGGCTGGAGGAAGAAGGAGGGAGACAGGGAGGGAGGGGGTTTCTAGCTGAAGTGATGGGGGAGGGAAACAAACGGCAATCCGTTGCATTCATCGGAGTCATAATCATTCACAGATGCTGCTACGCTATGCAGCTCCGAGACAATCATCGGTGCATAGCAGGAGCGATGAGACACAACTGCCCTGTCTGTCTGGAGGTAGTGAAGTCCCATGAGGATTCATTGAGGACTGACTCTGAAGATTTCAGGATCTGTTTCACAGCACATCGCAAGTGCGCGTCCTACGATGTGGCCACACTCTGCACAAGAAATGTCTGGAGAAGCTCTTGACGAGCAAGACCATCATACACACTTGCCCGCTGTGCAGCAAGACGCTAATCGATCATACGTTTCATTGGAGGCAGGTGAGGCATGGTCGTCAAGCTGAGAGTTGTCAGTGTGTTTGGTTGGATGATGCGAAGAGGAGGGGATGGGTGTAGGGAGGGAATGAGAGAGAAGACTGAGTTCGGAGGAGGACCAAGTTGATGGATGAAGACAAGAAATGGCGTGATAGAGTTGAGATTTGCAAGGCCGTCTGATTGGAGGAGCACAATGAGATATTTCATAGATGTTTCCCCTGACATGTCTTAGATGGATTTGGCTCTCGCTCAAACTCCCATGCCGGAGGAGTTTGCAAACAAGAGCGTCGGCGTGCTTTGCAACGACTGTCAGGTGAGACACAGTAGAGAAAAAGGTTGCGTGCGGGACGAGTAGAGAAGCGGGGAGGGAGCAGGGAGCGAGCAGGGAGCAGGGAGGAAGAGGTGAGAGCAGGGAAAAGGGGGAAAGAGGAGGGGGTAGAGAGGGCATTGAAGAAGGGGGGGGGCGGTGGAACAACTAACATTTGTGCAGACGAAGGGGACGACGACGTTTCACGTGCTCGGGTTGAAATGTCCCAATCCTCAGTGCGGAGGATACAACACCAGGAGGATTGAGTCGACCTCCTACTGCTCTTTCCCTCCTGGCCAAGAGGTGGAGCAGGCAGAGGAAGGGGAGAAGGCTGAAGAAGAGAAGGAAGAGGAGGGGGGGCATCACGATGCTGAAGGTGTGGAGGAGGAGGAGGAGGAGGAGGAGTCTGGAGTGTTGAGTCATGCGGCAGAAGTTCAGAAGAGACGGACGAGCGAGAAAGAATCGAGAGCATAGCAAGAGGCAAGGGGGGGGGATCCCCCAGGCAGCATGGGAGAGAGGAGGGGGAGGATGAAGAGAACAAGAGCAAGATGAATAAACCACACGTGAAGAAGCCAAGACTCTACAACTCTGTATCACTGCCACCAGCACCCTCTCTTCCTCCTCCTCTCCCTCTCCCTCTCTCTCTCTCTCTTCATATCCCCCCTAGGTCATCATCAGCCCAATCGATCCTCTCGAGCTGTCAGGATCTCCGAAACTTCGGAGGGAGGCCACATCCCCGCTCAAGACCGATGAGCCATCCAGCAGGCTCATCCCCTCCTCCTTCCATCGGCTGCCCTGCTGCCTCGCCTCCTTCTTCCCTGATCACCAGCCAGTCACTCCAACAAAAGACCCATCGCAAACACTAACACCAAACTCTCCTCCTCCTCCTCCTCCCCCTCCCCCTCGTCCGTTCCTGTCCTCGTCAACCACCACTTCCTTCTCCTCCTCCTCCTCCCCTATCCTCCATTATCCAACATACCCCCCCCTTACCCCGCTCGCCCTCCTCGCCCCATCCTCCATTACCCCAAAAACCGCCAACGCCCTCTCAAACTCTCCATCATCAGTCAAGTTTTCTTACAGCTCAGTGCTCGCATGTCGAGACAATCTCGCATGTACATCTCGAAGATCGCCTGGTCGACTCCCGTCCTCCTGTATCCTTGCTCCTTGCTCCCCTCTCCCCCATGACCCTCTCCCCTCCCCCTCCCTTCCTTCCCTCTCTCCCTCTCCTCCATCGCCCGCACGTACTGCACGTGAAGTCTGAGGCCAGCGAGGAAAAGTGCTCTTTGCTTCCTCTTCCCCAGCGCTCGAGCTTGGCTCTCATCGATTAGAGCCCTTACTTTCCCAGCCCGCGGATCAATCCTTCCTTGCTCCACCTCCCGTAGCGTGAGACGATCCGTTATCATTCTTCCTTCCTCTGCCCGCAGTGCCTTGATCACCTTCTGCCTGTTCCTCTCCCTCTCCTCCCCCTCCTTCCTCCTCACCATCAACTCCTCCCTGATGATTTTGTGCAGCTCCTCTACCTCGGTCAACCTCGCAAACTCTCTCCTCCGCAGCCTCTCCTCCTCGTCCTCCATTTCATACGCCTGCACCTCTGCAATCCTCCTCCGCTGCTCAGCATCGGCCAGCATCATGGCAACGGTTTTCCTCCTCTCCCTCTCCTCCCCCTCCTGCTTTGCGTTGCTGATCTGCAAACAAATCTGCGATCGCCACCATGGCTCGTGCTGTTTGCTCGAAGCAAGATTCTCCTTTTGTTTCATCTCTTGCTCCTCTGTCGTCTTCTCCTCCAGCCCTTCCTCTTCCTTCTCTTCCTGTCTTTCGATCTCCATCACAGACTTCTGCGCGACAAGCCCCCTGCATGCAGCATTCACCTGAAATGCAATCAGCCAACTCACTCGACGAGGAAACGGACCAGAGCAGGTTCAGAGAGGAGAGAGGGGATGGTTCTGATGCGGAGAGAAAGAGAGAGAGAGAGAGAGAGAGAACAATCAACTACCTGCTTCGGGTCAAACTCCCTCTGCTGCTCGCCCTTCTGCCCTCGCCGTCGTCCAGATGGCAAACTGGCCTTGAGTTTTTCCTCCTCCAACATCGCATGCTGAATGTGATCCCTTCCCTGTGCATCTGCGGTTGACTTGTCCGTGTCCTGCTGTGCCGAGCGAGGACGAACACGACAACAGACGTTCAAGGAGATCATGTGGAGCCCTGGAGACCGAAGCATCAGATGAGACGTTTCGTTGTAAGCCGCAGCTTGCTCCTCTCCTGATCTCTCAGATATTCCCCTCCCTCTCCCTCCCTCCCTCTCCCTCCTTCACCCTGCCTGCCTGCCTGCCTGCCTGCCTGCCTGCCTGCCTGCCTGCCTGCCTGCCTGCCTGCCTGCCTGCCTGCCTGCCTGCCTGCCTGCCTGCCTGCCTGCCTGCCTGCCTGCCTGCCTGCCTGCCTGCCTGCCTGCCTGCCTGCCTGCCTGCCTGCCTGCCTGCCTGCCTGCCTGCCTGCCTGCCTGCCTGCCTGCCTGCCTGCCTGCCTGCTTGCCTGCCTGCCTCTGCTCTTCCTGCTTCTGCTCCTGCTCCTCTGTTTGTCGCTATTTCCATAGAGAGGGGAGCCAGCCATCAAGATTTGACTTAAAATAAGCTCATAGCTCTTAAAATTACCCCGAAGGCACAGAAAGGTCTTATTTTAACCGACTAGTAGATGAACCCTCAAGTATCCCGATGCTAGCTAGCATGCGGCGCAAGGGCATCATGAAGGAGTAGCGAAGGAAGGGGAGGAGGAGGAGGGAGGAGATACAAGAAAGAAGAGAGGAGGAGGGAGGAGGAGGAGGAGGAGGAGGGAGGAGATACAAGGAAGAAGAGAGGAGGAGGAGGGAGGAGGAGGAGGAGGGAGGAGGAGGAGGAGAGGAGGAGAAGCACTGCGAGATGTGAAGTTGTGCCGGCTGCCCAAGACAAGATTCCAGCGCTTTCCCAACCACTCAATTGCGTTAGAAGCATGGCATGTTCTGACTGGGAGAGACATCGTGAGCTGGATACGACAAGATAGCTTGCCAACTACTGATGAGCATGCCAATCACGGCCTTCCTCTTGCTGTTCTTCCTAGCGGGCTCAGTGTACCTTAACTCCCTTCATGGCGAGTTCGTCTTCGATGACATCATCGCCGTCATGGAGAACAAGGATGTTCTTCCCAGCACACCATTGGAGAAAGTCTTCAAGAGCGACTTCTGGGGAACTCCCATGGAGGAGTGGCAGAGCCACAAGAGTTTCCGCCCTCTGACGATCCTCAGCTTCAGATTGAGCTACCTGCTGGCAGGGAGGCGATGGGACGAGGTTCAGTTCCACTCAGTGAACGTAGTGCTTCATGGTATAGTCACCCTCCTGCTCTACCCTGTGACGAGGATTGTGCTGGGGAGGAGGAGGAGGAGGAGCGAGAGCTTCTGGGCGTGTGCTCTCTTTGCAACGCACCCCATCCACACAGACGCCGTGAGCTCAATCGTGAGCAGAGGCGAGATGCTCAGTGCAATCATGTTCCTTCTCTCGTTCCTCTGCCATGTCAGGTCCACAACGTTGCCCTCCCGCTTCGTCCTGGTCAACTTGGTCCTCGTGCTCCTGTGGACTTGCTGCTCCATCGCTCTTGCATTCTGCGGGATGCTGTTCAAGGAGCAGAGCATCACTGTCTTCGGGGTCAACGTGGTGTATGAGCTAGTCAGAGATCGATCGATGCTGAGCTTGATGCTGAAGAGGACAGAGGCAAAGGAGAAGCGGGACGATGCCGTGCAGAAGGCAGGAGAGGAGGAGGAGGAGGAGGAGGAGAAGGAAGACGGGGACGGAAGGGAGCCCAAGGAGGAGCATGCTGGAAATTCTGGTGCTGCAGGTAGTACAGACGACTCTCTTCCTGCGAGGCATGGCCAAGAGTCCGGGGAGGGGAGAGGAGCGGGAGCGGGAGTACAAGCGGGGGCAGGAGGGGCCCACGAGGCGGGAAAGCTTCAAGAGGCATCGCTCGGAGTGCTGCGGCTGGTGTGTATCTTGTGCAGCTTCCTCCTCATCTTCCAGTGGAGGAAGGAGCTGAACGGGCCCTGCATTCCTGTCTTCAAGCTCAAGGGTGACCCCAACATCTCTGCTTGGGACGCGGCTGGGACGGTCGCCCCTGGCGTCTATTCGGAAGCTGCTTGCCGGCCAAACTTCCTCCAGGTTGAGAACCCGGCTAGGTAGGAGGAGGAGGAGGAGGAGGAAGAAGTCGAAGTGACGTCAAGGCTTGCAGGTTTGTAAGGGGAGAGCGAGGTTGGCTGGTTCGACTGCTCACGTGGAATTTCCTGCTGTACAAGAATGCAGAGCTTTTGATGTTTCCCCTAGTGCTCAAAGCCGATTACTCACACTTCACCGTACCCCTTATCCATGACCTGCACGATGCGAGGAACTTGCTGACGGTTCTCTTCTGGTGTTCGTTTCTGTTGTTGAGTTCAGTCGCTGTGCTTCTGTTTGTGAGGAGGAAGGACATCTCGGCCATCATGTCCCTCAGCCTCATCGTCGCTCCTTTCCTTCCCAGCTCAAACCTTTTCTTTCCTGTCGGTTTCGTTATCGCAGAGCGCGTTCTGTATGCTCCTTCCCTCGGTTTCTGTATCCTGCTCTCCCTCGCTATCCACCGGATGGGGGGTAGAGAGGAGGAGGAGGAGGAAGAAGAGGAAGTCAAGATGAAAGGAGGAGCTGAAGCAGGGGATCGTTCTGTGTTGATGGACTTGTTTCGTTCAAGAGCTCAACGAATCTGTTTGTTCATCACCGTGGCGTATGGGATTCGAACTTTGATTAGAAACAGAGACTGGTGATACAACGAGGAGTTGTGATATTTGTGATGTGTTGTGTTGTGACAGGAGGCACCGAGAAGCGTTTTATGGTGCAATGATTCGAGACAACCCAACAAACCCGAAAGCTCATTACGGGTAATGATATCGTTTCAACACCTGTTTTGTTGTATTCTGTGTATTCTGTTTTATTGTATTCTGTTCTTCTTTCGTCTCCTTGTGTTGAGTATGACCAATCACTTCAGCTACGGAAATATCATCATCAACGACGTCAAACGAATTGATATTGGTGATATGACCTTTGAAATCATCTCATCTCATCTCATCTCATCTCATCTCATCTCATCTCATCTCATCTCATCTCATCTCATCTCATCTCTTCCTAGGGGTCAAACATCTTTTGGAAGCTTCAAGACTGCAACCAAACTACTTCGACGCTTACAACGACCTCGGTGATGAACGATACCATGACTCAGATGCGCTGACTCCATGTTACCAGGTGCCTTTTACAACCGTGCTGGTCAATATGAAAAGGCTGAAGAACAGTTGGATGTAAGAATTCTCAATCAAACAACATCTTCTTCGATTCACATCCTAATGTGTTGTCATCATTTTCTCTTTTCCTCGTCCATTGGTCTTGCTTCTCAGAATCCTGTCTTTGCTCACACAGAGATCCAACAGTTTGCAGTGAAAGCGAAACCTGAGCACATCAACGGGCTCCACAACCTAGGACTCAACTCTCTTGCCAAACAAGATTACGAGAAGGCGTTTCTTGTCTTCGACCAGGTCTCTCTTCCACACACCTTCTCCACCTCACTCCAACGCAGGCCGTCGACTTCTTTCCCGATCGTGTGGATTTCTACTTTAACATGGGACAGGTCTGTTCCTGGCTACTTCCCCTCCTGTCTTTCCTACACCTGCCCCTGCCCCTGCTCCTGCTCCTGCCCCCTCCTCCTCCTTTCTTTCCACAACCTGAACGTTTTCCTACCCCTCTCCCTCTTTTTTGCCTGCCCCTTCTCCGCCTTCTCCTTCTCCTTCCCATCCCTCATCCTCCTCGATTCTGATTTTCTTTCCGCCAGGCCCTCCATGGCCTTGGCATGCATGAGGACGCGCTGCAGGCTCATCGGTGAGACAAGAGAAAATCTCCCTCCTCTCCCTCCCTCCCTCCCTCGCTCCGCTGCCTCACTCACTCACTCACTCACTCACTCACTCACTCACTCCTCTCCTTCCCTCCCTCCTCTCCTCCCTTCTCTCCCTCCTCCCTCCCTCCCTCCCTCCCTCTCCCTCCCTCCCTCTCCCTCCCTCCTTTCTCCCCTCACGATGGATTACAGTGACATCATCTCTCTCGATCCCCTCAACCCGATCTCTTACTATTGGTATGGACTCGCTGCTGGCAAAGTCGGAAGACAGGTATCCTAACAGCCCCTCGTCTTGCTGCCCATCCTCTCCTCGTCCTCTGCTTCTCCTCGCCACCCCTCTCTCCCTCCTCCTCTCTCATCTCGCTGCTTCTTCCTTTCCACGGCTTGCATTTGCCACATTCTCCCTTGGCTCTTTCGCTTCAACTCTTCCTCCCTCCTCTGACTCTCGGACTACAGGAAGAGGCTGAGCTGTTCTTCCGCAATGCAATTCGCATCAACAGGTTTTCGTCACTCCTCCCCTCCCCTCTTCTCCCTTCATCCCCTCTCCTCTCTTCACTTCCTCCCCTTCTCTCTCCTCTTCTCTCTTCTTGGTCCCCTCACTTCTCCTTCGTTCCTGTTCCAACTTATCAACTGCCTTTTTTCTACCTCTTTTGATTTATCGCCCCATCCCCCTCTTGCAGGCACTTCGTCGACGCCATGCACAACTTGGGCGTCTGCCTGATGAAACAAGATCGTCTTGAGGTCTCCTCCCTCTCCTCCCTCCCACCTCCTCCCTCCTCCCTCTCGGTACCCTCCTGCCCTTGTCCCGGTCCTCCAAGCTGCCGCCATCACCATGTCCTGTCTTCCTCCTCCTGTGCGGCTGAAGTTAGCGAGCAGGAGGCCATCGGCTACTTTCTGCGAGTTCGTCGCTACAACCCCAACCACGTCGAAGCCAAGAGGCTCTTGTCCAAGTACCTTCAAGTTGACTCGTGACCTCCCTGATACCTCAGTAAACTTCAAGTCATCAACCCAGCAGTGCCCGAGCCAGCTTGGTCCGCGGAGGCTCCCGGAGCCTGGGCCCGGCCCGGGGGAGCCTGCCAGGCTCCGGTGACCACGGTCCGCTGACTCAGCCTGTCACGGCGGAGGCTGAGGCGGCCGGGCCCGGCGGCCGGGCCCAGGCTGCCGAGCGCGGCCCGGCGGGCCGCCACGGACCCGGCCGCGCCGGGCTCTCGGGCAAGTTTCCGGACTCGCACCGTCGCGGGGCCCCGCCCGGGATCGGACTCCAGGCTTGGTTCTGGCGGCGGAACGAAGTTCGGCGGGGGCCCGGGGCCCGGCCGGCCCGGCCGGGCGCGCGGCCGCGGGCCAGCGTGCTGATAAGCCGCGCCCCCAAGTTCCGTTCAACGGTTGACCCCGCGGGCCGCCGGATAGCGGCCGGCCCCATCGGGGCAGTCGCTCCGACGGGCGGCGGCCGGCCGGACGTCCGGGCCCCCGGACTCCCCGGCCGCCGCCGCGCGGGCCCGGCCCGGTGACCCATCATCCGGAGCCTCCGACCCGGCACGGTCGGAGCGGCTGACTCAGACTCTGTGAGTCCCGCCGGACGCCACTGAGGCCCGTTACCCCCCGGCTGCGGCCCGGGCGCGGCCCCGGCGGCGCACGCCGGGGCGCGAACATTACGTAATGCACTGGGCGCACAGGCTCACTGCCACCGTAGTGGCACCTTGCCCCCCCGGTGACTCAGCAAGTGACCGTCAGCCTGAGTCACTGGGGCTTCAAGTTGCAGCCTGCCAGGCTGTGTGCGGCACGTTCGCACTGCACTCAGGCCAGTCAGTACACTGAGGCCCGTGTCAGTTAGCCCCCGCGGGGGCCGCCCGGCCGGGGCGCCGCTTGCCACGGGCCACTGCGCGCCGGGCGGGGACAGTCAGTCACCGTCACACGGCCCGAGTACGGATACACCGTGCTCTGCGCTGGCGGGTCGGACTTGACTAGGCCGGGCGGCAGAGCCTCCGAGCCAGGGCCCGCCAGTCACTGACAGTGAATGCTGTTTTCATGGCATGGTGCTGCCTTTTCAAGTTTGAGACTGCTGAGGCGGGTTGTGACCAGTGACATACAAAAATGTTCCTATATTTTTGAAATATACGTGTAAAGTTTGGAAATTTAGTTCAAAAGTGGGATTCAGGTCGTCGTTCTAAATTGGGATCTCATGTTTCACCCCCTCTTCAAACAGAAAAAAATGGGGTGTATAACCTAGTACCGGTGCCCATTCATTAACGAGATATATACAGCGGATGGGGTGGGGTGCTCCTGAATAGTGCATTGGCTACCCATCCAAATCAGAATTAAAAGAAGGGTAGGGGTCTTAATTTTTTTTGGAGGGGGAGGTGCCCAGAATAGAACAGTAGGGAAAGAGGGACCGCGGAGGAGGAGACAGTATCAACAGCAGGTATGTGACCGCATACCACGTTCTTGGAATTGTGGCTTTACGATGCTGTGATGTGAAGACAGTGTGCTGTTGTGTACAGGAATGATTCAGAAACATCGTGTTTTGTATGTTGAATAGATTCTGTGCGTTTTCTGGATGATGAAATTATTCTTGAGAGATATGAAATGTGGCAACTGTTCGTCGTTCCACAAGAAACTTCTGTTGGTTGTTCTACAAGATGACTGACTATCCTGTTGCAGTTGAAAGATGTTCCAGACCCTTTGGATGTGGCGCCAAGAGTACCAGCACCACGAGCAGCTCCCGCTCGCCTTCAACGGCACCTGGCCGTCGTGGAACTCTGACCTCGACAACCGCCCCTGGTAAACAAGTAACGTTAACAGTTTTTCTGTTAATACAGTGTTAAAAACAAAACTATTTTTCATTGTGAGGTTGTGCGTTGTCATTTGATCAGAGGACCTCTAGAGATTTGTTGAATGACAGTTGAGATGAATTCATTTAAGCACCAAATTACATTTCCTTATTTGAGGGCGTCGATTCGATTACACTGTAATGCGATGTCGCCAAGAGGATTAGACCTAAAGGGGATATCAGTGAAACTAGGCTGCCGGAATTGAAATTCCGGGATGCTCACCAAAACTTTCTCATCTTCTGGTGGCACTGCAAGAACATCAGGGTAGTAGTTGGCATCACGGATAAGCTGCACATAATAATCCTCGCTTGAGTTCACATCTACACAGAGTCAGTTCTTCCTGCTCCAATACATTTTGCACGATTACGATCGATTGACTTGCGCCGGAAACTCAGCGTGACAAATGATCCATGAGGGCCAGAAAGCATCTGCCCAGTAGCACGTGTCATGTGATAAGCAGAGACACCCAGTAGCACAGAGATGCTCACCGACAGGTCCGTGCCCTCCTCTTGGATGTGTCGAGAATCAATGCTACGCAGTTCATCGCCTTCCACTTGTCATGAGCCGCCCCCTCACTCTCGACGTCGGACTCTCACCAGGAGAAATCACTCCGCTGAGATGCGCTGGTCCATTCTCCACCAAGAAGTGAACGTAAAGATCCTGCCTGTGATCCTGTAGGAAATCAACATGAGTGGCGAAATCCTGAAACACGACATGCAGTGCAAATTTCGACATGTGCAGCAAGCAGCGTAACAGCAAATGCAGCGAAATGTCATGGCGGGATCAGTAGTTGAATTGCAACAGGGTCGAAGGAGCAACGAGCAAGTCCTCCTTACCTGTAAGAAAACGATCCCGACGCCTCCCTGCGGCTGCTGGTTGGTGGTGGTCGGATGCTTCATCCCACGCATGCTGGGAGTCGTCCGGATCATCCTAGAAGTGCTGGTCACAACAGACAAATTTTGACATGCCAACGGCTGGATCATGCCTCGTGGTCGAAGAATTCGCTTGACAGCATAGTAAGCTTTCCCAAAACGAGGATATTTTCCCTGAGATCTCCTCCAAGTTTTGACTCATCTTGAAGGAAAAGCCGACGGCCGATGGTTTCGGATTTCAGGGTTTCTGAAATCTCAGAACATGCGGGTTGAATCAACTCTGATGTTTCATGATTACATCTTGGGCGCCGGCGCCATGATGACTAGACTGATGGTTGGACACTAAACAAACAGAAAGCAACCTGAAAAAAAAAACAGTGACAATCAGAATAGCAGTCAGCACAGAAGAAAATCTTCTGGGTGGAACCAGCAAACATTCTGTCACAATGCATATTCTTGTATGTGAAACCAAAGATGTGCGGAGGTGTTCGGAGTGAAACATCAAGATTGTTACAAAGATCAACACAGCGAGACACCCACTGAACCACAGCAAGAACATGCCCTGTCAAACGACCAGTGGGTTCCCAGCGAGCGCCATTATCTTTTAGGTCGAGCACTTTGTAAGGTTCGAAGCATTCTGTACTATACTACTGCAGCAAACAAGTTCTTTCATCTGGAAAAATATTGAATGCAACGTGAAACCATGCTTCGATCATCTCCTTCAACACATGTTTTACACAATATCTCGTACCACCATGAAACAAAGGAGGATCTGAAGTGAAGTAGGAGCGCAAAAGAAGGCTCATAGCGAGGAAGACAATGGAGCATCTGAAGTAATATTCATGAATGTGCGACGATTATGGGAGGGAGGAAAGGGAGGACACGGGGGGAGACTGCGGGAGGAGGAAGGGAGGAGAATTGCCAGGGTGCATTCCATGGCAGTGTCGGTATCGTTTGCCAGAAGGTAGGGTGGACAAAGTCTTAAGAAGGGGTATATGTCGAGGGGTGGGGTTAAATGATGTTCACAATACAGGTAGGGTCCCTCCTATCGTTTAAAACTAGAAGTGTGGGGTTGTGAAATTGGGGTAGTTGGACTTGAAGTGTCCTCTATACCCGTTTAATTAGATTGAAAAGTACCGGTATTTTGATCAATTTCGCGTTCTTAGAAAAGATATTTCGTTTGAAGGGGTGGGGTACTCATACATTCCGGTTGAGGAAGGGGTGCGATGAAACAGAGGGGTACTGAAGGACCCTGAATGGGTCGGGTTCGGGGTTCGGGGTCGGTAGGAGAAACAGCAGTGGTGGAAGCAGCGGGGGTAGTATCCTGGAAAGGGAGGGGTAGAAGACTAGGAGGTAGGTGGGTATCCCTTTGATATTGGAAGATATAGGCCGAAATCCTGCACGAAACCCTCAAATGCTCGAAGATTTCAGGGTGGGGGTACATTTAGCAGGGGTGGAGAGTAGAACGGGTGGTAGCAGAGGTGGTAGGCAATCGGGTGATTGGCTTTCAATGAGGTGGGTACCGGAAGGACGGAGCCATTAAATGCTGGGGCGGGCTCGATACATTGCGGCTAATGGAGGACTTCATGCACGGAGGATGTGGAGGGAGGTGAGAGACGGGGAGAGGAGACGGGTGCGGAGGAAACAGAGGAAAGAGCGGGCAAGCATGATGCAGAATCAGGACGGGGTTGGGAAGTGCAGCTCAGCTATGAGAGGAAGAAGCAGATCATGGGACGATGAGGATTCGATTGAAGTTTTTGATGAGTTAAGGATCTGGCGAGGGGAGGTAGAAGGGTAAAGAGAACAATCGGAACATAGAAACATAGACGCGTATGAAGAAACTGACATGCTGAAACACTGTTCTTTTACCATTGGAACAGAAGCAGGGATCTGCGGTATGGAGTGTGGGGCTCGGATGATTCTGAATGGATCCAATCGTGCATCGAAAGGTTCTTATTTTGCATCAGATCCTTCACTCAAGTTGGATTGAGTGTGCTCCTGTCAGGTACTCAGAGAACTTCGTGCCAAGGTTCAGAGGAACTGGGAACAAGAGCGAGGGATGCGAAGAGAGGTAAACGGTCCTTGATGACATGTAGGGTTGTAAAAGGATGGCCAGGATCCCAAGGATCATCCATCATATCTGGATTGGGGGAAAGCTTCCTGGAAAGTTCCAATCTCTTCGAGATGTGCTACTGCTGAACGAAAAAAAGCCTTGTGCCCTGATGATATGACAGGAGTGGATATTGCTGCATCCTGCTCAAGAGGGATGGAAGCATTACCTGTGGGATGACGAGTCGATCGCTCAGGTTTGCAGCAGGTGCATTTTTCGTGACATGACGATACATGATTCTCCAGGAATTTTCATCCAATCCCATGGACAGTGCTGGCAGGTTTTTCTGTGAGAAACGCTGAACGCACGATGACTTACGTGGATCAAGTTATGCGAGTGCCTCAAACTATGGTGAGAAGAGCGATATCTTGCGACTGGAGGTGTTGAACAGGTCAATCGGCTCTCTTGGTTTGTTCTGTTTCCCTGAACTATGGTCTTCATGAAGATTTGGGGGGGTTTACGTTGATGTTGACTTCAAGTGTATTCGTAGCTTCCACGACATATTGGGTGCGGAGCCTGTGAAAAAGGCTTGACTGCGTTCATATCGTACCCCAGAGACCGGGGTTGCCTTCTTTGCAGGGCTATCGAACGTAGGACATATCGAGGTAAACAACGGGTTGATAGGTAAGGAAATGATCGGCCTCTGCCACTTTTCTCAGTGTTGCTATCAGGCTCTGCTCCCCAGCACCCACTGCTCAAGGTGTTGCCCTTGTGGCACTTAGTTCCGTAACACCTTCACTCATAGAGGTGTTTGGAAAAGCTTCACAGTAGCACGAGTATGCCTAGTGACAGACTCCTTTGCGTAATGCTCTTGATGATTCGGACAATTCGTGATGTTAATCTTGTTCTTGTGCTTTCCCACAGGCTCTTTCCTCTGGAAACGAGACGATTTGCAAAACAGGAACAAAGTTTGTCAATTCTTTCAAACTTGACCGGCAGACAGGCCCTGGATACTTTACGAGAATGATGATATCGGCATGGAAGGAGAAGCTTCATAAGCCTCATGGAGTCGATGATTTGGAGTGGATTGTCCTTCCAGTGAGGTGATTCTGATTTTGATTTCTCTTCTTTTCGCATGCTCCCTTGTTGCAGGTATTTCTATTCCCTGCCTAACAACCATGGGGATTTTGAGAAGAACTGGCAAACCATCGACCTGAAGACGGTTCAACTCAACCATCATCTGTACCACATGACGGCCCATCGCAGGACTATCACGCTGATGTCCATGCTATTCATTTGTGGGCACACTCTTGGGAGAGCAACTCCAGCACCCAGGTAAAATCACTTCACCTCAACTAATCAAGTTGAGTTCATTCTTGCGACAGAACGAAGTCAATGTCGAAAACCAACAAGAAATGATATGGCTTGCCAATCTCGTTACTAGAAATGGATGGCTCAAACCAACAGATAGCACAACTCATAAAAAATAACAGCCATTTATTACATATCCAGTTCCGATTTTTACTCGTAGAGGGACTTGGTGTAGGTGGCAGTGCCAGCAACGTAGGCGTCACGGGCAGCCTTGTAGGGGCCGGTGGCGAGCTTGAGCTCGTTGGCAGCCTTCAAGTAGGCATCGCGGGTGGCGCGGTAGGTGGTAGCGTAGTCACCGAGGTCAAAGAGGAGCTGGAACATTGCTGCAAAAGCATTTGTCAATCCACGGCACGTTTATGAATGCATGCATAGACGGAAATCATCACTTCATACATATAGAACATTAGAAGCAAAATTGACGATGAACAACAATTCATCTTATTTCAATCTCCCATCAGTCCAGGTTTTGTTTGTCTCAGGTTCATACACAGTGGCATATCATCTACAAAGAGCATTTTCTCGTCTCACCTGTCTTGTGATTGGCCCTTGCCTTCGCCCTCCTCTTATCCCCTCTGATCTATTCCTGGCGATTTTTTTTTTATCTTCTCACCCCCTACCCCATTGAACATCAAGGGGATCTTCTTCACCCCTCATAAATCGTCAGAAGTGCCCCATATACCACCCCTCATCGAAGCTGTAATCTTCCACTACCCCGTCCCAATTCAACACCACCTCTTGTTCCCCACCCCTGTCTTCGCCATCGCTGGCGCTGCATTCCACCAACACTTTAAAAACAGTATATATAATGGAAGTACCATAATCCACCTATATTGCTTTTATGAGATATTGAGTATCTTCATTCAGTACAGATACTCTTATTAAAATCAGTCAAGCATCCAGAGATTGTACAATATTTTATTTTCTTGTATTTAAAAACGAACCGAAAATAGCAGCAAGTCGCCCTCAGACCTACACAGGACCAGTCCAAGGCCCGGGCCGAGCCGGCACTGAAGATGGCCGGATGTCACGTGCCCGGCAATGGAGGGACGGAAGGGAGGCAAAGGGAAGCAGGGTAAAGGAGCAAGAGGAAGCGTTTGTGAGATCGTCAGGTTGATGGGTGAAGTTGTTTGATCTACTCTGGATACAGCCTTGAAGGATTCCTTCCAGCTCTGCTGCCCTTGCTCTGCTCCTGCTGTGCCAGACGTGTGCGGCACATTCCACCGGACGAAGGTGGAGGAGGATGAGTGGCATAAAGTTCGATGGAGGGAGCGAGCCCAAACGATCCTGCAGTGAGGGAGAAGTAGGTGGTAATCCTCTTGGAAGAGAGATGAGAGACAGATTCAGTGAATGGCTGGATTCAACGGGAGCATGGTGGAACAAAGATCTGGTGGAGATCCGATACCCGGGGAGGAAGATCTCCGACAACGAGGATGTTCCAACCTACTTGAGAGATGGTTGGGGGATGATGAGCAGGGAGAAGAAGATCAGCAGCGGCACTGTTATCTGTAAAGTTCCAAAGGATGCTTGCTTCTGCGGAGAGGAGGGATTTGCAACGGATATTGAGACCGATTCCCAAGTGCACCTCGCACTAGCCTTGATGCGAGAGAGAAGGCTGGGGCCCAGCTCGAAGTACTACGACAAGATCCGTACTCTACCCCTCTCGGTTGATGTGTGCTGGGCATGGAAGGAGGATGAGCAGCAGTGGCTTGAGGGGACGGAGCTGGAGCTTGTGAGCCGAAGGAAGTTGGGGAGGATGAGAAGAGAGTACCAAGAGGCCGTGGAGCCGCTGGGAGAAGGATGGACTTTTGACACCTATCTCCATGCATGTGCTACTTCCATCAGCCACGCCAACCCCTGGTTCGGCGTGTCCATGGTGCGGTAACGTGGTCGATGTCGGACACGCTCTGATCGCAGCAGCAGGTCTCGTTCGTGGACATGGGAAACCACGACGACGAGCCTGACGTGGAGTTTCGGCAGAAGGGAAAGCAGGTGGTGGGCACGGCCGTCAAGTCCATCCGGCCAGGAAAGGAGATCTATCAGTCTTACGGGGATCTAGGGGTTGCTGACCTCATCTACCGGTAGTTGAGACCTGCACTACCATTACCCCGCATGCTGCTGGTGACGCAGGTTCTCAGGTATGGCTTTGTGAAGCAGCCGATGAGCAAGAAGGTCGACCCGATCCCTTGCGAAGAGGACACGGTCTCAGTGGACTGCGAGCTGATCCGGAAGCACCTGCAAGGTGATGGACAGGAGGCTGAGGTTGCTGTTTGAATCTTTTGTAGGCCATGTGCTGCTGGAGGAGAAGTTTCGGATGCTCGACCAGTGGTCAGTGATCGCTTCCTCACCCTGGGACGGACTGGAGGATGTGTTCACCATTCAGCTGTCCGTGGAGTATGATGGGAAGAAGCGGAAGAAGGAGGTAGCAAGAGGGCTGGAGGAGCTTCTACTTGCGGTACATGTCCTGTCGCTGGGCAGAGAGCGATGGTTGGACTTGTGTCAGACTTGCAACGAGCTGCTTCAGCTCCTTGGGCAACGTTTCTCTGACGACGATGCTCAGATGCTCTCCCTACTGTTGGGGCTTCAGCTGTTGGAAGTTGGGGAGAGGATAGCAGGGACAGACTTGCAGGCGTTGGTTGATCGGTCGCTCGACGAACTAAACGATCGGGGGATCCTCCCAGCACCTGAGAAGGAGCGCGAGAGGACTGAAGGAGAGAAAGAAAGAGACAAAAAGGAGTCGACGAATGAGGGAGAGGAAGAAAGGCAGGATGATGATGTTGAGGAAGAGGAGGAAGAGGATGAGGAGGAGATGAGCTGGAGGAGCTTGCTGGGGAAGTACTGTGAGGATTTACCATTGGTTTTGAAACCGCACAACCTTGACATTGGAAGCAACATCTTGGAGGAGAGGAAGAGAAAGCTGAAGGTAAGAGAAGGATCGTGCCTGTTGTGAAGAGCCGATGCTGACGCAAGTTGGTGTGATGGCAGGCCGATCTGCCTGAGGACGCGTCAAGCGCGAGACTGCACATGGCCAAGTGTCTTGTGATGGTAGAGTGCAAGATCTTAGAGGTTGGCTTGAGGGGCCTCAACGGTTTGAAATGAATGATGCCATGTAGACCATCTATCATGGCACGGTATGATTACAGTGTCGGATGAACTTTCCAATGTGCGGCAACTCCGATGATGAAGTACTCCGTAGTGACTATCATTGAACTAGTACAAAGACCGGTGAAATCCTGCCGGGCGGCCATGATTGAACTGACTCACTGAGTCAGTCACTGAGTGAGTTGCTGGCCCGGGCGCAGCCCGGCCGCTGAGTCCCTGAATAACTCAAGCCTTGAAGTCCGCCTCAACTTTGGGCATAGCAGCAGCACAGGGCAAATTGATCACACCATTTGGATTTTTAGTTTACCCACCGTACCAATTTGGAGCCGTACAAAATTTGTAAGTAAAGCGGAATTTGTATATCAAAAAATAGAGTCACTTCTCACAGTACAAAATGAAAAATATTTTTATAGGCTGACTCTTCAGGTTGGCTCTTGGTGGAATAGACGCGAAGAATGGCGCGAGAAGGGAGTGCGAGGAAGGGTGTCTCGCGATGATGCGAGCGCAAGAAGTAGAATGAGACGATCCTAGACAAGAAGATGAATGCTGTGCTGGCATAAGAGGGAAGTAGACAACAAGACAGGATGGTTTGGTAGGTATCGACTCCTTGAACAAGGCATATGTTATTGCCGCGTTCTTGTCTAGGGCGATAAAAGCCCTGTGACCGAACTTGTTCTTCTTGACATTCATCCGATGCCAAAGTACTTGTTATCTTAGGCATGAATGTTGTTGTCATTGCGCTGCTGGATGGATTGTGATGTTTCTAGACTCCGTCCCATGTTGTGTGTCGTGAAGGAGTGCACGAAAAACAGAATATGGTTGTTTCATGATCCAATGTGTGCAACACAGTAATACCACATGAAATCTTTACATGAATATTCTGCTGTCTCAAATATTATATCACTGGCATATCTTGGTGTCGATTTCGATGATGTGCATCCCACGTGCCTCTTCGGTCTTGGAAAAGATTTTTCTCGTTAGATTGGGATTGCCCTGCATTTTTCAATGATTTTCTGTTTCATGCCTGGTATGAAGATCACTACTTCAAGATATTGTAGCTATTCATGTTCTCTGTGTTAGTCCAATGCATTCTTCAGATGGTGGGTCCGCACGATGGTGACGTGGATATCTTGGCTTAGCTTGCAATGGAATGGGATTACGTGTTGCGATCTTCGTAGAAGAAATAGTAGAAGACAACAACTCTGAACTTCATGACGACTCGATCTGATATCAACTGGCAGGCGATGCTTGAGCAACTCTACGGAAAGCACGCGGCTGCGTTGTACGCTCAGGCGGCAGACTTCAACAAGACTGCTCGCTTCTACTACATGAAGGCTCAGGACGCCTACTACCTCGCCAACGCTCAGGCCTCGTACGATGACTGGCGCCGCGCTCGTCGTCAGTGGGACTACTTCTACCGCAGGAAGTAAACGGACTAGTCCGTGCGGTGCCACGAGAAAACCTCCGGCATACATCGCAGATGTCGGGGGTTGTTGTTTCGTGCGTAACGGGAGATATCGCAAACTGAAATTTTAACTTTGCTCTCGTTCTTATTACTTGGGTGTGTAAGCAATTTCTTGGAGAATTTAGAATCAGCGGTAAATGAATCTACTAGATTTCAAATGTTGTCTCACACTCATTCACACGCTTGTTCTCATCGTTGCCTCATCTGAGGCGGGGGATCGGGTTGGGTCCTGAGCCTCCAAACTCTGAGAGATGATCGCGCAACTGCAATGAGCGTCAAAGTGCGTGAGTTCTCGCTTCTTCCACTACCTTGTTGATGAGCCCGGGGCTCTGAAGGATGTCTTGTAGCTGTAACAGGTCAAGATCAGCCATGTGAACATTGAACTTCACCTTCATGGAGAGCAACGATGATGATCCGTCGTCACCTGCTCAATATTGTGAGTTCACGATTCCACTAGCAGCAAGACAAGCACGAGAACCATTCTCTTTCGCCTGTTCCAAATCAGTCAGACTCCTTCAAAAATTGAAACTTTCAGACCCTCAGAGCCGGAGGAGGTGCTCGCTTCACTTCAGCCTTAGACATGTCCTCCGCAAAGTTCTGCATGTTTGCTACGCTCGTGAAGACTTGCTGCATGCCCCGTGAACGAGCAGCAAAGGAACAGCGAAGCATTACCCGCAGCGCGCTATAGGTATCCTCCAATTTGTCATTGACGAGAAAGCCGTCGAACAGGGAGCTCCCACACTTCTCTGCCTCATCCAAATCCTCGGCAGCCTACGGAGACTCAGAGCAGAAACGAGGAGGAAGGGGACCTTTGCCTGCTTCAGCGAGTCACGAATTTCCGTCTCCTCCACCCCTGAAGCCTTCAGCCGATCGGAGAGCACTTGGAGGGAGGGTGGGGTTATCCACACTATCTTACACTTGTAGCCTGAGGAGCGTCAAGTTTGCGCGGCTCGAGATCTGACAGCACCTGAAGACTTGAGCTGCTGGACTCCTGCAAGGTCCAGGTGGATGACAGCAACTTTCCCAGCATTCCTGATCATGTTGACAGCATCGACAGAAGTGCCGTAGAGATCCCCGTCGACCTCCACGATCTCCAGGAAGAAGCCGTCTTTCGCTTGCCTCTCCATTCGCTCACGGTCTGACAGCCTTCGCGTCAGTAACGGCAATCATGGAGCAGAGCAGAGCAGAGCAGAGCAGAGCAGAGCAGAGCAGAGCAGAGCAGAGCAGAGCAGAGCAGAGCAGAGCAGAGCAGAGCAGAGCAGAGCAGAGCAGAGCAGAGCAGAGCAGAGCAGAGCAGAGCTTTCACCTGAGAACCAGAACTGAACACCGTCCTTCTCCTCCTCCTGCGGAGCCCTTGAGGTGTGACTGACAGGGATCGCCATGCGCTCAGGGAACTCGTCAAACAGCTTCGCGATGAGAGTTGCTTTCCCCTGCTCGAGCCGAGTCACCCAATTCAATCAAGGTGAGACTCAACCACAGACCACTCCTGCTGGTCCGGCCAGAACAAGGGGGAGAGGGAGAACGTTGTCGTGAACAGACTCCATCACTTCCGAGAGCCGCTGAGCTTGATCCTGATACCAAGTAACAACCAAGTCACCACTCGAGAAATCATGTAGCAAGGAACCTTTATCTTCATCACGGCACAGGCTCGTTCGAACCTCTTGAGCACAACGCTCAATTCCCTCTCCTTGGCCTTGTAAAGAGCTTCGGCTTCCTTCAGCGTTTGCATCGCCCTACTCTGCTGTGAGCGGGAACACAACAATCCACACGCACTCACGTTTTCTCCTCAAAATCAGCATTTTCAACCTCCCTCTCGTGTTGCAGGATTTCTTCCCTACAGCGTTGGTCAGATGGGGTGTTGGAACGAACAATTGAGGGATTCAAGGTTGAGAGGAGGGGGGCGAAGATGGGAAGGGGGGGAGGAGAGGAGAAGAGGAGGAGAGGAGAGGAGAGGAGAGGAGAGGAGAAGAGGAGGAGAGGAGAGGAGAGGAGAGGAGAGGAGGAGGAGAGGAGAGGAGAGGAGAGCTCTCGTGAACAATGGTGTACGGGAGGGAGGAGGGAAAGAGAGATCGAAGGAGGAGGGAAAGAGGACACAAGAATGCAAGTAAGGTTATGGGTGCCATGGCTGCGTGCAAGGAGTTCACTGACTTCTTTTGTTTCAGCGCCTCTCTCAGCTGTGCGACTCGATCCTCCTCTGCTTCCTTGTCCTTGGAGAGCTGGGAGATGGCACGCTCTGCCGCAGTCAAGTCGACTTGCTCGCCTCCAAACAACCATGACATCCTGCATGAGCAAGTCAACCGCCGGTTCACTGACTCCTCCAAGATGGGTTGTGCTTCGAAAGGATCCAAAGGATTCTCCCGCTCAAAGGCTTGATGTCGAGGAAGTCATTGTAGATTGTTGGAATGTTTGATGGGATAACATCCAAGGCCGATATGGGGAGGTTGTTGGAGAATTTATGATGAGGATCAAGTTGATAAGGGCATTTTTGGTCAAAAAGGAGGGACATGGAAGGGAAAACAAGGATTGTGCTGGAAGAAAAGGAGGAGGGAGGGAGAGGAGAGGAGACGGAGGGAGAGGAGACGGAGGGAGACGAGAGGAGACGGAGGGAGAGGAGACGGAGGGAGAGGAGACGGAGGGAGACGAGAAGGAGGGAGACGAGAAGGAGGGAGACGAGAAGGAGGGAGACGAGAAGGAGGGAGAGGAGAAGGAGGGAGAGGAGATTAGAACAGCAAGCTCCTGCTGGGATGATGTCAGAGACAAAATTCTCCCTCATCCCCGCTATGACCCAGAAACCGGTGCCGGGCCGGGCCGGGCCGGGCAGCGGCAACTGAGCTGCACTGAGGGTAACACAGCGGCCGACTGAAGAGGGGTGGGTCGCATGGATCACCCCACCCCCTGAAATCCTCTCTGAACCCCTGAGACAACTCTGAGTACCCCTGATAAATACCGACTTAGTACCCTATCAGTTTATACATCAATCCCAGAACCCCTCATTTTTGTCTCACCCCCAACTAATAAATTTTTTCAACATTACTCCAGCCCACCCCCTTATTCCTCACTCACAAACTCTGAACATGGTCTACTACCCCACTTTCCCCCTATTTGACCCCTGGAAAATCATCTACTACCCTACCCCCTGATCTATTCGGCAAAAATATTACCCCCACCCCCCAATTCTCTGACAACCCCAACATTCTTTCACAACCCCTACCTTCCTCTACTGAATGAGCGTATACACTACCCCTACTGAATGTACCCTACCCATGATATTCCATAGAAAGGACCCCTACCCGTCACGTTGAAGATCCGCCTCAGAGCGATCCGGCTAGAGGAATGCAGCGGCGATGGTGTGGGAGGGAGAACGAGGAGAAGGGGATGCAGATGAGCCAAGAGAAGGAAAGAAAGAGACGACAAGATTGATGCAATCTAGAAGGGAATAGATGGAAACTTTGATGATTTGCCATCTTGATCTTGACAAGTCGAACTGATGCGTGTAGCTTGCCCGAAGATAACAAGCGTTTTGTGTGGATACAATGAGGATCAAGAGTATTAGTAACATGCAAGACATTATAGTGCCTAGACATATGATAGATTCTTGTGTTTGCGAATTCAACCCGTGATGATGCTTATCAGCTACAAATTGCACGAAATGTTGATTGATTGCTTTTGCTTTCACCCAACAGAGAAATGCCGAAACCACGAGGACGACAGGGCATGAAGGAGCAGCTTTTACCTAAAAACCGAGATCAAGGTCCTAATCTCCCAAAGCTACACCTCCACTTGGAAATCTTATTGTGAGCTTCGCAGAGACAGAGCAGCCTACATCTCAGGAGCATGGTGGAGGCGAATCGCGTGGAGGAGTTGGCCACGAGCACGGCCACAGCCACGAGCACGGCCACAGCCACGAGCACGGCCACAGCCATGAGCACGGCCACAGCCAAGAGCACGGCCACAGCCAAGAGCACAGCCACAGCCATGGCCATGCACACTCTGGTGCCATGTCGCGAGCCTTGGGCGACGAGGTGCATTGTGTGGACCAGGACGGCATGGTCAATGCGCCCGAAGTAGCTCTCGGTATGCATTGCTCAGTCAATGTAAGATTGCTGACTCTCTTTCAGTGCTCAACCCAAAGAGGAGAAGAGATCTTGAGAACGATCTGGGTTCAACCTGGAAGCTCAAGATGGTAGAGAGGAGATGTTCCAATGCATTGTATGTGATCATCCGATGCAGGCCTCTGAGAAGTCATCGAGGAAGTTCCTGACGATGTTGGTGCTGTCGACCTGTTATCTCGTAGCTGAGATGGTACTGTGCTGCATGTGCTATTGAGTGCGGCTAACTTTCTCCACGCAAGGTTTTTGGGGTCCTGAGTGGATCTCTTGCCTTGCTTGCCGACGCTTTTCACATGCTCACTGATGTTGTTGCCATCTTGTGTGGGTATTGGGTCGCGAAAGTCTCAACAAGGTGATCTGTTTCCACTCTCCTTGTTTTTGTAATGAATTCCCTAGGTCGAGAACCAACGACATGTCTTTTGGATGGAAGCGAGCAGAGATTGTTGGTTAGACACGTTCAATCTCGTCATGCTGCACGTGTTGCGGATACCTGTCTTTCTCCTCACCATATACCTCTGGCAGGGGCGCTAGCAAACGGATGCTTCCTCTTGGCTGTCTGCTTTACAATTTCGCTTGAGGCCATTGAGAAATTGTTTGGATTAGGTGATGCTGGAGGAGAAGGGGTAGATGCCTCTGATTGCTAGATTGCAGGAAGAGAAAATTCAGAAGATCTTGAAAACAATGCGGATCAAGTAAGTGATAGTCAGATCGTCTTGATTGAGCTCACTGCTGTGCTCCGCTCCGTCAGATCATCGTTGTTGGAACTGTCGGCTTGTTGATCAATTTGCTGGGAATGTGCGTGTTTGGAGGCCACGGCCACAGCCATGGCGGTAAACTCCTCGATTTGCCGAGGCTTCAGGTGGAAGAATGATGGCTTAATGTGCAGGAGGAGGAGGACACAACCACGTTCATAGCCATGGGCACAGTCATGGCAACAAGTCGAGCAAAGTTCATGGACACTCGCATGGCAGCGGTGAAGAGTGAGGGGAGGTTGGCAGGAGCTGAAAAGATTCTTCAAGGCGATGTCCACATGCATGCCCATGGCAGTTCTGACTCAGATGGTGATGATATTCAACGCAAGATCATGTCTTATTTCTTGCTCCTCTTCTGCAGACTCTGTCAACCACGATCATCATTCTTCAGATGCGAATTCTGGTGAAGGACATGCGCACGAAGGCCATTCGGTTATGAGGAGGAAGAAAAGTGTGGAGGAGGGTGTGACACAACCTTCAGAACATGAACGAGTGGAGCATGTACCTGCATGTCATGGGAGACGCGCTGGGCTCAGCGATTGTCATCCTGAACGCAAGTTTGATCAAAGTAAGTCTGTGTTCGGCAGTTTTCGTGCTCCTGACCAGTTGTCTGCAGTATGCCAAATCATGGGGAGATTACAGATTCATGGCAGACCCGATCACGAGCTTGGTCGACCCGTCTCTCTTCTAGATCCTCCTCCTCATACCGGCATTGCAGGTAATGGTGGCGATCATATTGGTCCAAACCATCCCGCTGGTGAAAGATACGGCCTTGATCCTCATGGAGACGGTGAGCCAACGGATCGAGTCGTGGACATGTCGTTGCTGATGACACTCGCTTCAGGCACCTTCCCTCATAAGCGAGGAGATTCAAGACGTGGACTCGCTGCATGTACTTGCGTCTTCTGGTCGCCTCCTCTGCCTCATCGCTGTTGCAGGAATCTCTCTCACGCGTTGAGGGCGTCCTCGAGGTCCATGAGCTTCACATCTGGCGGCTCAATCAGGTGACTAGAAGAGAGATGGAAGCGAAAGAGGAGGATGGGATGATATGAAGGAGAGGACGGAAAGGAGGAGGGCGGGGGACGGAGGAAAGGGGGGGGGATGGACAGGAGGGAGGATGTTGTGTGTGTGTGTGTGTGGAGGAGGGGGGGGGAGACAAGCTTGTCCAGGCATTGAGCGTTGCTGGCAGAGCACTGCTCTCTGCACCGTCCACGTCGTGATGCAAACGACATCCACCCATGAGGTGACGGCGACTGTTGACAGAATCAAGCAGCTGCTTCACAGGTGAGCTTGTGCTGGGCTCTTACGGCGGGGCTCTGACGTGTTATCCAAGTAACAACATCCACTCGAGTACTATCCAGACCGAAATCATCTCCATGTGCGAGAGTGCAGCCGATTGCTCGCACCTTCCCTCCTCCTCGGGTTGTGCAAGGTGACATGTCACTGGCACTTGTGATGGGAATGAAAGTGATGTTTGTTTCAGGGTTGAGCATCTGTCCAAGAATCTTTCCAACTGCGCTGACCTCGGTTGACTAGTATTCTTGTCGCAAATCCCTCAACTCATTTTCCTGTGCAGTGTGTGATGACAACCAGTGTCTGACCAACTCTTGCTGCAACATCACGGATCAGGTTTGCCTTGTCCTACCCTTCTTTTTCCAGCTGACTGTGTTGGTCAGAATGCTGCTGGCAAGTGATGACAGAACTGATCTCGTCTCGTAAAGGAGCACTTCGTTGAGCCGTGATGGGAAGTATGTACCAAGCTCTCTACGGTGTCATCATCTTTATACCGAAGACCTCTCTACCTCAATCTTTCTCCCAAACAAATCTTTGGGACAAGATTGGACCAAAGTTGACGCCATTTTCCAGAGCTTGTTTACCGAATCACTAAAATTACACTTCCAAACAACAACAAAAGAATGCTCCCACAGGGCTTTCACACAAAAACAGCTAAAGAAAAATCATGACCATCACTAGATGATCAGATGCGCTGCGTGCCCGAACCATAGCCTTTGCGCCCACAACAGTCTGCCAGGTTGCACCTTGATCTGCACGCCGGAGTTGAACAGCTTGAGAAGATCTCCTGTGTCAAACTTCCCGTGCACAACAAAGAGCCCATTGCCTGCAACATCATGTCAAACGAATCAAAAGGCTGAAAACTGATTTGACTCACCACTGATCTCTGTCCCAGTGCCGATATCCACATCACCCGTTACCTCCACCGTCCCGTCGATGACCAGATTCACATTTTCAAAACGCAAAGATCCGTCCACGAGCAGCTTCCCTGCTGAGGGTACTTCCAAGTGCACTGGCTTGTCCTGCTCGCCTGCAACCTCCAGGGAGGTGACGGCATGGTCTCGGTCGATGTAGACGAAGCCTGAGCGGATCCTCACGGCATCTTGCATTGAAGGCACCCTCATGGTGTTCCAAGAAGTCTCGTCGCTCCAGTTTCCCTTCCTTCCGACATCGATCCACGTGATCCGGTCATCGGCTTCCGACCAGCATCCCCCCAAGACGAGCACAAGAAACACGACTAGAAATCTCAACGACATGCTTTCTGTGTCCACACGGCGACTTTCTTAATGATCTAGAGCAGTTAAAGAATTGCAGAGAGCAAGTCTACTTCATCGTCCTCTGGGTAACCCTGTTGCGTCCCTGCCGTCGCCACGCTCCCTACTCACTTCCGCAGGCGTAGCAGGACGAGCCTGAGAGCTGAATGATGAGATGAGAGGGAGAAAGGGACCAACAGAGGGGAGAGGGAGAGAGCAGGAGATCTTGTATGGATGGAAGTGAAGGAAGAGGAGGAGGTAGCGGAGCAGCGGGCAGGAGACGAGCGAGTCTGATGAGATGGCGTGGATTGGGGGCGGGAGACAGATGGCGGGAAGCATCGAATTTGAGGGGGTGGGGTGATCAGACTAGGGGGTACTCACAGAATACTAGGGGTACTTTTCTGTAACTGGAGATCAGAAAAGCAGGGTGTATACAAAATATTGAGGGTAGGGGTAGGCAACTTATCCCTGGTCATACCGGAAGTGTGGGATAAAATGTTCTCTCCGGGAGGTGGGGGTCCTGAATTCGGAGGTTTCGGTGGGGTACTCTTGGTGAAAAGGGTGGGTACTTTCATAGGACATGCCCGGTGGGTAGTCAAGATGTTGCATGGCAATGGGTTGTGTTACGGTCTGTAACCCTAGGGTGCGGAAGGCGATATTCAGTATGGTGGGGTAGGCGGGTTTAATTTGTAGAAAGTGAGATATGATAGCATATGGAAAATGAATTGGAGGTCAATTGGACTTTAATTGAGGTAAGAGGTATACCCTGGTATATGAAGCGTCATGGCTGAAATTGGTGGGTTGTAGTCACCCTGCGACTTTTGTTGAGACTGGGACGGACTAGGGGTGGTGGGGTGAAACGACCTGGGTAGTCTGTCGAGCTCGATTTGTATCTGGGCGGTAGGGTGCTAAATGACTGCCGGGGGTACAGGAATGGGTTGGGGTGGGTGGAGGAGATGAAAGGGGTGCTAATCCCAAGGGTGGGTATTCAATATCTTTTATAAATATAAAACAACATATTAAATGCAGAATGAAACACACCCCTATTTATCAAATATAACATAGGGGTACTATGGTGAGTTGCGATCACAGGCTGTAAAGATGTTTGTAGGTCGTAGATGAAACTACGAAAGAGTTATTAATTCGGTTTAATTGCTGGTTGAAAAAGAGTCTTCTCGGGATGATGAATAAAAAGTATTCTATACCATACTGATCGACCAGCAACGGGTGGCAGCCCATCCGACCCCTGCTCACCCCACCCCTCTCTTTTCCAACATTATCTACTTGTTTACTAGGGGTGAAAGAAGATTGATATATATAATATATTTATGTCTCATAATGTTTTTTTTAGGGCTCCTCCGAGGCTCTCCAAAAGATGTCAGGCCACTGCCAGTGGCCTCGGCACTCCGAGGCTCCGAGGAGTTCCGGCCGGGCCCGGCCGCCGGTCGGGCGCCGGGCCGGGCGCTCCAACGCCCGGGCCTCGACCGGCGGCGGCGCCGTTCACAGGGCCGTCAGTTCAACGGTTGAAAGGACCGTACCGTACTGGCTATCGTCGGGACGGTCGGACCGTCGCACTGGCACTCGGGCCCGTCGGACTCCTCTCGCCGGGAGGCGGCTCGCCGCACCGGCGCCGGGGCCGGGCCGCACCGCCCGGCCCGGCGGGCCGCCGGGTCACCGGGTCTCGCCGCGCCCGGCCCGGGACCGACAGTCCGGCAGGCTCGGCGAGGCTCAGGCTCCGCCGCGCAGGGCCGAGGCGGATACCGTGGAGTATCATGGCATATGGCACCGGGCACTGCCGCGCGCGGCAGCCCGGCACCCGGCTGTCCCGGCCCGGGCCGCTGGGCGCCGGAAGCCTTGACTCTGTGAAGCCACAACACTGTGACAAAGGCTTCTGGCCGCGGGCAGCTGAGATGGGACAATCACACGGGGGCTTTGGGGCCGGCGGCGGATGATTGATGCTGCCACTGTGACCGCACTGCATCAGTGAGTGCTGCTGTTCGGAGAATTTGAGCGCTGTTCAAACGCACAGGCGATGAACAGAAGGCTCAGTCTCCAAGATCCTTATACTCGTGTGACAACTCAAAATCCTGCCTACAGCTCTCAACCGGACATCTTCCTGCAATCAGGCCTCGGTCCCTGATCCTCTTCAGGATCTTCCCCCGGTTCTTCACCCTCCTCCCTCCTGCCGCAGGAGGTCGAGGAAGCCGGGATCGGATTCATCGTCCTCGTCGGAGGGCCCCGAGGGCCCTCAGATCGTCGGGAAAGGCCCGCGAGCAGGGCAAGGTAGGAGGTGGGAGATAGGAAGTGTAATCGTCGTGTGCGACGACGAGAGCATTCGGGAGAGGTCGAGGAGCTGCATTTGGAGTAGAGGCTGGCAGGGGGGAAGGGGAGGGACACGAAGGCGGGGTCAGCGGCGGAGTCGAGGCCGTACGGGAGGAAGTCCATGAGGGGGAAGCCTTGAAGGAAAGAGGGAGCTCATGGCAGGAGTTGGAAGGGGTTGATGGGTAGAGGGAGGGGAGAGGGGCAGTACTTCTGCAGTATCTGTCCCGCGGGGACTTATCGTGAGCAGCGCTGCAACCTGTTCCCGGCATGCTATGCCTGTCCTGGAAATTCCACCAGCGCACTGAGCGGGGAGTACATCGGTTGCAGACTGCTTCTGCGATGATGGGTTCGAGGGTACGGTATCCGTGTCACGGTGTAAACAGCGTGTGCACCCCTTGCCAACTGGGGTACTATGCCTCCGCTGCCACGTCACGCACAAGTGTACTGCCTGTCCCGATCCGTTTATGAGCACACGAGTCGGGGTATGCTGGCATTGCTTCTGCACACTGTAATCGGCCATATGTGTAGACGTCCACCTTTCCGAACTCAAGCATAGTGAATGATGATGACATTGTTTTGGTCATCATGCTCGCCGTGATGGGAAACTTCCACAGGAGGAGGGTCACCAATGCGGATGTCTATGACGACGTACAGGTCGTCTTTGATCCATTGGATGGGAAATTTGTCATCCTTCAGAGTCTAAGGGATACGGAGATGACGGTCTTTAAAGCCTTCCTTGTAGTATCAGTGGCAGGACTCCTTTTCTTCTTTATGATGAATAAGGACGAGAAGAAGAAGAAGCTTGAAGAGGAATCGAATATGAACCTGGAAGCCTTGTTTGGCCGAGCAGTAACGCCATTGCATCCAACCTTGTTTCTTCAAGACGAATTATTGCAATCGATCCTGGTCGCAATGTACTGATATGCGGTATCAAGCAAATACATGGTCAAGAAAAACCAAAACAGTACCGATATACGCGAAGGGAGTACTATCACGAGTTTCATATTACTCAGAATAACGCCAAGTTAGAAAACTGGAGACAAGGCATAACAGAAGAATCAAACGATATGGCACGAGTGTCAGCAAAAACGTCTCGGCTGGATCACTATGAAACATACATGAACACCGTGGTGATTCAATTAGTTTTTTATGGACTGAAAAAGAAAAGCAAACCGGAGCAAACAAAGGAGGACGAGGATAAATCAAACAAGACCGCCTCAATGAAACACTGAAAAACGGAGGAGGCAGCGAAAACCGCTACTCCAACCACGCAAGCGACAGCAGGCACGACAAGCAGGGGAACAAGGATCAGTACATAGATTCAATTCCCAAACTAGCTATTCTTATTATTAGAGGCTTAATTTTGAGTAAAATGTCAGCAAATATAGTCAAAAAGATTTTAGTTTTAAAACATGAATTTTCGCTCAGTCCAATTTATAGTTTGAACTATAAACTTGACAGAAAAAAAATGTGTAACACATTGAATCCTACCTAGATCCCATTAGCTGTACAGGAAAAGTATTGAACCTACTTCGAATCCTACAAATCCCGGTACAATGCTGGGTACAATACTGCTGAGACTCACCATAAAGTGTCGGGGGAGGGGGGAAGGGAGGGGGGAAAGGAGGGGGGAAGGGAGGAGGGAGGGAGGGGGGAAGGGAGGGGGGAAGGGAGGTAGGGACGGTAGGGAAGGGAGCAACAGAAACAGATTCAGAGCGAGCAGCAGAGCGAGCGAGGGTGTATGTGTGTAAATGGGGGGGGGGGGATGCAGCAGATAGAATACAGGTAACCTTCATGTCAAACAAGCCTTCCCGTCAAGCCTAAATTTGCTCTTTACCAGCAGAAGGGGGAGTGCGTCGTGGGTTCCATGTCGCTCGTATCGCCTCTTGGATTCCTTTGGTTGAGCTCAATCATCATTTCGAGCTCAGAGGTAGACATCAACCTCAATGCTAGATAGAAGCTTCTTGAACTTGTGTTGTTCCTGCAGGGATTGTGTTTCCTTCCTGGACCCCCCCAACGGTTCGATCGCGAGCAGAGCACGGTTTGTCAGCGCTCTTGTCTTCGGATACGAGGAGGAAATGATGGTGGAGGTGAGAAGAACAGTGAGCATAACAGGCCGGCTGAAAGCACAGGAGACGAGAGCAAGATCGCAAGGGCTCAGCAGAAAGTCAGAGAGGCAGGGCTTCGGGAGGCTGAAAGCACAGGAGACAAGATCAAAATATCAAGCGCTCGCTACCATCTTGAGGATGCAAGTCTAGAAATCTCGGTAGCAACTGTCGAGAAAGATCTCAGACAAGCTTGTGAGGGCGTCGTTCATCGAATGTACGGTGAAACAGGAAACTTCTTTACAGGTGAGTCTGAACATGAGCCCCAATAACTTCTGAACGTTTGATCGGTAGCTATTCAGCGGCTTGCCAACAAAGTTGAGATGCACAGTATATTGTCGTCCCTGCGGCGATATCTTATCATTGTTCTTGATGGTGAAAACACAATGGAATCGTCAGGGGTAAGAGCGAGCCAGCTTTTCAGCGCAATGAACCCAATCGACAAACTGATGGAGACTGAAATGGAATTTACAGCTTCCACTCACTTATGTATGATTGAAGCTTGTTCTGGCAGTGGGAAGTCGCTGTGCGCTGCCGATTTCTTTGTTCGACATCCAGAAGAATGTATCTACTTCCTTTTCCGCCCTTCGAACCCAGACATGGTGCGGCTCATGTACTCTTACGTAGAAAGCATCACAGATCTCATGGCGTTGGCCATCAATACCGACCTGCGCTTGTTGGTGCAGTCTGCACCTCCTACCTCGAGTATTGAATCTGTCAGTTTGTCAGCTTTGGATGTCACAGATTTTCGACAAACGTGGTACATACTGGGAGCTCTGGGCTACTTGTGGAATGAGACGACTACAGTTGCCCCAGTTTCTGTGCAGAAAGCTAGGACATGGGAACGGCGGCTGGTTCTAATGGATGAGACCATTCCTGATGAGCAGGACTACACAGCGATCGCGAAGCTGATGCTCGTCAAGAGGGTGTTGACAACCGCAGGAATTCACTGCATTATGCTAGGGACGAATAGTGCGGCCATGAATATGGATAGGATCTCAAAGCCTGTCTACGAGCACAGTCGCCATGAAGGTCGAATGATGGTGTGCTTGACGCATCGCTCGCTTCCTAGATACCTGCTGTCGTCGAACCAGGACAAAGAAGCGATGACAAGGGTATTTGCAGAGGCACGGCTCGATGAGCTGCTGGACAACGTCAATCCATGGCTCTGCTCGCTGTTTTTGAAGTATTTGAAAAAAGAAGGGGATACCGTTCCATGCAGTTTGATGCGAACGGTCTCCAGCAAGGTCCTCGAAGAAGTGAAGCGGATCAAAAGGAACCTAATGGACGAATCTATCTATTGCATGTTTCAGATATCCGCGCACAGCCCTGTCTCTCAGTTGCACATCTCCAAAGGGTTTGCTCAGCTGAATGTGCGGCAGAGTAAACCGCCACTGCGAGGCAGCAGTGAATCTATGCTTGTTCTGACCCAAGAACAAGACGATGAGGAAATGAGAATCAAGGGCACTCGTCTCCCCGATCTGAACTCGTGTTTTCCTAGCGCCTTGCGTGACCCCATCACCGTGGCTGTTTGTGCTGGGGGAGGGCTCCCTTTCTCTCGACGATCAGCGCTCGAGGTCTTGCAGGGCATCCACAAGCAGAAGGCAGTTTGGAGTAATCCCATTAATGTGGATGCGTACAAGTCAGGTGGAGACGAGTTGAAGTCGTTTGGTGCAGTCGTCATGATGATCAGCAGCTGGTCTCCCCCTCAGGACCTTCTGAAGAATATCGCTTTTCACTGCGGTATTCAAAACGACAAGCGAAGTGTCGATGAGATTCTTGCTTCTCTCGCAAACAAAGCAAGCTTCGTGGAAATCCTGAAGACCTGCATGTCTAACTTAGCTCCTGTGCTATCGGATGAGCAGGAGAGTGCAGCTTCGCCGTTCATGGGCTTTTACATCCGAAACAGGGACAGAAAGGGCAGGGACGATGCCTTTACAGGACCAACCTGTGCAAGCGACAAACCTTTGGAGGGAGGAGTGGAGTTCAAGAATTGGAAGACACCTCTAAGTAGAAAACAGTTTTCAAAGGCGATCTCTCGCCTCTTGAGTAAGGACCTCGATGTTTATGTGTTCATGGTTCTGGAGTTATCAGAGACAATCACAGAGAGCGTCATTCAACAATATATCAGTCACAGGAAAGCTAGCTACAAGACAGAGTGGCTTGTACTGCATCTCAATCGAGAAGGCTGGAGCACCTTTTCAATTCAGAATGACGCATCAGGCACACGGTCGGTCAGTAAAATCGGAAAAGGCATCCATGAGCAAGCGGAGGTTGGTGCGGTCAAGAGAAAAGTGCTGATGATCGTGGAGGTTGGAATCGATACTCAACCATTCTGCAGCAATGAATGATCTTCAAAGAGATCAAGGCACAAGGGAAAAGTAATGAAACTGTAAGCAGCTTCAAAAGAAAGAAATAAGACGAAGAAGTGATGTTGGCCAGGGAAGAAGTATGTAGCATGTTGTATGCATTGTTCCCTGTTGTACTTGTTGGAGCTTTCAAAGTTTTAAACACTGCGAGATTTTAAACTCCTCCCCGCGGCAAGGCCTCTGCTGTCCCACCCTGTCCGAGGACGTCTTGGTTCTAGGCAAGGTCAGGCAGTTGTAGTGTTGTGTGAGTGTGTGCTGGTAAAACTCTCTTTCTCTGCTTCTCTTCTTGTGTGTGGAGGGTCAGACAGGAACAGGAGATTCACGTCCTGACTTTGAAAGCAATGCGCACAAAGGTACACACGATGAATACCCCGGCCTGACTTCTCAGAGGCCAGATGCTCTCTTAGGGAGACGTTGCTGTCACGGTTTAGTCTCGCGAGCAACGGCAGCACCACAGGAAAAAGTTGGAGTAGTCGGTGTCAGCAGGAGGAGCTCGGCCTGCAAGGGCAGAGGAGTTGGAGGAAGAGGCAATTGGAAGGAGCCGAGACATTCTGTTCCAAGGCAGTCAAGCAGCGCACTCTTTGATCACGCGACCAGATGGAACCGCAGGACTCGGAGACCGTCAGCTCCGCGGGCTTGGATGCGCATAGGAGCGCGCAAGAGCAAGAAGACTGAACGGATGTTATTGGAAGCATAACAATGGTTGTCACCGGACTTTCTGATGAAGCTGATGCCATCTCTTCGGGACATGAAGCACGGACCCAAGGAATCGATGTCTAGCTTTATCCAGAGGTACTCGGCCATGACCAATCGCCTGGTCGCCCGCGCACTGGATGAGTTAACGTTGGGCACATCCCTGATCGAGGAAACTAACGTTTGTGAACAGGGTTTCCTCAAGAATTGTTCAACCCCGCATGAATGAAGGGCTGACAGTGTCGGCGGCCTCGGGAGACGCCTCATTCTCGCATGTCTTGACTTTAGCAACTTGTTCGGCATCTCCTACGTGTCTTCCGACTCTCCATTCAAGACTCAAGCATCTCACGTAACTGCCTTGAGGGGATGTAACTGCCCGGCCTGGAGGGGATGTATGCATCACATCGGCCCTAGCTAGGCTCCTGGACACGGCGTCGGCCGGGCACCGTCGTGCCACGGTCCGATGATCGGCCAGCTTTGCTGGGCAGGACTGAGTCCCGGACTGACTACCACCCCGGGAGCGGCTGGATGCGGACGCTCAGCCGCTTGAAGGAACGGCGGCGTCCGAGAGCTTCGCTGCCCGGTAGACTTATAGACTCTGAACTCGGCAGTTAGACTCTAGACTCTAGACTCTGAAGACTCTGAAGTTTATCTATCAAACTTACCTCGTACTACCGTACTAGCCTATTAGTTCACTCGGGCTTAGTAACGGTGACTCAGTGACGAAGTCAACGGGCACCGGGCCCGAACTGAGCCTTGAAGACCCCGCCTGCAACCCGTGACCGCCGCTTCGGATCGTCCGATCGGACTGCCCGGGTTTATACTGATGAGCTCCAGGGCCGCGCGGCCGTCGAGACCGTACCATACCGTACGGTACTGCTCGGATCGGACGTACCGCGGCGCCGCGGGTCCGACCGGCCAGTCAGTGCCAGAGGAGCCACCGTGGCACCGTGAGCCTCGGAGAGTCACGGTCATGATACTATGATGCCAGGACCGTTGGAGGCAACTCAGTGACTTCAAGCAGTGGCAAGAGGCGCGACGGTACGGTCCGACTTGGCATCAGTGTGACGGTGGGCCGCGTACTGGTACGCCGTCACCCTCATTCTGTCCGATCGTGTGACAGTGACAGACCGGCCCGCGGCGTACTGACTCTGTGAGCGCTCGCGCCGCCGGCGGCGCCGCGCCGCCGGCGGCGCCGCGCCGCCGGCGGCTCAGGGACTCGGAGCTGCCGCGCTCAGGGACTCGGAGCTGCCGCGCTCCGAGGCTCGGCCTCCGAGGCTCCGAGCTCCTACTAGTCTCGCTCAGGGCCTCGTACTCGGATTTTAACTTAACCGTTTGAGTAAACTTCCGTCCGGGAGTGACGGCCGGACTGGCGCGGGGCCCAGAACCGGCCGGGCCGGCCCCGGTCACCTTTTATTAGGCAATTCCCAAAACCTAATCCACCTTAACTCCCGTACACCCCCAACCCACCCCCTCGCTGCTTCTACCCCTATCTTTTCATAATTTCTAACTTACACCCGTTGTTATGATATTCAAATCCTGGAATATCCATGGGTACTTGTTCATCTTCACGAGATGGACCCCGTTCTACAGCCTTCTACCCCAGTTATCATCGTCTCCAAGTTTCCCCATGGTGACTAAAAGACTTTTCTGTCTATGGGGGCATAGCATAAAGATTATTCAATTAGACCAATAAGTAAATCAGGGTATCCCTCCATCTACCCTACTGCAGACAACGCACCATTCTCCGTGCAGGACTACCCTACCACCGATCTAGGTACCCACCCACCCCACCTGGATAATGCACACCCCAGCAGGCGATCACGGGTCCTGCCCACCCCCCAAGAACCTGGATGACCCCTAGATTCTACAAAAAATCACAAGATTGAGTCAATAGGAGATATACGTAGACTGATGATTTTCTATGTTTGCTATTATATAAATATCGCTATCCCTATACCTTACTTTGTATCTCGTTGGATAGTATCACCCTGCTGCCTATTTACCCTTATCATGCGTACCCCTCCACCCCCTTTTATGAGCACCCCAGAGTGACTTTGTAGGGTTGATAGGCAGCAAACTACCCCAACAGCTACCACCCCTACCCCCTAAGTCCCACCGCCCTGCAGGTGGTGGGGGCTGCCGCGTCGGCGTCTCCCGCCATGGGCCCCTCAGTTGGAGTGGGGGGAGCCGCTAATGGCGCGATGGACGTTCATTCATGCTCATTATCATTCTTCTGATCTTTGCTGAGATTCTTTTTCCTCCCTGTGATACTCCATGCACCTCCATCTCTGACCATCCAACTAATGGTACCCAAACTCCCGCACCAGCACGAAATTCTTGTATGGTGCGTCAAAAATCCATTTTCTTCTCATAGTGTCCTTAAGCAAAATGATTTGATAATGACGTATCTAACATTCATCTGATTTTTATTTAAAGTGCACCTAATTTTCATTGCGATCTGTGGGTTTTGTCAGCAGATTTGGCGCCGTCGTGTAGTATGCTTTCTACTTGCGATCCTCCCCTTGCATGCATAAGTTACCCATAGGAAGTTCTGATACTTGCAACAAGCGCTGTAGATGACAATGGTAGGACTTAGTATGATCCAGTGGCGGAGGAATCTATAGGAAGTGAGGAACACGGAAAGATCGGTTGCAGTTTCCAGGGAGATTCATGTTTTGCACAGCAAAAACTGATCTTTGCAAAGCTGCGCTGCATGAAAATTTGAACCTTTTTGGCAGCAGTTGAGCTTTGCGATATTATTCACACATTGTTGTACAGGTCTTTACGGATCATGTCGGGAAGATCTTTCAGCATACGGGAAGGCATGCTGTTTTGTGTAGTTACTGTCTTCTTGTTCAACGCAGCAGCAGCCTTCTACCTTCCTGGTGTTGCACCTACTGACTATGACATCGGCGATGCCATGAAAGTGAAGGTGGAGGCTCTCACGTCTGTCAAGACCCAGCTTCCCTACGAATACTATGTCCTGCCATTCTGCCATAAGGGAGTAAACCTCAAGGTTCAAGATGCCTTGAACCTCGGTGAGGTCCTGCGTGGATCTCGTATCTATGAGACTCCCTACAACTTCAAGATGGGCAACGATCAGACCTGCAAAATTCTCTGCAGATCTGTCTATGATGCTCAGGAGCAGAAAGCCTTTGCCTTGATGATCGAGGAAGATTACCGTGTGAATCTCCTCTTGGACAATTTGCCCGTGGCGATGGCTCTATTCTCGCAGAATGAGGACAAGACCACGACAAAAATGTATGAAGTAGGGTATCCTATCGGTCATGTCCAGGAAGAAGACGGCAAGGGAGGAAAGCTCAAGTCCCCCCAGATTTACCTGTTCAACCATCTCCGTTTCACCATCCTCTACAATGACTACCATGGCTCTTCCAAGAGACGCGTTGTGGGCTTTGAGGTGGAGCCTCTCAGCATCAAGCACACGTATGACAATCTCGTTGATTGGGATGAATGCGTCAACCAGGTTTCGGAGCACAGGTGCAAACTCAATACTTGCACCTCCACCCAGCCGGTAACTGTGAACAACGAGCCCTTGGCCATCAACACCGAGTCCAAGAAACCACTGGAAGTGATCTGGAGTTATGATGTGATCTTCAAGCCTTCCCCCATCCGCTGGTCCACTCGCTGGGACACATACCTCAACGCTGCGGATGATGCCCAGGTCCACTGGTTCTCCATCCTCAACTCCTTCATGATTGTCTTGTTCCTTTCTGGTATCGTCGCCATGATCATGATCAACACGATCAAGCGTGATTTCCAGAGGTATGAGAGAAATGATCTCCTTGAAGATGGACAGGAGGAAACCGGATGGAAGCTTGTTCACGGTGACGTTTTCCGTGCCCCCGTTATGGCCGGGTGGCTCTCCGTGTTGGTAGGAACCGGCGTGCAGTTGGCTGTCTCCACAGTTTTCCTCGTCATGTTTGCATGCCTTGGATTCCTTTCTCCTGCCAATCGTGGTGCTCTCATGCAGGCCATGCTCTTCATTTTCGTTTTCATGGGGATGTTTGGAGGATACACTGCGGCAAGATTCTTCCGCATGTTCAAGGGAAACAGGTGGAGGAGCAATGCTCTCTGGACCGCTATGCTCTTTCCTGGCATCAGCTTCTGCATCTTCTTCATCTTGAATCTTGCAATCTGGGGTCAGAAGTCATCGGGCGCTGTTCCATTCGGAACTTTGTTTGCTCTTCTGTTGATGTGGTTGGGTATTTCCGTTCCCTGGTGCTTATTGGAGCCTTCTTTGGATATCGCAAGCAGCCCATCGAGAATCCTGTCAGGACAAACCAGATCCCCCGCCAAGTTCCAGAGCAGCCCTTCTACGTGAGCACATGGTGCACCATTATTGTCGGTGGTATCTTGCCGTTCGGCGCGGTCTTTGTTGAAGTTTTCTACGTGCTGTCATCTATCTGGCTTCACCAGTTCTATTACTTGTTCGGGTTTCTTCTCTTGGTAAGCCTTACAAGCGATCATGTAGGTTGACTCACTTGGTTGGCTAAGGTTCTGGGTATCTTGTTCCTCACTTGCTGCGAGGTTACAGTGGTGCTCTGCTACCTCCAGGTGCTGTTGGATGATTCACCTGATTCTCCTGATCTGTTTGATGCTGCAGCTCTGCTGTGAGGATTATCATTGGTGGTGGAGATCTTTCTTCACCTCGGGGAGCTGCTCGTTTTATGTGTTTTTGTATTCCATTTATTATGCCTACAGCAAACTTCAGGTAAAAATTGAGTATGGCGATGAAGCTGGATTTCTGACAGGGCTTGATAGATGGCACGGGCTCTCGCGGCCTTCTTGTATGTCTGCTATATGTTTATCGTTGGATTCGCTTTCTTCTTGATCACTGGAGCGGTACGTGACTATTCTCGTCCTGCTCTTTCGCCTGACATTCTTGGTTTTTCAGCTGGGATTCCTTGCAAGTTTCGTCTTCATCCGCACCATCTACTCTGCCATCAAGATCGATTAATCCTCTACAACATTCGCACTTTATACGGAGACATAGTTATTGCCACGTCATGACCTGGAGGTAGATTGGGTATTGTTCTCCTCGATCGCGTTATCTAGCCTTGTTTTGTCTGCCGTACCACAAGCAAATATCACTGCATCGATTAAGCTGCTTCATACTGCTAGAATACTGCTTTTTCCCCTTAAGAAACTCTGAAGTTCTACAAGTTTGCATGACAGCTCAAAAGTGTGTTACCCACCAACGGCGACGGTCTAGACATGCTCCCTTCCGCCTTCCTCCTCCCCCTCCTCCTCCCCCTCCTCCCCCTCCTCCTCTCCCCCCCGTCATCACAACAATCCTTGTTGTTCCCCATCTTCCCCCGAGGATCGCAGCTGCATCTTCATGATTCCCTTCATGAGCTGGATGGCGGCCTGTCGCTTCTCCAGCCAGCGGGTGTAAGGGATCAGAACATGCTTGAAGTTAACGACGTTGGCAAAGTTGCTGGTCAGAGAGACTGAGTCGGTAAGGCACTCAACAAAGTGCGGCCATCTGCTAGGAATGTACAGCAGGTCGCCAGGTTCTAGCACGGCCTCGATGAAGTTCGCGTGTCGGTAGGAAGGGAAACGCTCCAGATCCGGGGCCCGCAGGTCCAGGTATTCCTCCTTATCCTCGAGCTTGCGATAGACCAGCTTGAGGTCCTTGGGAGGAACGAAAAGGAAGCGCTTTCTCCCTTGGAACTGCGCCATCCATGCGCACGTGTACCAGATGTCTCGGTGGAGGGGAGAAAAGGCGCCTTGAGGTCCGATGAAGATCCAAGTGAAAGGAGGCTGGAACTCTGTAGCAAGAGCCTTGAACTTGTCGGGAAAGCACTCAGGAGGATTAGGAAAGTCTTGGAGCAGCTCCGGATGATCTTCCTGGAAGTACCAAGCTCGCATGTAAGGCTTGTAGTCGAGCCGTGAGGCTTGCTCCTGCTCCTGCTCTCTCCCTCTTTCCTCCTCCTTCGTATCCTCCACGCTGTTGGCTGGCTGTCTGCCTCCTGCTTCTGCGCCTGAGCGGAACGAGGAGACGTAGTCTCTGAGACTCATTTTGCCCTTCTGCCCTCGCTCTTTGCCGTCCATCGAGACCTCGACCATCGTCTCCCCTAGCGCCCCCGAGCAGAAGAACTCAAAGTTCCACTTGTTGCATGCCTGCCAACTGTTAGCCCCCTGCTTGAACAGGACGGGTTTGTTGGACGCCATGTAGAACTTTGCCTTGGACTTGATGTCCGATAGGTCTGTAATGGTGTCGCAGCTGTGGACTTGCATGCCCCCCGTTGAAGCCTCCCGCCCTGGCCCTTCCATGCTGATCGGAGAGACGTCGAGACACTGAGAGCACGAAGAGAGTCAGTTGAGGAGAGAACAAGCTGCTAACAGAGGCGGCAATGCTGGGAGAGGTCACGATGTCTACTTGTACCCAAGGAAGGAGGGAGGAAATGCAGGGGATGAGAAATGTGGTCATGTGGGATACAACAACATGGAGGACGAGTCGAAGTCATGGGGGTAAAGCAGACAACAGAGGAAGGGAATCGAAGAAGCTCAGGAGAACAAGCTGCTAACAGAGGCGGCAATGCTGGGAGAGGTCACGATGTCTACTTGTACCCAAGGAAGGAGGGAGGAAATGCAGGGGATGAGAAATGTGGTCATGTGGGACACAACAACATGGAGGACGAGTCGAAGTCGTGGGGGTAAAGCAGACAACAGAGGAAGGGAATCGAAGAAGCTCAGGAGAACAAGGAGAGGGACGAGAGGGACAAGAGGGACAAGAGGGACAAGAGGGAGGAGACGGAGGAGACGGAGGAGACGGAGGAGACGGAGGAGACGGAGGAGACGGAGGAGACGGAGGAGACGGAGGAGACGGAGGAGACGGAGGAGACGGAGGAGACGGAGGAGACGGAGGAGACGGAGGAGACGGAGGAGACGGAGGAGACGGAGGAGACGGAGGAGACGGAGGAGACGGAGGAGACGGAGGAGACGGAGGAGACGGAGGAGACGGAGGAGACGGAGGAGACGGAGGAGACGGAGGCGGATGTAAGAGGGCAGGAAGGAGGGGGCAGGAGGATTCAGCATTCCGTCCAGCATCCCGTCAGCATTACGACGGGACTTAGTGGGGATGAGGTTAAAACATCTGACGTGAGCTGGTGGACATGCTGGAAGAGCGGTCGGCCAGGGGGTGAGAGGGGGAGGAGGAGGAGGAGCAGCGTGGATCAGCCGAACCAAGTGTCGCCATGGCTCAAGTGTGAGGATGAGGATGCATGAAGCGTCTGAGCTAGCCAGGGTGAACGTGGACAGCGGAGCAGAGACAGGTTGGAAGGCAGACTCGCCAAGCAACGGCTCGGATCAGATGCACCATCGGCAAGGGAAGCATGAGGGGAAGAGGTATGAGGATGATGCAGAGGCCAAGAACTCTCCGACGAGGATCACCATCCTCAAGTGGGAGCTGAAGGGCCCTCGATGGCTCCAGTTCCTGTTGCTGGTGCTGGGGGTGTTCTCACTAGGGGTCATCCATGATTTTGTTCAGGTGAGTTATGATTCTTGTGTCTGCTCCAGAACATGCTCATTGTTGACACCGCAACTTTCTCATGCTGTTTGACTCAGGAGCTCGTGTTCCGCTATGAGGGGTTCGACTACGGCTGGTTCATGACGCTATGGGAGCTCCTTATCTTCGTGGTTGCCGCATGGCTGCAGCTCTGGCATGAGGGGCGGTACAACGAGATCAGGAGCATCGACTGGAAGCAGTACCTGAGCTTGACCGTCGTGCTCGCCATCACTCAAGGATTCGGGTCCATCTCGCTCTCCTATGTCAACTTCCCGGTAAAAGTCGTCATGAAGTCCAGCAAGTTGATCCCTACCATGGCGCTTGGAATCTTGATCCTCAAGAGGTGCTTCCTCCCCAACCCTCCCCTCCCGCTCCTTCTCTCTCTTCCTCCCCTCTCTCTTGCTGTCCCTTCCCCTTCCCCACCGTTCTTCCTTCCCCTCCCCCTTCTCTCCTCGCCTGCCTGCCTCCCTCCCCTCTCTCCCTCCCAGTAACTTGATCCGTTCAGGACGTACACTCCCATGGAGTACATCTCTGCCTTCATGTTGTGCACCGGGGTTGCCTCCTTCACTCTGGTCGACAGCAAAGTCTCACCAAAGTTCGATCCCATCGGCATCCTCCTACTCTCCGGAGCTGTTGCAGGAGACGCCATCACTGTGAACCTTCAAGAGAGGATATTGCGACAGGTGAGGAGGATCGGATGTCCTGTGGTGGGTGCGGAGTGACCCCAGGACGTCAGCTGCAGTGCTCCAAGGAACAGATGATGCTTGCTTCCAACCTCATGGCGGCCGTGTGGGTCCTCATGCTGATATGTGTCACTGGGGAGATGTTCAAGGCTATCAACCTGATCCAGAACAAGGTGAGAGGACTGGAGGAAGTGTTGGGTAGGATATGGTGTAGGGATGAATGAGGAAGAAGCGGAGGAGCAGGGGCAGGAGAAGGAGAAGGAGCAGGAGCAGGAGCAGGAGCATCAGGGTTGCGATGACGCCTGTACAGTTCGAGATCGGAGGATTGCTTTTACTGCAGGTACGTGCGGTGACGTCACACCTCCAGGCACCTGACAGACCTTGGCAGGCGCTTGCGCAGTACCTAAGTGTGAGTTTCTACCTCGGGCTCATTCAAGGGTTCGGCGGAGTTGTCGCCATCTGCGTCACATCGTGTAGGTCTGTCTGTCTTGTCGTTGACATGTTGGCACACAATGACATCAAGGGCTTCAGGAAAGTTATCACCATCGTTCTGTCCTTCGTCGCTTTTTCAAAACCATTTTCATTCGACTACATCCCCTCCGGTCTGCTGGTCCTGGTGAGTCGCCTGAGACCTTATGCTGCTCGCTTCTCATGCTCTGCAGTGCGGGATCATGCTGTCCGTCATCGTGAAGCAGCCCAAGTACGAGCTAAACCACGCCTGGTTCCTCATCGCGTGTGGTGCTGTATGTACCCTCCTTGTAGTCCGACCCGCCCTGGCTCACGTATAGGAGATGTTATTGTTATAGCTTAAGATACCAACAGTTGGACTATCATATGAGTCTACGATACATACAGTTTGATTATCAGCTCCATGAAGGCGCAAACGAAGAACCACGAGATTCGAGCAACATGGTTTATTCAAGCTATAAATTCATAATGAATAAGCTTAGAACCACTCGCCGAAGTAGAGGGGGCGCTGCTCGTGGTGGAGGTACTCCATCTTCCACATCCAGAGCTCGGTGGTCTGAGTCTTAGCAACAGTCTGGAACATTTCCTTCTGCAAAGGTTGGATTAGTAATAGCCCAAGACCAGCAACACACAACAAGTTTCCACATCTCAACTACTAGACTACCATGATCAAAGAGTTCGTAATCTCATCAGAACACAAGCTTGTCTGTCCAAATCTGCTTATTCTATCCTCTCGCACACAACCACGGAACAAAAGCCCCACAAAACCGGACGAAGGTGAGAACCGACTGCCATGATCCAACATTTCACACGTTTCTTCAGCAAACAAACTCTTCATACTCTTCTTCGAGCCTAGCAATCCCTTCCCTCTAAACTCTTCACCCTCACTCAGACTGCATTGAACCACATAAAATGAACAACGTTCATCGTGCCATACCTGCCTGATGCGGTTTCGATTCCTCCTCCTCCCCTAAGTAGCCCGTTCTATTCTCGGAAGAAAAAAAGAAGTACCCCACCCCCCAAGATGAGCGCAATATGATCTAATAATTGGGGTGAAGCTACCCTTTACCTTTCGAAAAATTCTTTGAAGCCATTTGAATATCTGAAATAACTCTTATGTAATTTTCAAATATGAGGGAAACCCAGAACCAATTTTATTTCCGGGATCGAACGAACGATCCTCGACTCTCCTGATTGTCCTCGTACTGATCTTTAACTTAACTTTGAGTAAAGATTCTCGTAGTGTTTTAGCGCCGAGATTCCAAAAAATGGAAGAAAAGCAAGAAAGACACTTTTTGCGGCTGGGACCCCAAAACCACGAAAAAAAATAAAATTGCCAAGCAGAAAGATGCAGAAGGGGGTGTGGGGGTAGTGTACATAATAGGGATGGAGGGGTGGGGGTCCCTTTCCACCCCTCCAAACTACTTCCCAGAACTGGGTCCTTCCAAGCCTCAAGAAGGACGTACCCTCGCACCCTGAGCAATGGCGGAGGACGGCGGACAGAGCCAACCACTGGAGGCTGGTCTCCAGGACGACAACCAAGCCTGCGCGAGTCCGGCAGGTGATAGTCATGACCACGAACAAGTCTATCAGCTCTCTCCATCCGGTTCTACGAACCCTCCGGCTGTGGCACAGCCCAACACGTGTGTCTTCGGTGCTGTTTGCTTAATGCAAAAGGAGGCAAACGCTGTTCTGAAGGTATGCAAAATATGCAGGTTGTGCTTTCACCTTGTTTGTGCTTGGGAGTTAGCTGGCTCGGATCGCAATGATGAATGTGGAAAGCATGCACCTCGTTCACGTAGAAAGAGGGTGAAGGACAAGAATGCGCTTCTGAGAATATTTGACGACCCTGAGGCTTGTAGCATTTCGGCTTCAGATGACCCCAACATCCAGGCATTTCTTGATCTGGAATTCAACACTGTGAGCCGAAGCACTCAAGAGACGTATGCTTATCGAATTATGGGTATGATCGAGTTCTTCCAGAAGGATCCAAGATATCACGCAGCACTCAACCCAGGTCGCACGAACCTGAAGCTCCCATTGCCATTGGACTTGCTCCAGGCTTTCTTTGGTTGGCTGTGTGAGCACGAAGGAATGACGACAGCAGGGTCCAAGAGGAAGGCAGCATCGGCACTAAGCGCGGACGGCGAAGAAGAAGAAGAAAATGCAGATACCCCAGACGTGGCAGGTCACCAGCGTCAGGCAGAGGCAGTAGCCAACACTGTGCAAGTATCAAGCAGAGACAAAGCAACCGTAGCTGCTTCCACCGTCCAGGGGTATAAAAGTGCGTTGAAATATCTGTACAGACGCAGGAATGTTATGTTTACGGCAATCGGGTTGAAAACAGGCGGAAGATCATTGGATGACATTCTGGATGGTTACATCAATTCCTATACCAAAGAAGTTACCCGGAAGAAGGGCGACGGTGTGATGCAGGCCCACGAGGGCAAGATAACTCTATCCATGCCAGAGTATAAGGCACTCAACAACATCTTGAAGGAGCTGAGACCTCGCAGAGGAAGTTCAGAGTCCGGCAGTTCATGGATTTTCTCTTGGGCATGCTGTTCAGTCATGTGGAACCTAGTATGCAGAAGTGAGAGTCTAGACATTTTACATCTTGAGCACTTTGACTGGGAAAATGATTGCATGAAGGTAGTCTTACTCAAGACAAAAAAAGATCAGTGTGGCATTGGTACTGACATGCGAAGCACAAGGATAAAACATGTGTTTGCATCGCCCTACACTCCAGAAATGTGTCCTATTCTCATTCTTGGGTTGTATATATTTGCCACGCGACATGGGCAACTCTCATTCTCTGGAACGAAGTTATTCCCAGGATCAGACCAAAAGCAAAGGTTTTGCACGTTATTGCAAAGAGCGATTCGACAAGCTGCAGACCAGTATCATGGCAACTTGGAAGAAGCAGGGAGTCATTCGCTGTGGAAGGGAGGAATATCTCATCTCCTTGCTTTTCTGGAAGGACCAGGTATGGGCCAACCGTTGCATGATGGTTTACTGAATGGTGCAATGCAGGGGCACCTACTGTTTATATTCGAGCCAACTGGAAGATAGGTCATTCATGAGTGTGATGTTCTCCACGGCACTATGCTGAGTATTGCGGTTGACAGGTGACACAGAGGACCAGTATATCGTGGGAGGAGCAGGAGGCGATCAGATGTGTGGCAGACTTTTAGCAGGGAACGATCCTAGTACGGCAGAATTTGCTGTGCTACCACCACATTTTTCCCCTGAAGGGATGCAAGAGATACAAGCGATAGGATGGGACAAATTCATCAAGAGTTTCAATGAACTGCCGCGGGGGTTCAGAAATTGTATTCCTTTCTTTCTGGCTAGTATTTTGTATCATCTTCCTACTCTGCGAGCATGGTTCCCTGATCCACAGCATTCCATATGGGAAATTCCGCTATTTGGCATGTTTGGACAGGACACGATGAGTAGATTGAATCAGCTACGTGACAAAGTAGTTTTGAAGGTTCACAGTTGCCAAGAGTGTGGCATGCTCGCACATGGGATTCCAACAAAGACGGATATCATTCATACGATCAAGGAGCTAGTGACGAAAGTATCAAAGGTTGAAGGCATGCTCACAATCGACGTGATGAGAAAATCTGCAGAGTCTGGAGTGACAGTGGCGGCATCGACCAAGTCAATGGAGTCAGAGATGACAAAGGCGTTAGACATGGTGACACAACAATTGAATGCCCACAACAAAGCACTGAACAAGACACTGAAGAAGAACTCAAAACAAACACAGCAAGGTTTCAAAAGAATTTGGATGAAGCTGCATAACATGGAGGAGAACATGAAACTTTTGTTCAGAATGAACAGAGATGTTCACACCTTGTTGATGCAAATGAGAAGGAATACAGAGATGAACTTTGCCGGTGTGAATGAACGTGAGACACCAAATCAAATCATGACATCAGTCTTGGATGCAAACAATTCTGTGCGAGACGGAAGTTCGGTGGAACAGAGGTATGTATGGCGGGAAGGAACACAAGACAATGAAATGCTTTCGGAAAACAGCTCGGAAGCAAGCTCAGGATCAGACATGGAAGAAGATGGGTCATTGAACAGTGGAGCAGACAGCGATGATGCGACGCCAGGCGAAGAACAATCATTGAATGATGACCAAGTAGATGGCGATTGGTTCGAATGGGGGGGAGAGCGCCACATGGTTCCTAGAGATTTCGAATGGCCACACAAAGTATCAGTCAGGAACATGATGACGTATTGGTATCAAGGGCGGATTCGAACTATTGATGGAAGGGTACAAAGAATCAGACCATTTTATAACTTTTACAAACTGAATCTGAGCCATGACTTGAAAACGAAAACCAGCAGGAGGAATCTTTACAAAGCAAGGTGCGTGATGAAGGAGATAGAGAAGATTTGCCGGGAAAACGGAACGATTGGTGAAGGAGACGAGATACGGGCAGACAACGTCCAGGAATGTTACGACAAATCGTTTCATGTGCTGGTTGAGAGAGCATACGGGAAGTCGGCATGGGAAAGGCGTGAACTCAAGCACAGATATGAACAGCTGAGTTACATCACGTTTTGCAACAAGTTACACTTGGAGAAGGGTAGGACGACAGTTAGACCGGACCACACACAAGGCTCGATGGAGTCTTCAGATGAGAGTAGGGAAAGAACGACATATGCTGCAGAATTGTTGAAAGACTTATAACAGTGGAATGAGAATGATGATGAACATATGTTTCACCTACATTATTCTACCATCTCTCCTCTGGCATCTCTACTCTACCTCCTCGCCTCTACCTCCTCTCCTCCACCATCTCTCCTCTACTACTAGGCTCCTCTCCTCTACCATCTCTCCTCTACCTCCTCTCCTCTACCTCCTCTCATCTGGCATCTCTCCTCTAGGTGTCCTCCTCTAAGTTCGTTATATCCCCCAACAAATCTTCTCCGAACTCAGGAGTCCCCGCTGTATCACCTTGAGCATTTACCACGCCGGAACAAATTTTCGAAACGGAACTAGATACTATCGGTGACCGGTAGTAGACGTTACTAGTTAGTCACCGAGTCCCGGACGGCCGGGCCGCAATCATGACGGTTGTACCGCCGGGTGACAGTGACCGTGACACGCCGGGCCCGGCGTTGCCCCGGGCCCGGCCGCCGCCGCAGTTACTAAGTTGAAGTAATCACTAGTATCAGTGATCCGATCAGAGGTGGTACTAAAATAAATTACTTAACAATTGTTCATTTCAGTTAAGTAAAAGCAACGCACCTATCCCCTACCCCACTTTGTCTCCAAGTACCCCCTGGCTTCACTATCATCTGTACCGGTACTATTTGTCCTCATCGATTGCATCACCCCCGTACCTTAACAACCCACCTCTAGTACCCACCTACACTCATGGAGACATCTTGTATCTTTGTACCCCTTATTTACCCAGACTTTAATATATTGACATACCCGTACTCAGACTACCCATACCCACATAAATCCATAGCACCCATCCCACCCATCCAATAATCTGTTCAGACCCCCCGTCCTCCCACCCCTATAAATCCTCGTCTCCTCTCCGCCGCTTCCTCTACCCCCACCCCCCTTTGATGCTCAAGGATTCAGCATCACCCCTTATTTTCAGTTCGTATGGAGTTTGTACCCCCCATTTGTGAAGTTCCATCTATTGATTTCACCCACCCTATATGCGCAAACTACCCCTAGAAGGGTATAAAGTACCCACCCGTACTTTCCTCAGTTTTCGCTACCCTCTAAGTCTCCTTGTCTGAACATGCCCATGGCAGCTACCCCCACCCCTCTTGCAACATACCTACCCTGCAATTGTACAGCAATTCTTCAATGAAACTACCCCCCCTCACACCCCATACTCTCATGCATCACCCACAGCAATGTCACCCCTACCCCCCTTTTAGACTACCCCACCGCGAGGCATCTCCTCGCTGCCATGTCCGCTCTCTTGCCATCCCTCCGCTCCTCTGCCATGCGCCTTCTGCTTCGGCGCCCGCAGCTTGCCCGCCCCCTGACCTTCTCTGTCCCCGTCAATGCTCGCTTTCCACACCAATCCTTCACCGTCCGCGCCTTCTCCAGCGGAGGCTTCCTCCCCAAGCAGGAAGTGCAGGAGCGCGTGCTGTCTGTGGTGAAGAACTTTGAGGGCGTGGACGTGTCGAAGGTGAGCGAAACCGCACACTTCATGAACGATCTTGGTCTGGACAGCCTCGACACTGTCGAAGTAAGTACCTGCTGTTTTGCTCTTTGCTTCCTCTCGTCCTCCCTCTGACCGCAACCCAAAGAGTCTTTGTTTTTTTGCACTGAGATGCTAATTTGATCTTTGCAGATTGTGATGGCGTTTGAGGATGAGTTTGCAATTGAGATTCCTGATGCAGAAGCCGAGAAGATTCAGACTGTGGAACAGGCCATTAGCTACGTCGCTTCTCACCCTCAGGCCAAATAATTGGAACATGGTAAACAAGGGCTTGTCTTTCGAGAAGGCTTGTTATTGATATTGTCAATAATCTTGGGGATTAAACCGTGCAAACTGACGTGGATGCAATGAGAGAAATTCTCAGAAACAGCCCAGAGGAAACGAATCGATCCATCTTTTCCTTCGTTCTTCTAACTAACTTTCGCAATATTTTGTTGGAGAACATTGAGAGCGGTTGGTTTTCCTGCTTGGAGGAGAATTTTTTTCCTCCTTCATATGATTGATGACTTCGCTAACCTTCTCGCTATGATGCCATAAGTCAAAGAAGAGTTGTTGCAAGTTAGATTCTGTCAGGTGACAAGTTGAACCATGGGGAGCTTCTGCGGAAAATGCCCTCGTTCCTTCAACGCCAGCTTGTTAAACATGATCATCGGCAGCAGCCTGCTGATTTTTCCTCTCTTGGTGACACATGTCCTAAAACTGCCATCGTGCGTTGACCCCTACTCCACTTCCACTACTCACATCTCGGATTGGAATTTTCCATGTTGCCACAACGTATTTCTGTTTGAACACACCACACTCCAAACACATGCGCAATTTTTCAACTCTATAACAACCAGCATGCGATTCACGTCTACATGCTGCTCACTTGTAAATTTTCATCATTAAAGGAGAGTAAGTAAATCTCCTCGTTTCATCTGTACTCCTCTTCGGCCTTCCTGAACGCGAGGACTTGGGCGAGGTGTAGGAACGATCAAAGGAGGAAGAGCAAGTACGCCCTGCCCGCCTTGACATCTGTGAAGAAGTCACTCCTCATCCTCTCCACTTCTCTTCATCTCCTCCACTCCTTCTCTTCTCCGCTCTTCCACACTGACCTCACTGCTCATGCTGTCGTCCAGGTCTGCTCCCTCTACCACAGTCAGCTGTGCGCGATCCTGCATAGAGGAGAGGAGTTCAGCTAAGAGACTCAGTGTCAAGTCATCACCATCGCTCGCTTCAGCGCATCTTTGAGCCAGCCGTTCTGACGTTTCACATGCTCCAAGTAGCTTTCGGAGCTCTCCCTCGCATTCTCAGCTGCAGGAGCAGGCAGTGAGGTCGAGGAAGAAGCTCGAGCGTCAGGAGTCCAACCAGCGCTCCTCTCTGAGTCCATCGACTCGCTGAGCTGAGCCAGAGAAGGTAAGATGTCGTTCTCCTGGCGTCAATAAGTCTACCTGTTGTCGTAGACTGCAGTTCGCAGAGATCTCGTTGCAGAGTCTCTGCGTGTACATGGGTAAGATAGAGCGAGGATCGATGACTTGGGCTACCTCACGAAGACGATGAATTTCATCAGAGCAAATCTCAAGATCCTTGTGCGCTGAGATTTCAAGACGATCAGAATGATCGGGGGAGTACAGGCAGTGCAAGTCGAAACCTGCATCTTTCTCCAGCTGCAAGTAGTGAGTATGCATATCGGCGTATCTTGAATTGGCGGTCAAGGTATCGAACTTCATGTGCATTTCACTCAGCTCAAGGGAAAGGGCCCTGGCACGAAAGATCACCGTACCGCAAACGGCAGCAAGCACCTGACCTGTTCTGCTTCCGCAGGTCGGATATCGTCTCTCGCTGCATCTTCAACTCTTGTCTACATTTCCTCAACTCGGTTTGCCAGGGCATTTCTTGCCTGCCATTCAGTAGCCAGTCAACTCCTGACATGGGCCTTCAAACTTTCACCTGCTTGTCGCGATGTTATGATCCTGGGAAGACCAAAAAGTTGAATGATGAGAATCCAAAGCTGAATGATGAGAATGCAAGAACGATGATAATCCATTTCCATCATCAATCGAATTTGAGATTTCAGTCGAGGCTTGCTTTCCAGAATTTCCAATTTTTTTGTCACGAGGAGGGGAGAAACAATGTCTTGCCCCCTCTTGTCGTTTAACAGACGCAATCTCCCTCTCCAAGTAATCTGTTTCTTCTCTGATTGTATCGCAGATAACCCTGATAACCTGTGTGATGTATTCTTTTTCAAGGTGGATTTCAACAAACGTTGCCAACCAACGAGAACAGAAAGTCTTGAGTTTCTTCAACATTGACAAGAACCGTCCATGAGCAGAGAAAGGATTATGATTCAGTCCATCAGAGTTTCTTGATGATCTTCCTTCGGCAAACTCGTGCAAGAAAGACACATCTACAGAAACATCTTCGCGGGACCTGGTGCACATCAAGAGTGAACAAAACAGCAATTTGAGCAAATTCAAATGAAGACTTACAGGTTCAAGTTTCTTCCCACTACATCCATCAAAAATTTTCTTTGGTCAAACGAGGGAGCAGACAGCTGGGCCTGTGCCTCCGCCAGCTCCCGCTGCATCCCCTCAAGCACCTCCTCGGCTCGGCCCGCTGCCGCCTCTGCCTCCGCCAGCTCCCTCCCTAGTCTCCATGCCTCCTCTGCAAGCTCTCCCGCTCGAGCCTCTGCTGCCTTCTGCTCCTCCTCCCTCCTATCAAGTACCTTGATCAGTCTCAGTACCTTGTCGTCTGCCCTCTCCCGTGCATCCTCCGTGTCCCGAAGCCTCTCCTTCACCGCCTCCGCTTCTCCGACGAGCTCCTCAACCCGCGCCCTCAGCTCCGCTGCTTCGGCCTCTCTGTCCTTCGCCTGCCGTCGCAGCTCCTCCTCCTCGTCCGACCAAGCTTCTTGCTTGCACTGCAGCTCCTCCAGGCGCTCGCTGACCTCACCCAGCTCTGCCTCCAGCCTTGTCCGCTCTCCCTCTGATGCTGCTAGCTGGCCCTGTGCCTCCGCCAGCTCCCGCTGCATCCCCTCAAGCACCTCCTCGGCTCGGCCCGCTGCCGCCTCTGCCTCCGCCAGCTCCCTCCCTAGTCTTTCTGCCTCCTCTGCAAGCTCTCCCGCTCGAGCCTCTGCTGCCTTCTGCTCCTCCTCCCTCCTATCAAGTACCTTGATCAGTCTCAGTACCTTGTCGTCTGCCCTCTCCCGTGCATCCTCCGTGTCCCGAAGCCTCTCCTTCACCGCCTCCGCTTCTCCGACGAGCTCCTCAACCCGCGCCCTCAGCTCCGCTGCTTCGGCCTCTCTGTCCCTCGCCTGCCGTCGCAGCTCCTCCTCCTGGTCCGACCAAGCTTCTTGCTTGCACTGCAGCTCCTCCAGGCGCTCGCTGACCTCACCCAGCTCTGCCTCCAGCCTTGTCCGCTCTCCCTCTGATGCTGCTAGCTGGCCCTGTGCCTCCGCCAGCTCCCGCTGCATCTCCTCAAGCGCCTCCTCGGCTCGGCCCGCTGCCGCCTCTGCCTCCGCCAGCTCCCTCCCTAGTCTTTCTGCCTCCTCTGCAAGCTCTCCCGCTCGAGCCTCTGCTGCCTTCTGCTCCTCCTCCCTCCTATCAAGTACCTTGATCAGTCTCAGTACCTTGTCGTCTGCCCTCTCCCGTGCATCCTCCGTGTCCCGAAGCCTCTCCTTCACCGCCTCCGCTTCTCCGACGAGCTCCTCAACCCGCGCCCTCAGCTCCGCTGCTTCGGCCTCTCTGTCCCTCGCCTGCCGTCGC